TTCAAAGCCAAAGGAAAAGTCTTGAAACTATTTTGAAAAAAAGTGCCATGGCGGCAGTGCCCAGCTTGCGCGTCGAGCCTAAATTCAATACATGCGATGGCTCATTTCAAATGAATTGTTGCAAAAAATGCAATTGCTAGTTCAGTATAAGTATTGACACTAAATTCAGCTTATATATATATATATATAGTGATACTTACCTACATAAGTTACCCGCCATCTTCTTTCAGCCGCCGTCTTCTTTCCGGGGCAGCACCGAGCACCCCGGCTGTTTCCGTCAAAATTTTATGCTACTCTAAATCATTCTTATTTTAGTTTCATTCTTATTTTCAACTACATATTTCAGTATTTTCAAAAGTTTTCAACAGTATTAAACGGGATGAAAATTTTCGAAAAAGAAAAAAAAAGAAAGATATGACTCCCACAATGCATCGTGCGGAAAAGAAAGTTCAGCCGCCATATTGGCATCGCCTCGCGAGATTTACCACCATAAAACGTGAGTCTCATTGTATTTACAAATTTCGATGTCTGATTATCATTAATACACAACACAAAACGTTTTCTTGATGTACAAGTAATGAAGAAAATGTCGATAAGGTTGTTTCATTTAATGACTAGGATCAGCAACTTGTAGGGGCGATAATCCAATGATTACGGTAATGTCCGGCAGATGGAGTAGGAGTAAACTTTCGATTTATGAACCAATGAAAACGAAGTACTGATACTCAGGGCCAGGGGCGACAGCAACATGCTGAAGAGCATTGAAAATGCTCTTAACATAATAAACTAAAAAATGATCAGGAATGTGAAAGATATATTGTTACAAGAGATCAACTGCGGTCAGCAAACTACAAAGCTGTCTTTATATTACGTCAGCCAATTGTGCTAATAAAGGTCAGTAATTGGGACAGTTCTGATCACGTGTTCATGTCTTGCCAATGTTCATAGCCCTATTATGTATTTACAGTACATCATGCTGTACGTCTTGTAAGTCGTGTATATTACCGACATTCTTGTGACAATATGTGAAGTGTACAAACACAAGCGATGATTTATCATCTCCTGTTACGTCTCCTAACTTAAAACTGCTTTAAGTTTCAAGCTAATCAGCCATCCCTAACTCAAGTTTTCAAGCTAAGTGCGGACGGCACATGGAGCACAGCGGACGACGATGGACGAAACATGATGGCTATAGGTCATCATGACCCTTCGGGCCGATGCAGAGGTGATAACACAGAACAAGAACATTATTTTTCAGAGTTTTATTAAGAAACTTCGCAGAAGAGAAATAAGAAGGTGCTGATTAATTGTACATCCCCTGTTAATACAACCTTGTCCTTCACCTAATACATTTACACCTAAATTCATGAAACTTTACCCAATGTCTGAGAATACAAAAAGTGTTTTCATTTCCTTGTGGAAAAGTTTGCAATGAATTTGGAGGTTATTAAAAATCAAATTGTATTTTTTGTTTCTAAAACAGAAACAAAACAAAAACAGAATTGTAAAAGGAGCCCTAAAATTACTGAGGACTGAACAATAATTTGTATAAATTATGTAGTGTAAACTGTGATAGAATTTTACTGCACAATCACCTTACCAAATTGTAACCTTGTATTATGAAATGGATGTGCTATGTTGACTAATTTCTACACACTTGGTGAAAATATTTTCGTTGCAAAAAAAAAGTCACAAAACACAAATTCAATCAGAAAAAAATCAACAGCATTTCTTATAATGTTACAGTTACAACAGCATTTCTTATAATGTTACAGTTGCAACAGCATTAGTACTGGTACTGTCAAAAATAACATTTAATTGTACATACCGTAGTATATTTAAATCCCTGGACAATTTTTTGATTGTTGAGAAACAGTGATTTTTTCTCTCCTATTCAGTTACATAAATCCTGATTTGTTTAAAGATCAAAACAGTCTGCTATTACTACTCATCCATCAGTACTTTTCACAGAATTTTGATTTCATTATGAAAACAATGTCACATTTCCATGTTCTATACATGGTTATGCTTTTCATTCTGGTTCAACAATGTGTCTGACCACTTTTTTCACTTTTTTTCTCTATTCAGTTCAGATTAAATATTTAAAAAAGGCAAGAGACCCAAGAGCCTTGACAGACACCTCAGTCATAGAAATGATTTTGTTTACAGAGTATGATAACATGAATTACTTTGTAAACTAATGCCCTTGTAAACCGTGTCATGCAGCAACTGCCATCCCACATCTAAACTATTCTAAATATGTTTGAAATAAAATAAATTACTGTCAAAAATGTATTTTTCCTATATAAACCCTCCACCCATTAAGAGTATTTGATTCTACTCAGACTGGCAGGGGGATCACATATTTTACAATTTTGGTTCACCATTGGCCATGGAAGGTATCAGTCTAGGGGTTTTCCAGAAGTCAGCAAAAAATATGAAAATTTACAATACAAGATGGCAGACTATAGGTGATGACTACAAATTGCCACAAGACTTGGTCTCAGATGACCAAAAAATCAGTAAACTTGATTGTTTTCTCTTTTTTCAACTTTTAAATTGATTAGACCCAACTCCAAAAGAAGATTACATGGTTACAATAAAGACTTATAGAGGTAATCCTGGTGTGTCACCAAAACAACCTGATTACTGTTGCTTGTGCTTCATTAGAAGTTCTTTTATCTTAGCTTCGTTTGCTCCAACAACATCACCAACCTGAAAAAGATAACTTGTGCTTAATGAAACTATACATGAATATTTCGTATACCACAAATGAGTTCAGATTTGCTATTAAGTTTCATTCGCCAAACAAGATTCCCATAGGGCCTGTATCACTCACCTGACTTAATTTGCTGAAATTGATTAATTCAAACTAAAGAAAAAGTATTTATTGGTATTGATAACCAGAACTTGACATTAACAGCCGATACATTTTTTTTCACGACATCCAAACCAAGAAGTAAGCTTTCTGACGCACCAAACTTCCATGTTTCTTGGTAAATTGTTTGAAGACATAATAAAATGAAATCTTTGCTTTTCCCGTAAGCCTGGTGATTTTTTTAAATATTGTTTATTCTTTGACATATGTAACCTGCTAAAATAGCTAATTGTGAATGATCATGTCATATTTACAGTTAATATGTCGTTGAATTTATTCCTGACAACAACAGCTGATATTTTGGCACATAATTCATTCATCCATTACTGGCTTAATAACAGGGTATCATCACACAGTTGATAGACATATATACTTATATATCAATTCCAGTAATATGCATCCAAACAAACATTTGTTTGTTAGGATCCAGTACCAATATTGGACCATACATTCGATATTACTTACTAGATTCTATATATTTATATATATATACAAATAAATTATGTATTTTTGCTGCAACTTCTATGAAGTTTCTGAAGATCATTTTCTTGGAGCAGTGCTTAAAATCTCCTGTAAGAAATTGTAACAATATACTTCAAAATCTACAACTGTTGCCTGTCGGCCATTTTTGTTGTTCTAAATGAGTCACAAAAATCAAAAGGGCTCAACTAAGGATCAAGAGGAATCTACAAACGATATCTGAACTCTGGCTCATTCAGCTAATCAGCCCTTAAACAAAGGGTTTCAAATATGACAAATCATTTCTGAAATAATTTTTTTTTAAGAAATATCATTTCCCCTAATGGGCCCCACATCTCTTCTATCAGATTCCTGGTTGATTCACAATTAGGTTCCTTTCAATTAGGTATCCTTTGGATCATATTGGGACAGAATCAAGAAATTCCCACAAAAGAAGGAAATTAGAGAATTTCCACTATTTGGCCCTGCCCCTCCCAATCCAGAGGGCCGAGACCCACCATTTATTAAAATTTATTCCACTTCTCTCAAGTATGTTTAAGACTAAATTGGGACAGAACACTGATATTGTTACAACAGAATAAGGATTATAAACAATGTCCCATATTTCCCCTATTGGTCCCTGACCTTTCTGCCCCAGGGGCCTAGACCCCTCATTTATAAAACATGATTTCCCTTCACAAAAGTACGCTTTAGACAAAATTTTCACAAAACCTAAAGCATTTCTACAAAAGAAGGTTGAAAAAAAAAAACAATTGCCCTATATCCCTTCAAGATCAATGTTTAGACAAAATTGAATCCCCTTCACTGAAGTATGCTTCAGAACAAAGTTGGTCAAAATCTAATCATTCCTACAGGAGTAGGAATTGAGAGGGGTAGAGTATTGAGATTCACAATCTATATCACATTGATTCTTCTTTACCCAAGCATGCTTCAGACCTAACTTGGACAATATCCTGCAATTCTTGAAGAACATTTTAAAGAAATTGACATATTTCCCCCATTAGGTCTCACTGGTCAGACCCTTGGGAGCCAAGACCCTCCATTTATATAGAATTATTCCCCAATGATGCTTCATACCAAAACTGTTGAAAATCCATTCAGCCATTCAAGACTAGTAGTGACTTTATAGGACAAGTAGACAGATGCCAGATAGAGGATGGTTGCCACAGCATCCTAACAGCTCACTTGTCTCTCCATGCCAAGTGAGCTAAAACAAAACCTTGTATTTATCTTTTCAGCTATCACCTTAAAAGCTTACCTTTTTTCCACTTTTGTAAAACTGAAATGTTGGCATGGCAGATATTTCACACTTTCTTGCAACCTCCTGAAAAAAGATGAAAAGAACAATGATAACCATGACGGGGACTTTGCTCACCTGGTACTCTATTTGTTTGTTTAGTTGTTTTGATATTGATTCAAGGTGAATCTAACACTGGGTGTAAATGAACCTATGCAAACGTGTCCATGTATTCTATATTACTTATCTTTCTGGCTTTACAAATGACAACAAAAAATTTACCAGTTTATGACAAATACATTCTGTAATGATTTCAGGGGGCCGAGACCCACCATTTATACAGAACTGATTTCCTTTCATCTAAGAACACTTCAGACAAAATTTAGGCAAAATCCAATCATTCCTATCAAGGAAGTAGAATTTTAAAGAATTTGCTCTATTTCCCCCCATTATACCCTGCCCCTCACTCCCATGGGTCTAAAACCCACAGTTTATACAAAATGATTGCCTTCAACACCCGAATGCCACAGACCATATATCAAAGAGGTGACTATTGCTGCCAAAAAAGCTATCCCGATAGTATTGCAATAGTAATATTACTATTGTGATACCATTGTGAAAGTCAGGTGACTATTGCAATGCTAAGTTCTTTTTTACATTTCAGATATGTTTGACCCAGACAGACAAATAATGGACTATGGATGAAGGGCAATTTGAACAGGCAACCTTCTGATAATTGTTGGGCCCATAAGTATAGTACTACTTACTTCCACTTCATCCACATCAACCTTCCCAAATTTGACATCGGTGTTTTCGTTGGAAAGTGCCTGGAAATCCAATAAAACTTGGTCAAAATCATTTTAACAGAGGTGTAAATACATCTTTCATTTAACTACAGCTACAAACAATTATTCACATATTGTAAAAACTGAATGAATTAATATGTAGCAGACTACTGAAAAGTTTCATATTTTTCCATTACTTTTGGAATTTAAAACAAGAAAATGATTCTTCGTGAATTTTATCACTTCTTTACTGGGAATTGAGTGAGTCATGTATAGCGTGTTAAACCATCCATATATGTAATTGACTACAACCTTAGACTTAAGGTTGATACATCTGCACATGGCCTTGGCTACATGTTGTATCGTATACATCAAGTCAGGCAGATCATCAAGTCTGAAGTCTGCTTTGGATCCAATCTTCAAACAGTTGGAAAAAGTCCTATGGACCAACAAAATTGCAATAGCTGCAGGTGGCCAGTGCAATCTAAGATTGTTCCCTGTACCTGAATGTGACTATCAAGCTTTGAAACCACTTTAAGAAACAAACTCAAACGGGCTATTTATGAGTGAGTTTTTCAGCAGTACAACTTTGAGATTGTCTACAAATCAGCTTCTCAGATGCTTTCGGTTGCAGATGCAAGTCAGTTGTAATTTTGTTTTGGATATCAAGTTGATGATTCTTTCTTTCCATACCCTGAAGACAATGCTGGTGATGTTAGACTACCTGTGGGTCAAGATCTGCTTGACTGATAGCATCACATACAACCGGAACAATCAGTATGCTAAGAGCATTCAGACCCTGCTGCATCTAGATAATGAACATGACCATGATGCTGATTCAGATGATGCACTTTAAACTACAGAAATTGAGGATGTTTAAACATGTATTGCCTATGAATAGGCAAACAGGAACAAATGTCGGTGTTGGTACTGAGTCATTGCTGTTTGGTTGTGATAAACTCAACAGATTGTCAGTTAATCATCTAACAGTGCCTGGCAAGCATAATTCTTGTAGTAACAAAGGTGAATGCAGTATTGATAAATAAATTCTTTTACCAACTCAGGTTGCAGTTGTTGATGACAACTGTGATACATCTTTGAATGACAGATGTAACATTGGATACAATTATGCATAATGGGGTTTCAAAGCAAATTGAAAAAACCAGCGGTGCAAACAGTAAAGTACCACTATTAATTGTTGTGGCCGAGACATCTGGCAATACCCCAATGTCATAGAGAGCAAGCAAACTTTCATTGAATAGGGGCATGTTTAGGCTGATCAGTTTAAAGCATTAGACATTTTGGAAAAGTCCGATTATGTATGTTCTTGCCATAATTGTCAAACTTGTAAGGCTCTGAAAGCCCATACAAACAAGAGGCCCAATATGCCTGCAACACTCACCTGTATATATATATATATATATAGAGAGAGAGAGAGAGAGAGAGAGAGAGAGAGAGATATAGAGAGAGAGAGAGAGAGAGAGAGAGAGAGAGAGAGAGAGAGAAAATTAATCACTTAACATGACAAACAAATATATCACTAACGTTTTCAGGTCTCGCGGCCATCTTCAGGTGGTTTAAACTGTAAAAGTAACATTAGAGAAAGAAGCTTTGTCAAAGAGAAAGACTATTCTTTCGCTATGGAAAAGACAGCTGAACAAAAGAAAACAGCATTTTTGGAAGAGCTACCAGAACAAAATGTATGTGGAAACCTACAATAATTGGATTAGAAAGCCCAATACTTCCGCGAAAATACTTGATTAAAGAAATCAACGGTGAACCAATGGATGAAACTAAACTGCAGTTTGAGTAAGCTGTCCCAAGTTTCCGTACAGATGTTAAACTGATAGAAAAGAAACAGAATCGATTTGAGGCAGCCTATAAAGCAGTAGACTTGTCCATGGATGAAGAGATTTCAAAGATTTCAACCACACATATCTCTGAAAAACTAAAAGAAATGAGGATTAAAGATATCTCTATAGAGGAACAGAAGTCTTTAAAATTATGGGAACCTAAGGGCACATTCCTAGACACATATCACACCAAACCAGTGGTAAAACGCCGCAAAAAGGAAACAACATAATCAACCACCACAAAACAATAGGAGAAGTAGAGAGCGAGAAAGGACTCGACAGGGGAGACATACACAAAGCCAAAGATCTAGCAGCGGATCAAGGCAAGAAATGGGAGCAGAGACAGATCTCAAAGTCGAACCTGGTGAAATATATCTCCTCTCCGCCAAAACAATAAGTTAACCTACTCTGATGTGGTCAGAAGAGGACCAAAGAAACCTCTTCTACAGAAAAAGATCAACCAGAAGAGTAAGAACCAGCCTAAAAAAATGATCCAAAAAGAAGCAACACAAATTCAAACCCCCAATGTTAACAATCCCGGAACGAAAGCGGAACGCGAAGGCCAACCACAACCATCCCGGGAGAGAACAACAACGCAGGAGACGGCGCCCAAAACCACCAGCTGTGAATAGACCCAAAAATAATAAATTTATCCAACAAAGATCTCGGTCATCACCAACTAAGCTTATTAAAACGTGGATTGAAATTTACCCCAACTCCGGAGAATAATGAGCATGAATTGCAAGAGGACATTCAGGAGTTTGGAAGGAAATTACGTTAAAAAGAATTCTTTGCGGATAAAACTCCCGGAAATGACGACTCTTTAGTACGGAACAAATCCCCCTTTACGCCCCCATAAGGTAAGGATATACACTTGGATAAATATATAAATACTATTTCTGATTTTGCTGAAACAGGAACTTATCGCCGCCACAATCTATCTCGTGTTGAAGCAAATGCAATGAAGGAATTGAAAACCGATAAAACATTAGTGATAAAGCAAGCCGACAAAGGCGGGGCTATTGTTATCATGGAATAGCAATATTACAAGGAAAAAGTTCTCGAACAATTGAACAATTCAAACTACTTCTCCGAAATACCCAACAATATTGATAACATCACCATGAAGAAAATAAACAAAATTGCACAACAGGAAAAAGAATACATCATCCGTTTCGAAGTCAAATGCAGTAATTTCCATAAGAGTAAACTAATCCAAGAAGCTGTAAAACTTTAAAACTCAGAATGTGTGGAAATATACCAACCCGCAGATCTGAAGTTCAGACCGATAGTAGCGGGTCCTTCTTGCCCAACACACTGCCTTAGTTGAACATTATTTTAAAACCTTTTTGTCAACATATTCCTAGTTATCTTAGAGATGATTTAGACTTCATTACTCAACTACCAGTAGATTGATGAAGAAGTTTTGATGTTACTAGTTTATATACCAACATATCGCGATACGATTCTGGATAACTAAACACCCAGAAGTAGTACATCCAAGATTTAAAGAAACTTTCATCCTCAAATCTTTAAAAACTATACTTCAAAATAATAAATTTTATTTTGATGGTAAATATTATGTACAGATACTGGGAACAGCAATGGGTACGAAAGTAGCACCAACATAGTAGAATCAAAATAAAATTGGGTGTGTTTTTGGACTAATTTTACCATCTTTAAGTCTCGATCAAGAGTTTCTGACGTCTGGAAATTGCGTTTGTGCAAGACCATGCATACATTCAGGAGGTGTCGGGAATTTTCGTACCAAAGAATTTTCGTCTGAGGGGAATTTTCGTAGCACTGTGGATATATATAGATAGGGTGTCAACAACCAATTATAACACCCTCCGCTGTGTTAATTTGATATTTTAGAAGTTTATACAATAATTTGTCTGGTTTTTACCCAAGTACTGGTACGCGTCTGTTGTTAGCCGACAGACGTGTCGCCTCACAGGTGTCACCATTGTTTTTTCAAGCCACAGAGGCACTAATTATCCAGCCTGGCACAGGTGCTATTATGAGTTTAGATGACGTCTCTACACTGTGAACTGTGTTTACAAATCAAGACTGGTGATCTTATTGTTATTTTTACAATCGCAAAATTAATAACAAAACAACACATTGATCATGTTAACAATGTTTAATAATTAACTAAAACACCATCGTATGCTGGAAGGTCTAAAAAAAACACATACACCTTATATACACATAACCTTTTCTATAAATTCTAATAATTCTATTCTATACTATATAATAATAGTATGAAAATTCTTCGGGACGAAAATTCTCGGGCCCCATTCACTACTAGGCCTACTCTGTGTTTTAGGCGTTCACGATTACGAAGGAATAATATTCCAATGACCGCCCAAGCCATAGGCTAGCCTATCAATTTTGTGTTTAGTTGTAGGATTAATAACAAAATATCAAACTAACAAATATACTTTTATTTCATCAACAATCAGTTTTATTAATCGATAGCATGCATCGACACCCCATCCGTGTTAGTGTTAGGACAACCGTACGCTGCACACCGCTTCCATCCTCGACAGGAAGCCATTTCAGCAGATTTAACCTCTAATTCACTGACCCCTCATTCACTACCTTAAATATTGTGAAGATGTGAAGTACTTTCACGGAAATAAACAAAGAAATTACTCCGGAAAATCCCAAAATAGATCACCATCACCTGTAGAACAGTGAAGACAATATGGCTACATCAGCAAAAGCGTTGAACTTATGACGTCACAGGTTTGGGTGCCCGAAAACGAGGACAACGTCTCTCAGACAAAGGTGTGTTTTTCAGTAAAGTCGCAATTTCTCAGTAACGGAACATTCCAATGCATTCGCGTTTTCGTCAATGTGTATTCTATGTGCAGAACTACATTGGACAGACAGGAAATGCCCTATCTAAAAGAGTTCAGGTTCACAGACAGCAGATACGCTCACCGGAAACATGAAAATATCCCGCTGGGTGAATATTTGGACATCTGCGGCAAAGGAAACTTTTTTTATATACCTGTTCTATAAGATGTCAGAATCTACAACGTCAAAACAAATCATCAAAGAAGATTTGTCAAACTGTTTAAACCGTCCCTAAATACACACTGAAGATTGTGTCGGGACACAATTAATAACATTATTAACTCCCCTCTTATTATATCAATAACATTACATCACAATGTAGGTTACTAAGTAATGTACAGTGTACATGTAATGTAATCACATGAAGATGGCCGCGAGGCCTGAAAACGTTAGTGATATATTTGTTTGCCATGTTAAGTGATTAATTTTCTCTGTATATACAATACACAAAGTTTTTATCTTTTTAAATTAAATATATATAATATATATATACCACCCAAATAACATGCCTCTAGGCCTTTTAGTTCATGAGAGGTTATTTAAACATTTTAACAACTTTTCGCAAACATTGTTTGGCTTAATCCTTGAAACATATCCACCAAATATCATGCCTCAAGGCTGTTTAGTTCATAAGAAGATGCCATTTAAATGCTTTAACAAATTTGACCCCTGTGACCTTGAACAAAGGTCAAGGTCATTTCTTTTCGCAAATTTTGTCAGGCTTCATCCTAGGAACATACCACCCAAAGAGGTCCTTGATAAAGAACCTATAAATTGAGAACACTGTGGATCCTTTCCAGGAGAGGACAATGACACAGATGACTAATTCTTTGATGCTGAAACAGAAATCAATTCTAGCAATGCTGATCATTCAGCTTTTAATGCCTCAACTGTGCATGGCAACTGTGCATGGCAACTGTGAATGACAACTGTGAATGACAACTGTGAATGACAACTGTGAATTTACTGTGAATGACAACTTTGAATGATAACTGAATGACAACTGTGCATGATAATTGTGAATGACAACTGTGAATGACAACTCTTGAGCCTTCATATTCCTTTAAAAGTGTAGTTACTTCACTCTTATCTTCTAAATCTTGCATTCCTGACATGATGATGAAGGATTTTGTTCTTCCAACTAATTGAGGTCATAAGGTGCCTTTACTATATTGGGATCCAGATTTTTTAATCCAAATGATGTACTTTCCTCACCTCTGTAAGATTTTAGTGCAGATTTGAAAGAGAAATGTGTTCTTGCTCAGAGAAACCAAACTGGTGATCTTGTCCATTTAAGTAGGAGAACTTAAGCAAAATGCAATGTAGACCAGTTCTGAACTAAATTCTAAAAATGAAAAAAGCTTTTGAAATCCAGCCACACCTTTTACATGATTAAATGATACAGTGAAAGTTGTCTTTTTTACATGACAACAGATTACCTGGTACATTGTTTCATATAATATGCAAATAACCTATTCTGTTCTAGGGTTGCATAACATTCTACTCATTGCTATATTGAGAAAAACATAAAGGTGGGAGAACCAACACTCTTGAAGTCTCAGAAAGCGGCAATGTTCCTGAATGGATACTGTGTGGTATTCACTAGAGATCCTGGTTATGTAGTTAACATAATGATGAAATAATAAGGATGCTCAACTTTCAAGAACAGTTCTTCTTTTATTTGTGTAAGGACATTGTCGACATGTTTCGGCCGCTAGGCGGCCGTCATCAGGACGACTTGACATAAAAACATAGAGCTTAAATGGCACATTGCAGCTATCATAATGTGAGGTCATAATGGACAATAATAATTATCTGAAAAGAAAGGTAAGTACATTTAACTAGTGGACTGGAAGAACTGTTCTTGAATGTTGAGCATCCTTCATTTCATCATCATTGTTATATTTTATAATGAACATGTATGCCAGCTTAAGAGATTGCTTCAGGACCTGCAGTACAGAACATGTATAAACATTGAAATGTAGATGTCCTATGTCAGTGACATTTTGAGTATCGTTGTATATAGTAAAAACATATCAAAAGGTGATGATATAGTAGACCAATATTTTCTATGTATGTTCGATAGTCGACAACTGGGGTGTCAGTATGCTTGAAAGTGCGTATAGAAATAGTGAGTGTTATTTCACTTAAGCATTTTTACACAAGAGATAGGCTCTGCTGATCACATCTACTTCATCTCTCCATGGATACCTGTACCTTGCACTGAATTTGTGCTCTTGACATTTCAATCCAATAGCAATAAACAGTGTGATGTGTTTACAAGCCTCTCTGATAACCATTACCTATAAACATGAATTTAACATGTTTGCTGGTAATTTGAATGAACTAGCTTTGAAGTTTATAAGTTGATGCAGTTACAAGAATTTGTATCTTTAACCTAATTATAACAAAGATGGTATTCTCTTTTTTCAGAAATTTGAAGGCCATTTCTGCTTGGCGGTGGGATGTTAAACCATTCATGTATGTAAATATTAGTGCCTTTATTTGTAGTAATTGTAGGATCTCGTGTTATTGAAGTTAGATTTACTTCCCTTGTAATTTTCTGGATTTTTCAATATGCTGTTCGAGTTGAAATTTCGTGAGAAATAGAATAACAAGATGGATGCATGAGCATTTGTGTTTGAGTGATCTGCCTCCGTGGAGTAACAAGCAATATGCTGGAACTTTAGGTCATCAGAATATGGCCATGGGTTGATAATAAATATTGTAAGTACACAAACACGATAACAAGCCTGTATACATGGTACCAGTGCCAACACTTACCTCAATCCTTGGTGCAATCATTTTGCATGGTCCACACCAAGTAGCATGGAAATCTATGACCGACAGTTTAGAGTCAGCTATGAATTCATCAAATTCCTCCTGTTGAAGAGAAGAACCAGAATACCATATTATGTTCCATCATTTATAACAAAGGAGAGACAAATACTAGTAAAACTGGTCAACAAAGCACACCAGTAAATAGGTTGACTTCGGTGACTGGGGAGCATATAATCTTAAGTGTACCAAGCATGACAAAAGAAAGGAATATATAATTCTATACGACCCAAAATGAAAAAAGTTTGAAAACCTAATCAAAATCGGTCTGCAGAATACCGAGATATTGCAATGTAAAGTGAATGTTTTTCACCTGTCATTCTACTTCTAATTGGCAGATGTGTGCACTCCTGCTGAACGTACTGTTTCAGCTATGACATCCCAAGTTTAATGACTGTAACAGCTACCATAAAAGGAATATAATGTCAGATTGCAAATGAATTTTGTTTATTTTGAGGAATTACATAACATTCATGATAACTTTATGTAGACTGTATCAAGCCATATACAACATTCCTAGAATTTTCAGATATGGAGTTTCATTGAAACTAAACGGACACCTCAATGGAAATGAACAAAGATAACATTGGATACAGTTCATTGTACATTTTTATGTTAGGTCGCCAACATTGTACATTCTTTATGTTAGGTCGCCAACATTGTACATTCTTTAGGAAAGGTCGCCAACATTGTACATTCTTTATGTTAGGTCGCCAACATTGTACATTCTTTATGTTAGGTCGCCAACATTGTACATTCTTTATGTTAGGTCGCCAACATTGTACATTCTTTAGGAAAGGTCGCCAACATTGTACATTCTTTATGTTAGGTCGCCAATATTGTACATTCTTTATGTTAGGTCGCCAACATTGTACATTCTTTATGTTAGGTCGCCAACATTGTACATTCTTTATGTTAGGTCGCCAACATTGTACATTCTTTATGAAAGGTCGCCAACATTGTACATTCTTTAGGAAAGGTCGCCAACATTGTACATTCTTTATGTTAGGTCGCCAACATTGTACATTCTTTATGTTAGGTCGCCAACATTGTACATTCTTTAGGAAAGGTCGCCAACATTGTGCATTCTTTATGTTAGGTCGCCAACACTGTACATTCTTTATGTTAGGTCGCCAACATTGTGCATTCTTTATGTTAGGTCGCCAACATTGTGCATTCTTTATGTTAGGTCGCCAACATTGTGCATTCTTTATGTTAGGTCGCCAACACTGTGCATTCTTTAGGAAAGGTCGCCAACATTGTACATTCTTTATGTTAGGTCGCCAACATTGTACATTCTTTATGTTAGGTCGCCAACATTGTGCATTCTTTATGTTAGGTCGCCAACACTGTACATTCTTTATGTTAGGTTGCCAACATTGTACATTCTTTAGGAAAGGTCGCCAACATTGTACATTCTTTAGGAAAGGTCGCCAACATTGTACATTCTTTATGTTAGGTCGCCAACACTGCACATTCTTTATGTTAGGTCGCCAACATTGTACATTCTTTATGTTAGGTCGCCAACATTGTACATTCTTTAGGAAAGGTCGCCAACATTGTACATTCTTTATGTTAGGTCGCCAACATTGTACATTCTTTATGTTAGGTCGCCAACATTGTACATTCTTTAGGAAAGGTCGCCAACATTGTACATTCTTTAGGAAAGGGCGCCAACATTGTACATTCTTTATGTTAGGTCGCCAACATTGTACATTCTTTATGTTAGGTCGCCAACATTGTACATTCTTTAGGAAAGGTTGCCAACATTGTACATTCTTTAGGAAAGGTCGCCAACACTGTACATTCTTTATGTTAGATCGCCAACATTGTACATTCTTTAGGAAAGGTCGCCAACATTGTACATTCTTTATGTTAGGTCGCCAACATTTTGCATTCTTTATGTTAGGTCGCCAACATTGTACATTCTTTAGGAAAGGTCGCCAACATTGTACATTCTTTATGTTAGGTCGCCAACATTTTGCATTCTTTATTTTAGGTCGCCAACATTTTGCATTTTTTATGTTAGGTCGCCAACATTGTACATTCTTTATGTTAGGTTGCCAATATTGTACATTCTTTATGTTAGGTCGCCAACATTGTAAATTCTTTAGGAAAGGTCGCCAACATTGTACATTCTTTATGTTAGGTCGCCAACATTGTACATTCTTTATGTTAGGTCGCCAACATTGTACATTCTTTAGGAAAGGTCGCCAACATTGTACATTCTTTAGGAAAGGTCGCCAACATTGTACATTCTTTATGTTAGGTCGCCAACATTGTACATTCTTTATGTTAGGTCGCCAACATTGTACATTCTTTAGGAAAGGTCGCCAACATTGTACATTCTTTATGTTAGGTCGCCAACATTGTACATTCTTTAGGAAAGGTCGCCAACATTGTACATTCTTTATGTTAGGTCGCCAACATTGTACATTCTTTAGGAAAGGTCGCCAACATTGTACATTCTTTATGTTAGGTCGCCAACATTTTGCATTCTTTATGTTAGGTCGCCAACATTGTACATTCTTTAGGAAAGGTCGCCAACATTGTACATTCTTTATGTTAGGTCGCCAAAGCTTATTAAAAAACTTTCTCTTCACCAAGGCATGCTTAAGACCAAATTTGGACAATATTCTGCAATTTCTGAAGAACAGAATTTTTTAACCTTTAAACAATTATAATTAACCCAGAAATAAAGTGAAGTCACTAACCATTAAAATGTATCAGAAAGCTTCATTATTTAGCAAATGTTAAAACTTTTTAAAAAAATACAATTTCCATATAATCAAGTAGGTTACACAGCGATATTTGTTACGCTTTATATTTTATCATATTATTCATTTTATACATAAACATGCTATTCTGTGACATTTGTTGTGAAACTCATACACAGCTGGACTCAAGACTATTATTTTGATATCTGCCTTAGTTTTACAATAAATTTAGTAAAATTCCTCTTTATTTCAAACTTGTTTTATGTTTTAAAATGTGATTAATTCAACAAACCCATTATTTAATTTTGACAGTAACTTTGACACACTTTATACATTGTTGGAAGAGTTGTATAAAAAAATATAGTACAACTCTAGTAGCTAAAGGTAGGATAACACAGCTATTTACCGAATGAAAATGCCTATAAGTTCATGAACCGTAGTTTAATTGGGATCAGTTTTGTGACAATTTGTCATTAATTTTTCATGTGACAAAAATAAATGTCCGAACGCTGTTTTTTTTTCTACTTTTTATTGGAAACGATTTTTAAAATATTGCTACCATCCGCCATGCTGTTTATCAAAATGGGTCAATTCAAGGACGTGTCTAAAACATGGACCCAAAGTTAAAGAAATCATCACCTCCCCTACTATATTTTGTAGATAACAATAACGATATAACACTAATTTCAGATATAAACTCTCACTGTTGTAACAACTTGTGCTTAAAATTCTGGTTTCATTCTAAGTACAGTCAAATTTCGATGTTTCCAAGTTCAAGAGACTTGCAAAAAAACTTTGATAAATCTGTGTTGGGTCATTTAAATGCTTTCAAATTCATGACTATCGTTGCTGACACAATATTTTTACCTAAACAAACACAACAAATATTAAAACACAGGTTAAAATGAAAAGAGGCAATTTCTTTTAAAAAATAAACCATTTTTTAACTTCATGACAAAATAATTAAAAACAAGCAGTCACCTGAGATAAGCAATATTGAATACAAAGATTAATGGGAAAGCAGATTTCCAGTGTCATGAAAAAGACACTGTGACATTGAGGATAATTAGCCAGTGTCTATACATGCATACCATAAAATCTGTCATCCGATACTAATAAATCTTACAAAGTAATTTCTAGTGGGAAATGTTATGCTCAAAAATGTTTTTTTTTTTTTTAACAAAAATTACAGTAAAGTTAACCTCCTCTCCAGGAAGACATGTGAGAGCCATTTTGGAAAATTAAAGCACCTTAAGACACTTCCATCCTAGAAGAGCATTTGATTTGACCATACCTGGGCATTGAAAAGAAGATTTTTGAAATTTAATTCAATCTTGCCCTCTTTTGGCCCTGCTCATAAGACCCTGGGGGTCATTTAGGATCAATATGGGCATACCATAAAGCCATGATCCCTTCCTCATAATTCTAACCAAGTTTGAAATATTTCCGATTGAAAATAAACAAATTTTGCTCAAAAATCTATTTTTCCTACATAAACTACAGTAAACTTTACCCCCTCCCCATGGGGAAATGTGAGTCCCAGGGGCCACAAAATGCAAAATTTTGGCAAAGCACCTTAACATGCTTTCATCCATGAAGAACATTTGATACAACAATATCTGAGTGTTGAGATGAAGATTTTGGAAATTGAAGTCAATTTGACCCCTATTGGCCCTATCCATCAGCCCTTGGTGGTCAACCAGGATCAATATGGGCATACCATCAAGCCATCATCCTTTGCTTATAATTCTAAGCAAGTATGAAATATTTCCTATGATAATTAAACAAATTATACTTAAAAATTAAATTTTTCCTGTATAAAAAGTAGTAAATCTTACCCCTCCTCACAAGGAAATGTGAGACCCTTGGACCATGAAATTCATCTTTTTTGTAAACCACCTTAAAATGCTTTCATTCATGAAGAGCATTTAATATTACGATATCTGGGTGTTGTGAAGAGGATTTTTGAACTTAAAGAGTAAATTTTACCCTTTTGCCCCAGCCCCTCAGGCCCCAATGGGTGGGGACCACATAATTCTCTGTTTTGTTAAATCTTTGGCCAGGGAAGGTTTCTGCAAAGTTTCATTGAATGGGTTCAGGAATTTTTGAGAAGAAGTTGAAAATGATAAAAATTTTTTGACTGACACATGAAGGTGATCACAATAGGTCGCCACCATGAGACCCATCATTTACACAAAACTGTTTCCTCTTCCCCCAAGGAGATGCTTCTGACCAAATTTTATCAAAATCTTCTCAGTCGTTCATGAATCGTTGACAAACGATGGATGCTGCTGTATCCCAATAGCTCACTTGGCCCTTCCAGCCAGGTGAGCTAAAAACTATTGTTAACAATTGACAGTTGAACAAACAATCATAACAGTTATCGACTTGAAAATATCCTAACAACCTAAGGCTATCCTGAGCAAAGCTATTGTAATACATAGATAAGTCAACCCATCATTACACCACTAACACAAACTACTTAAATAAAGTTAATTTTTTGGCCTACGACTCCCTAGTATTATTTCTTTCATCCTTATTTCTGCCTTTTCTATCACATTTTAATCAAATGGCAGCTTAAAATTTGATGGGATGATTAAGATTATTTTTCAATTAAACAATTTCTTTCAGAAGCATCCTATTTGGAAATACATATCCTTATTAACAACCAAACAGATAATCACCAATTTTTAGGCGAAATGTACTCAGTACGTATAGCCTATTGCGACGGCCTTTCAGACAAAATTTACCGATCCTGGCCTTCTCATTGGCTGAAATATCGAAAAGAGTTAGAGCCCTCTAGCGGCATTTTTTGTGTAAATAATGCCATGATCTTTCAAATTGCTATTTTAAAAGCATCCAAAATTAGTTTATTTTTTAATAACAATACGATTACTATATATTTAAAAAAGAAGCACAGTGTGGTTGAACTATTGATAAATTTTGAACAATATATTTTACGGAATTCTCAACATGACGTAAGCGTACAGAACACATTACGTGCGAGTTGATAAGAAGCTAGTCTGGGGGCTTAGTTTGAATTATCAACTAACAACACTTATAAACAAACAAAACTTACAAACAGAACATCAATTTTGTTTTAATCCTTGTCGTTGTGGCAAGATCGTCTTAATATATATCATCACTTTACCTCATTAGACGTCACCGAATTGGACTGTTCGTCCCACGCGCACACCTGCCGATATGACACTTTTTAAGATTTTGAAGATAAAAAGTTTGCGCTTCGTAGGCAAGTTATATTTGGTGCTCATGATTTATGAATAATATATTTTTAATACTGTACTGATCATGATGTTGACTTTGTTATAACTTATATTTTTTGTCTTTTAGTTTTATTTGATGAAGGTTGTTTGTGCTGATTTCTGAAGGTTTGTTAATGTGTATCAAAGTTCCTTGAAATGAAAATATTCCTTCAAACAAAGCGCGCATAAAAAACCCAAAATATTCATGTTTATAATTATCAATTAACTAGAACGAAATATTTTCATAACATATTTATTCATTTAATAATGGTGACATTATCTAATGCATTGGAGATCAGAAATAGTAGTAGCTATAGTGAAAATATTGTAAATTTTCTATATATATGGAAGTCTGGTTTAATCTCAAAGAACTACCGGTATGTCTTTATAGACATAATTACTGGAAGAAAAGTCTAACCATGATACTTCAAGGAAGATAGGCATGTAAATACATTAAATGTAATTACTTACACTTTAATCTATCTGAAATGCTGTGTACACCTTATTTACTTTCCTCAACTACAAATATAATTATAATAAGTAAGGACTATTACTTTGCAATACATTCAAAATAAAGAAGTAGGTATAAAGTCCTTCCGATTTGTCTAAATCCTCATATTGATAGGATAGTAATTGCAACATCTTGGGTATTTCAAAGGTTCTATTTAGTTAACTTCATCATAGAGCTATTTATCATTTGGTTTATTGGCGATAAATATATGGTTGTGTGTATTTTGTTATTTTTTTTTTTTTTTTACCTATTTTGATTTGTTCACATTATTGTCGTCAAATTTGAAATAAGAATTAAAGAAGATATAAAATCTCTTAAAATTAAGAAAAATAGCCTCTGGTTCTCTTATTTTAGTAATTTTTGCATTCCAAAGTGTAGGAGTATGGAGAAAGTAATATAGCTTAGCGGTTATTTGTAAACATTTTTCAAAACGTTTAGCCTCTCAGTACTTTCAGTACTTTGATTATATCTGTTATACTGTGCAAGTTCAATGAATACTGAGAATTTAAATGAATAAATTCCAACTTGAACCTTACTTGTGAAAAAAAGATATTTTTCATTGTTATAGTATAGTAAAGCATGCACTTTATCAATTTAAAGTTATCAAGATGTATTGATTAAATATACATGTTTTTTTCCTTTGTGACAAATGTTGCGTATCACAATGTATTGTGGTGAATAAAAAATTACGTTCACACACTTTTCTCCCCATGAGAAAGTTTGCAGGTACGTGTGTGGCCGGCCCACACCCCCACACCCCCCACCTTATATAATAATACAGAAACAAAAAATAACTTATCATTTGAAGTTTACAGAGCTGTTATTGAGGTACCTCAATGTACTAGGGGAGAAATCGACAGTGAACTTTAAACCCGTTAAATAAATAAAATAAGCAAAACGTTTGTCCACCATGTTGAATTACACACACTGGGCCAAGTCAATACACAGCCCAACTCCGAAAACGATACAATGTACGACTTCATCAGTTACTGTGATCAATTATCCTAATAATACAGTTACAAGGAAATAATTCGATCGTTTAACTTTACCTTTGAATTGATAACGTGGACAACCATGCTTCCTCTTCTTATGGATCCTGTGTGAACCTTGTGTGACCCGTTTTGTGAACTGCGTTGTTAGGAGCACGGGCTGTAAAGTCTTCCTGCCAAAATATGTTTACTCAACTAGTTTGGTTACATTGTCGTAACAGAACAACAAGTTAATTCGGTAACAGGTACGAATTTTAAATGAAAGTGACCTGCATATAATGTCCAGGGTACATTGCAAAGACTTTAAAATGTATAATATTACATTTCAGTATTGTAAGAGTTTCAAAAACTAGCTACACCCATATAAACATGGTAACACTGATCCTAGAGAAAACTAGCTACACCCATATAAACATGGTAACACTGATCCTAGGGAAAACTAGCTACACCCATATAACCATGGTAACACTGATCCTAGGGAAAACTAGTTACCACATATAACCATGGTAACACTGATCCTAGGGAAAACTAGTTACACCCATATAACCATGGTAACACTGATCCTAGGGAAAACTAGTTACACCCATATAAACATGGTAACACTGATCCTAGGGAAAACTAGTTACACCCATATCAACATGGTAACACTGATCCTAGGGAAAACTAGTTACACCCATATAAACATGGTAACACTGATCCTATGGAGAACTAGTTACCACATATAACCATGGTAACACTGATCCTAGGGAAAACTAGTTACACACATATAACCATGGTAACACTGATCCTAGGGAAAACTAGCTACACCCATATAACCTTGGTAACACTGATCCTAGGGAAAACTAGTTACCACATATAAACATGGTAACACTGATCCTAGGGAAAAATAGCTACACCCATATAAACATGGTAACACTGATCCTAGGGAAAAATAGCTACACCCATATAAACATGGTAACACTGATCCTAGGAAAAACTAGCTACACCCATATAACCATGGTAACACTGATCCTAGGGAAAACTAGCTACACCCATATAAACATGGTAAAAATGATCCTAGGGAAAACTAACTACACCCATATAACCATGGTAACACTGATCCTAGGGAAAACTAGTTACCACATATAACCATGGTAACACTGATCCTAGGGAAAACTAGTTACCACATATAACCATGGTAACACTGATCCTAGGGAAAACTAGTTACCACATATAACCATGGTAACACTGATCCTAGGGAAAACTAGTTACACCCATATCAACAGGGTAACACTGATCCTAGGGAAAACTAGTTACACCCATATAAACATGGTAACACTGATCCTAGGGAAAACTAGTTACCACATATAACCATGGTAACACTGATCCTAGGGAGAACTAGTTACACACATATAACCATGGTAACACTGATCCTAGAGAAAACTAGTTACCACATATAACCATGGTAACACTGATCCTAGGGAAAACTAGTTACCACATATAACCATGGTAACACTGATCCTAGGGAAAACTAGTTACCACATATAAACATGGTAACACTGATCCTAGGGAAAACTAGTTACACCCATATAAACATGGTAACACTGATCATAGGGAAAACTAGTTACACCCATATCAACAGGGTAACACTGATCCTAGGGAAAACTAGTTACACCCATATAAACATGGTAACACTGATCCTATGGAGAACTAGCTACACACATATAACCATGGTAACATTGATCCTAGGGAAAACTAGTTACACCCATATAACCATGGTAACACTGATCCTAGGGAAAACTAGCTACACCCATATAAACATGGTAACACTGATCCTAGGGAAAACTAGCTACACCCATATAACCATGGTTACACTGATCCTAGGGAAAACTATTTACCACATACAACCATGGTAACGCTGAGCCTAGGGAGAACTAGTTACACCCATATAAACATGGTAACACTGATCCTAGGGAAAACTAGTTACCACATACAACCATGGTAACACTGATCCTAGGGAGAACTAGTTACACACATATAACCATGGTAACACTGATCCTAGGGAAAACTAGTTACCACATACAACCATGGTAACACTGATCCTAGGGAGAACTAGTTACCATATATAAACCATGATAACACTGATCCTAGGGAAAACTAGTTTCCACATATAACCATGGTAACACTGATCCTAGGGAAAACTAGCTACACCCATATAACCATGGTAACACTGATCCTAGGGAAAACTAGTTACCACATTGTCGGTAAATGAAACAGTCTCCCACAGTACCGACTCCTGTAATTTGAAATAACTACACGGTATAAAAACTACAATCACGACAAAAAAAATCATTAATGTAACCAGCCCAATATGATAACACATAATTTATATTTTCATAAAAAGAAATAAAATATAGTGAAACCTTGCTATTAAGACCACTTTGGGGTGAAGTATATCATCAGATTGACCGCCAAGAACTACAACTCTGAAAATGAAGACTGTATTATATATATATATATATATATATATATATATAATTAAGATGTCATTATCGGGACACGCTGGTGTAAGCGACATGTCATCTTCACCAGTATCACTGGTGAGTATATACTCCCAACCATCCTCTAGCACCTCCCTAGCTGGAACCTGGTGATCACAGTCAGTATACACCTCTGCTGTCATGTCGATGTCTAAGGGTAGACGATCTCTCGCAGTTCATAAAAAGTCCCTGAGCTCACTAAGAGGAGTGTCGTCGTCTGTAGATTTCAAATTTTCTCTAACCTTAAATCTTTGTGTCCCTTTTCTTGTCTCCACGTCGATCTGTGTGTGCCTTTTCTTGTCTCTACGTCGATCTGTGTGTGCCTTTTCCTGTCTCCACGTCGATCTGTGTGTGCCTTTTCTTGTCTCCACGTCGATCTGTATGTCCCTTTTCTTGTCTCCACGTCGATCTGTGTGTCCCTTTTCTTGTCTCCACGTTGATCTGTGTGTGCCTTTTCTTGTCTCTAAGTCGATCTGTGTGTGCCTTTTCTTGTCTCCACGTCGATCTGTGTGTGCCTTTTCTTGTCTCCACGTCGATCTGTGTGTGCCTTTTCTTGTCTCCACGTCGATCTGTGTGTGCCTTTTCTTGTCTCCACGTCGATCTGTGTGTGCCTTTTCTTGTCTCCACGTCGATCTGTGTGTGCCTTTTCTTGTCTCCATCTGTGTGTGCCTTTTCGTCGATCTGTGTGTGCCTTTTCTTGTCTCCACGTCGATCTGTGTGTCCCTTTTCTTGTCTCCACGTTGATCTGTGTGTGCCTTTTCTTGTCTCCACGTCGATCTGTGTGTGCCTTTTCTTGTCTCTACGTCGATCTGTGTGTGCCTTTTCTTGTCTCCACGTCGATCTGTGTGTGCCTTTTCTTGTCTCCACGTCGATCTGTGTGTCCCTTTTCTTGTCTCCGCGTTGATCTGTGTCCCTTTCCTTGTCTCCACGTTAATCTGTGTGTCCCTTTTCTTGTCTCCACGTCAGTCTGTGTGTCCCTTTTCTTGTCTCCACGTCGATCTGTGTGTCCCTTTTCTTGTCTCCACGTCGATCTGTGTGTGCCTTTTCTTGTCTCCACGTCGATCTGTGTGTGCCTTTTCTTGTCTCCACGTCGATCTGTGTGTGCCTTTTCTTGTCTCCACGTCGATCTGTGTGTCCCTTTTCTTGTCTCTGTGTCCCTTTTCTTGTCAGTTCGACCTGTGTGTCTCTTTCTCCACGTGTGATCTGTGTGTGCCTTTTCTTGTCTCCACGTCGATCTGTGTGTCGATCTGTGTTTTCTTGTCTCCACGATCTTAATGTCTTGTCTCCACGTGTGTGTCTCTTTTCTTGTCTCCACGTCGATCTGTGTGTCCCTTTTCTTGTCTCCACGTCAATCTGTGTGTGCCTTTTCTTGTCTCCACGTTGATCTGTGTCCCTTTCCTTGTCTCCAGTTCGATCTGTGTGTATCTTTTCTTGTCTCCACGTCGATCTGTGTGTGCCTTTTCTTGTCTCCACGTCGATCTTAATGTCCCTTTTCTTGTCTCCACGTCGATCTGTGTGTCCCTTTTCTTGTCTCCACGTCGGTCTGTGTGTCCCTTAATGTTTTCTTGTCTCCACGTGTCTGTGTGTCCCGTCGATCTGTGTGCCTTTTCTTGTCTCCACGTCGATCTGTGTGTGCCTTTTCTTGTCTCCACGTCGATCTGTGTGTGCCTTTTCTTGTCTCCACGTCGATCTGTGTGTCCCTTTTCTTGTCTCCACGTCAATCTGTGTGTCCCTTTTCTTGTCTCCATGTTGACCTGTGTATCCCTTTTCTTGTCTCCACCTTGATCTGTATTTTTAAGCAGTAATTCATAAACTTAACTAATCACTAACTCAACCAATTTTCTCAAACATCAGCATTTATTAGGGTTTATTAGGAAGATAAATGGACGCACTCTGACAGCCTCTAAATCCACATCAACAATATATATTTACAATGAGTAAATTTACATCCTTCAGTACAACAATAAGAACCACGCAAACATTAAAATTAGATATTAACACAAATATTTTCCAATGTTCACCAAGTAATACTTCGAAATGGTAAACATTATCTGCATCGATGATATGTTGGGATAAATTATTCCATGTATCTACTATTCTATGACTAAAGAAATTATTTTTATATCCAGGTTACAGCGAGTTTTTTTTAATCTTTTCTGAATGACTTCTTGTTCGATTTGAAATGTCCATCTGGAGAAAGTTTTCTGTCACTCTATAATCACAACTACGTTTTACTATTTTAAAAGCATTTATGATATCTCCTCTGATTCTGCGACGTTGAAGTGTTGGGAGATTTAATCTCCTCCAGCGTTCTACCTACGATAAGTTCTTAAGTCCAGGATTAGCTTGGTAGCCCTCCTCTGTACCTTCTCGATCACTTCAATATCTCGACTCTAGATGGGCTCCATACACTAACTGCATACTCAAGGTGTGGTCTAACAAGGGCTTTGTACAACAATCTGAACATTGACGCTACAAGATAAATAATCTTCTTATTAGTACAACCAGAGACGTATATATGTGTTATATATGTCTTTGGTCCAACCATACTATTTGACACCTTTGACGCTTTTAGATAGACCGAGGTGAAGACAAATTTTAGGGACTGTACTTTAATGCCCGTGACTTCAACAACTCTCGCCATCTCTCAGAAATATTGTAGATTTCATGTTAAACGACGACAACGTACTCGTTATTTTAACTTTCAATTTAAAATGATAAAATAAACAGAGCTCCGCTTACGCAGAAATTTTATAAATCAGAAATGATGTTACATCACGTGACTTTCTGTTGGGGCCCACGTGATTTTCACCCGGGAGGCTAGGCTAGCGAAGATTCTAAGAAGCCGAAAACAGTGAAAGTATGTATAAATACCCTATATACTTCTTGTAAGTTTGTAGGATTGGAAACTTGAATTTTGTTTTGTCAATGGTGTGTTACAGCAATCTATGACTTTTCAATCATGATGTAGTGAATGAGACAGCCTTTGTTCACCTTCACGTGGTGGAAACGCGGCGCATTTAGACGTACTCGCAACGTCATTTTTAACTTTACGCTATCGGACTGTTACAGGCTTAAGGGCGTCTCGAACTGACCGCAGTTTTATATATCTAGCATTTCATATTGTTAACAGCATTTGATCTAAATAGGACAGATAAATGAGAGTTACGTAATTCCAAAACACGCTTAAAACCAGGCCTAATGCATTAGACTAACCCATTCGTACAACATGTGGACTTGTATGTTATGTAATTAAAATGAAAGATTGATCAGCTTGAATTTTGTTAGATCTGAATGTAACCAGGGACGTATTATACGTCCCTGATGTAATGGAGGGCCGTTACACCTCATGCACGCGTGCTCCGGCCACACACACACCACGTGTGCGCATAGTTGTGCCAAACCGGTCGACATTACCGTTAATTCCCAATCGTGGTCATATAGGTTTTTGTTCTCGGTACGAGCCGTCACAACAGTCCCCTCTTCACCTCCCCTCTTCACCTCCCCTTCAAAGTTACAGGCCTTTTAAATCCAGGTTCGACCACTAGGATGTAGAGGAAACACATATGTATCCAGCAGTTCATAAAGGTGGTCCAATATATACAAACAACTAATTCAGGGTTTTCCATAATTTTGTTAGTAGTAGGCTGTGTAGTGAAAGTAGGAGGCGGACCTGCCATGTACGTGTAGTCGTGTACGGAACATTATTACGGAACTGGATTGGTGTAGGCGGCCAAATGATCAAAGTAGCGGGTCAAACTGGCCGGTGACCGGCTCTTATGGAAAACCCTGTAATTATTAACAGAATATGATGAAGAATTACATGTACAACAATAAAATATCATAACATCAGTGCTGACTGTTGACAGCTGATTCTAAGTAACTCAACTAGTTCAGTATCCTAACATAAATGTATGTAACCTTATGCTACCTAACATTAGTACCAGCAGACCACATGCTCCTAGCTCCCTATAGGTCTACAGCTAACCAGTGTATACAGGTTTCCTATGGATGTCTAAGCCCTAAGCCCCTGACCATTCCCCGGTAATACACATCCTATGCTTCATTAACACTATATATGTGAGCCGACGTCGCACTACTGGGTTCTGTTAGCAGCACCACTACTGTAGTATTCTCCCTAAGATAAGTAGATCGGTTCACCGATCCTTTCAAGACACTGAATCCTGCAGGAACTCACTCTTTTATACCCTCCTTAATGAGTGCTACTCAATGATTGGCCGAACTGTATATAAGAAACAAAGTAAGCGATTAAATGAACTTCTGGTGTTCACTGCCGTTTCCTATCTCATAAGGTACAACTAAACGATAAATGCCCTACATGTGTGACATGGCCTTGTATACAAAGAGACAGGTGGCAGCCCATCAGCATATGCTGAAGAAGAGCTCCACCCTACCAAAAATATATGACATATAAAACAACATGAAAAGTAAAGAGCCTGTTCTCTCACACAAGTAAGAGACACAGCAACATATCCACCTCTAAATGAGCCATTTTAAGGTCACCAGAATCAACATTTTGCAGGCCCCATAATTTGACATCGCTATCATTAGAGTAGTAGCCTGAATCAATTTTAGCACTTGATACGGTCACCACACAGCACATTTTACTATAGGTGAGTTTGATTACCTGTACATGCTTCAGCCTTTTTTGGTAGCTTTCGGGAATCTTTAACTACCAGGATCTGTGACATCATTCTCACTATTCGGCAGTAGTGACTGGTGTAAACACAGCGGAAGTCTCGTATAAAATGCTAGTTTTATAATCGGTCTTATTTCAGCAGTGATGGTACATTGTGTTGTCTAGGGGTAATATAAAACTAGTGAAAATTGTAGATGCTTGTTTGAGCTTCTTAAATACAAAAGGATATGGAAAAAATGCGAAACCTTACTAACACAATTAAGATGAACAACAAGTAACAAATCAAGCGGATGAACTCTTTAATATCTGCCCATCGTATTAATTGGAACATTAATTTCAGCAGCACTTTGGTGAACAGCTTGACACACCACGACACACGTCATCACCTGGTCTTAAAAGAATAGAAGTTCTTATAATGTCATACATATACTTAGGTGAACAGCTTGACACACCACGACACACGTCATCACCTGGTCTCAATAGAATAGAAGTTCTTATAATGTCATACATATACTTAGGTGAACAGCTTGACACACCACGACACACGTCATCACCTGGTCTCAATAGAATAGAAGTTCTTATAATGTCATACATATACTTAGGTGAACAGCTTGACACACCATGACACACGTCATCACCTGGTCTCAATAGAATAGAAGTTCTTATAATGTCATACATATACTTAGGTGAACAGCTTGACACACCATGACACACGTCATCACCTGGTCTCAATAGAATAGAAGTTCTTATAATGTCATACATATACTTCGGTGAACAGCTTGACACACCACGACACACGTCATCACCTGGTCTCAATAGAATAGAAGTTCTTATAATGTCATACATATACTTAGGTGAACAGCTTGACACACCACGACACACGTCATCACCTGGTCTCAATAGAATAGAAGTTCTTATAATGTCATACATATACTTAGGTGAACAGCTTGACACACCACGACACACGTCATCACAAGGTCTCAATAGAATAGAAGTTCTTATAACACAACCAATAGAAGATTGGAGTGTGATGTTTCGATGACTACATGGTCACCTTCATCTTATAACACAGCCAGTAGAAGAGTAGAGTGTGATGTTTCAGTGACTACATGGTCACCTTCATCTTATAACACAACCAGTAGAAGATTAGAGTGTGACGTTTCAATGACTACACGGTCACCTCCATCTTATAACACAACCAATAGAAGATTGGAGTGTGATGTTTCAATGACTACACGGTCACCTTCATCTTATAACACAACCAGTAGAAGAGTAGAGTGTGATGTTTCAGTGACTACATGGTCACCTTCATCAGACAAATGACCAGTGTGGAGCATACTAGCACCGACGTGTATGAGATGGTACGGAATCGACCAATTTTTTCAGCTGCACTATAATCTTATGTAAATGGATATTGCCTATATTTGGTTTGAAGCATTCTTGGGTGAAGGGAAATAAATCTTATATAATTGTTACGTCTGCGCTCGCCAAAGCAGGAGGGTTGGGGCCCAATAGGACATATCTGATAGACTTCAGTAAACTTTGTGAAGAATGCAAGAAATCAGCCCCTATTTCAGTTCAGTAATTGCATGCTTCTCATTGGGTCTGCGGTAATGTTGTAAAAAACGTCTTTCAGGTTACCTCATTGTAGTGGTCAATGTTAGACTAACGTGTAACATTTTCAGAAACATCAATAGAAGCTCTAACTTTATATTCCCACACCTGATATAAAACTTGTATGTGTAATATTATTGAAAATTGATCATGAATAATAATAGTTTAAACTAACCTTTTGAATCTTGCTTGAACTGTTTTGTCAGTCATTCCTCCTGTACCTGCACAATTTGAATGGCCAGCATAGCATTGCATTGTAAAATATGATGGTAACACCTACTTGCAAAACTAATTGCCTCCATTTTGTTGATTTCTCATCTAACATATTTCTTGGCTTATAATGTTTTTTGAATCCTTAACTGTGTGGATGGACTTTGAACATCAATCATTCTCAGTAGTAATGACATCTTTGTCTCCAATCATAAGTTATCAAGAACCATGTTACTGAGACTTGTTCCTTGACCTGTATGCATTTTCAGTAATACTGTGTCTACACATATCTTAGTATTGATGTATGGATGGAGACTGATCGCTGATATTGTCTTGTTATCAGGTTACAAAGGCTTCTTTGTGTATGTAGTGAGCACCATTAACAGATTCCTGACTTTGTACATAATCTATAGTGTTAATTGAAGCAGTCTATGTAGCTCATTAGCTAAACCTTCATCAACACATCCTGATACTAAATATTGATTTTGTCTACTAAAAAAATATAGTTTCCATGGGTACTGGCCTCTGTTGTTATTGATTCCAAAGACCTGTGCTTGTTGTTAACGAGAGGACATTTGTATGACAGAACACTTAGATCTACCAGTAGGTATTTCAGCTGGTTAGACAATATACATTTGTTTAAAAGTGTTTCCACTTTCTTCATCATTATATTCTTGTTGATTAATTATTGTTTGATATTAAACATGGGATGTATAGGGCATACCTAAAAAGTCTTCAATTACAGAAAGTGTTGGATAATTCTGAGCAGCACACTGCTCCTATATTTGGCACATCTGATCTGGTTAAAGACACAAAGAATTTGCCTTTTTCAAACCCAGAGGAATTTGAAACTATTGAAACTGGGATCATGAATGGTTACAAGGTAGAGTATTTCTAGTCTCAAAGTTAATAGCTGTTTATGCTGTAGCTTTGTATATTGTTTTTTTTGTATTTATTTTTGTTGTATGTAAAGTATTATTTGTGGCCCATAGCAGAAAAAGATGTCAAGTGATTGGCAACATGATTTTCTTGTTCCATCCGTGATAATCAATATGCATAGTGTTTTTAGCTCACCTGGTCAGAAGGACCAGGCATTAAGCGTCTGTCCAGCATCCGTCCACCAGTGTTTTCTACAATTCGCTACGAGTTGTGAATGACTGAGTGGATTGTGATGAGATTTGGTCAGAGACATCCTTTTAGGAAACAGAAAAAAGATGTATTCAAAATGGTTGGTCTTGGCCCCCAGGAATCTGAGAGGCAGGGCTCAAAACAGGAATTTTTGTAAGTTCCTTAAAATCCTACTTGTCCTATAGGAATTATTGGATTTTGACCAAATTTGTTCTGTCTAAAGTGTTATTGGCTGAAGCGAAATCAGTTTATATAAATGGATATTTAGAATTCCTTTTACTTTAATTTTGATGAAGCAATTTCAGTCAAGCAAAGCTAGGTGAATCAAACTCGTTTGATCATTGGCAAAATTTGAGTGCAAGCCCCAGGTCATTACCAATGTAATTGCATGGTTTGTTGGTTGGCTGTTCATGATCACCTTGTGACAGAAATAACTTGCATAATCATCACCTGTGAATGTACAATATAGCAAGTGTATAGAAATGACAGTGTGATTCATAGGCGATCAGCACAACGTTATTCTTTTCCATTGGTATTGGTAATATATAATTTCTATACTAATAAGTAACCAATTGAGAAATTATATGACATATCTCTAGAATATAAAAAAGCATACTGTCCAAAAAGGGTATAGTGTTTAAAATGCTGATTCTTTTCCTTTGTAGAAACCAGCAATAATGGCAGAATTGAGATTGCAGAAGCCAGCACCAGAGTTTCGTGGTACTGCTGTGGTGGATGGTGAAATCAAGGATATATCACTTGCAGATTATAGGGGCAAATATGTTGTCTTCTTTTTCTACCCAATGGACTTGTAAGTTTGTTTTCATAAAAATTTGACATTTTGTTTTCCGAAGGGCAAATTTCTTGAAGTCCTTTAAAATCCTACTTTTCTCCTAAGAATGTTTAAATTTGCCCAAATTTGATCCGAAGCATTCTTCTTGGTTGAAAGAGATTCAGTTTTGTGTAAACAGTGGGTCTTGGCTCCAAGGAGCAGGAGGTATGGGGCCCAATAGGGGAAATCCATCTTCTTTTGTAGGAATGCCTGGATTATTTTTGCATGAAACATCTCAGAGAGAAGGGAAATTAAGTTTGTATAAATGATGGGTCTTGGGGCCCCTTGAGCCAAAGAGGTAAGGCCCAACATGAGAGATAGAGAGATTTCATAAAAAATCCTTTTGTAGGAATGTGAGGATTCTGGTGTAATTTGGCTTGATATATCTGTGAGTGAAGAGGACTAAGTTTTGCATCAGTGGTGGGCCTGAACCCCTAGGGCCAAATGGCAAATTTGTGAAAATTCTAATTCTTCTGTAGCAATGCATAAATTCATTTCCAATTTGATGTGAAGCATGCTTGGGTGAGGCAGAATCAATCTGTATAAAAGATGATTCTAGGCCCATTTTGGCCAGAGAAAATAGAGCAAAAATTCTTCAAATTCCTTCTTCTGAAGCAATGTCGGGATTTAATAATATGAAGCATCCTCGGGTAAAAAGAAATTAATGTGGGTCTCAGCCCCTAGGGGCAGGAGGGGTGGGACACAATGGAGAAAATTCATTAGAATTGTTCTTATTCATTTAAGAATAATTTGACTTTGTCCTAGCTTGGTCTGATGCATCCAGGGGTAAAGAGAACTTAATTTTGTATAAATGATGCATCTGATTCACATGCGACAGAGCATGCCTAATAGGGGAAATAGATATCAATCTTTTAAATTCTCTTCATTTAGTTTAGATGAAGTAATTTCTGCGATGGTGAGCCATACAGGCCCTATGGGCCTATTGTTAATTATAATGAGTACCGAGATGTATTTCGCTAAAATTTGTCACAGTTTCCAGTATTCAAGTGCATGTACTTTCCTTTTTTTTCTTCCAAACATAATTTTCATAATAATTCTTGAAAATTTTCTAGCCAGCTGAGGTGTCCAACATTTGTCCAACAAAATGTATGGTTAACTTGTGTTATGAAGATTAGGCAGAGAATTAATCAGTGAAGGTATTTTGCTGTAAAAGTATTGTATACGTGACTGGTATAGTGTAGTGGTGGTATATCACAATCTTTTGTATGTATGTTGTGACCATGGTTTTGAAAGGTATTAACAGAAATTGATTTCCTTTGTTCCTGTAGCCTAACTTAAATTATTGACAGTTGCTGAGATAACAAAGACAAGTGTTTGTTAGTTTGTTGTGTAGTAAATATATTCACATGCTTATGAGCTAATACTGTGACAAAATATTATTTGCAAAGGGAAATATGGTTTTAGTAGAATTATTCACTTGTCGGGGTTTATGATTTAATGTGAACATCTCTCTGTAATAAGAATACCTTTTTCTTTCAGCACATTTGTGTGTCCAACTGAGATTATCGCATTCAGTGATCGTGTCGAAGAATTCCGAGCCATGGATTGTGAAGTTATAGCGTGTTCGTGTGATAGCCAGTTCTCCCATTTAGCATGGCATGTATTTCATACTCTTCTATTGAAAAAATTACAAGCATATGTTTTCATGATTCGTTGGGAACTTTCTCAATAAAGCATGGTTTACATAGAGATTATTTCCTATGAAGACAATTGAGCCATGCATCCAGCACCAGTAAAATTTCATTCTGTGAAAAATAAATACTTGAGTTAAAAAGTATTATCCTGTTGTAACCCTGGTAATTACCATAAACACAACATTGCCTTTTTGAAGACAGATGGCTATATTTATGAAGTCACTGTGGAGGGTCTTGGAGGTAACGGTGTGAAGCCATTTTTAGGCTAAACGTACTCAGTACGCATAGCCTATTGCGACGGCCTTTCAGACAAAATTTACCGATCCTGGCCTTCTCATTGGCTGAAATATCGAAGAGAGTTAGAGCCCTCTAGCGGCAATTTTCTGCGTAAACAATGCCGCGATCTTTCAAATCTCTATTTTAAAAGCATCCAAAATTAGTTTATTTTTTAATAACAATACGATTTCTATATATTTAAAAAAAGAAGCACAGTATGGTTGAACTAATGATAAATTTTGAACAATATATTTTACGGAATTCTCAACATGACGTAAGCGTACAGAACACTGTATGTGCGAGTTGATAAGAAGCTAGTCTGGGGGCTTGGTTTGAATTATCAACTAACAGCACTTATAAACAAACAAAACTTACAAACAGAACATCAATTTTGTTTTAATCCTTGTCGTTGTGGCAAGATCGTCTTAATATATAACATCACTTTACCTCATTAGACGTCACCGAATTGGACTGTTCGTCCCACGCGCACACACGCTGATATGACACTTTTTCAGGTTTTTCACTCCCATCGCCATGACACTTTTTCAAGTTTTTGAAGATAAAAAGTTTATGCTTAGTTGGCAAGGTACATTTGGTGCTCATGATTTATGAATAATATATGTTTGATACTGTACTGATCATGATGTTGACTCTGTTATAACTTATATTTTTTGTCTTTTAGTTTTATTTGTAAACGTTGTATTTATATGGAAGTCTGGTTTAATCTCAAAGAACTATGTCTTTATAGACATAATTACTGGAAGAAAAGTCTAACCATGATACTTCAAGGAAGATAGGCATGTAAATACATTTAATGTAATTACTTACACTTTAATCTATCTGAAATGCTGTGTACACCTTACCTACTTTCCTCAACTACAAATAAAATTATAATAAGTAAGGACTATTACTTTGCAATACATTCAAAATAAAGAAGTAGGTATAAAGTCCTTTCGATTTGTCTAAATCCTCATATTGATAGGATAGTAATTGCAACATCTTGGGTATTTCAAAGGTTTTATTTAGTCAACTTCATCAAAGAGCTATTTATCATTTGGCTTATTGGCGATAAATATATGGTTGTGTGTATTTTGTTGTTTTTTTTTTTTTTTTACCTATTTTGATTTGTTCACATTATTGTCAAATTTGAAATGAGAATTAAAGAAGATATAAAATCGCTTAAAATTAAGAAAAATAGCCTCTGGTTCTCTTATTTTAGTAATTTTTGCATTCCAAAGTGTAGGAGTATGGGGAAAGTAATATAGCTTAGCGGTTATTTGTGAACTTTTTTCAATACGTTTAGCCTTTCAGTACTTTCAGTACTTTGATTTATACTAAGGTTTATCTTACAGGATTAACACACCAAGGAAGCAGGGTGGACTTGGTAACATGAAGATCCCACTGTTATCAGACAAAACATTAGAAATCTCAAAGGCATACGGAGCATTAAAGGAGGATGAGGGGATTTCCTTTAGGTAAAATAAACATTTTCTGATGAAAAAAGAAAAAATAAAGTTTTGGATACCATATGTCAACAAAGCACAGTTTATCTTTACATCTGACTGTTTGATAATACAATTTTGACACATCAATCTACTTAACTTGAGAAAATATATTTCAAAATACAAAATGTTCTCAATCTATTTTCATAAATTAGGGGTTTCCACTTATATTTTAATAAATTTAAATCATTTTTATATTTTTATCTTCATAACTAAGGATATGGTTACTCATCTTTGAGGTATAAGCCCCAATGCGCTTCCTTAGCTGGTCGGAATTTATGTAATTTTTATTGAAATTGATGTTTAATTAATCTAATTGTGTCTGATTTACTCCTTTTGGAATATTTATTTTTAAAAATTACCAGTATGTGTCCTTTGTATCAATTACAATATTCTCATCATTTAAGATGTTGAGAAGTGCTGTGAATGTAAACTCTCAATGTTTGGAATTTAAATGTGGCTCAACCCCTGGAAAAACATGAAACAAAAATGGTAAAAACTGTAGGGATACTGCGATGTTCATCCATCAACTTTTTATACAAAATACTACTAGTATGAATGACTGGGAAGATTTTGACCAACTTTGGTCAGAAGCATGCTTGAGGAATGGAAACCAAGATTATACAAATATTGGTTCTTGGACCCCAGGGGCTAGAGGGGCAGGGCCATTATATGGAAATAGAGCAAATTCTTTTAAATCCTTCATTTGTGGAAATTTGTCTGAAGCTTGAATGATTTGGCTGACCCTCTGAAGTGAGGGAGATGGGGTCCAATGGGGAAATAAATGTAGTATATGTTATGTGCTTGCATATTTAGAATTTCTTTTTTTAATTTGGATGAAGCAATTTCAAACAAGTGAGCAATAAAGGCGCCATGGACTTGTTGTAATCATGTGGTGTTTATAAAATCTTTGTTTAGTCTTTATTGTCTTCATATCATGTGTAACATACTGAAAATGATGAGATCTACTTACATTATAATGCATAGGATTTATGGAGCTGTATACCATAAGTATATGTTTAGTAAATAGGAAAAGAGAAAGCTAAACATATGTACTGGTACTATGAATTTGAAATGGAAAAATGGCTAGGAATATTGATATTCTGTGCTCACTTGCTTGCCAACAGAGCCCTGTTTATCATCGATGGGAAGGGAAACCTTCGTCAGATCACCATGAATGACCTTCCAGTTGGGCGTTCTGTAGACGAGACTCTCAGACTTGTACAAGCTTTCAAATTCACGGATGAGCATGGAGAAGGTACTGACAACCTCCTTTTCTACTTAATTGATGTTTAATTAGTCTAATTGTGTCTGATTTACTCCTTTTGGAATACTTATTTTTGTCTGCAGCTCATATAACACAAACGGTAGAAAGATTAGAGTGTGGCGTTTCGATGACTACATGGTCACCTTCATCTTATAACACAACCAGTAGAATACTAGAGAATTATTTTGTCCATTGTATGTTGCCTGTTTCTTACCCATCCATTCACAGTGATTGTATTTAATTCTGTTTTTCAGTTCATTAATTGTGTCCATCAGCTGTTAAATTATTACATCAACCCTCACACCTTCTCATGGTCAAAAGTCTCGAGGCTGAAAGATTTATATGGAGAATGTATAGATTTGCTTAAGGTATTTCCTACCATAATTGTTGTGTTTTCATCAAAACCTTTCAAAGAACAGTCAGTTTTTATTAATGTGTGTCTGCTTTTCTTGGCAGTGTGTCCTGCCGGATGGAAGCCAGGAAAGGATACCATTAAACCCGACGTAAAAGGAAAGTTGAGCTACTTTCAGAAGCAGAATTAACCTCTAAAGCAATCTCTAAACTGTTTATGTTGTTGAACTGTAATGGACTGTGTTGTAGAACAAAAGCATTACTCTGGTATAAAATGTAAAGACTTGACCAGGAGCAATACTCTTCGATCATTGTGTTATAGACCAGGTACTCACATTGAGTACTTGTATAAGACGAGGTTCTCGCATGACTACTCCTACCTGCCTCTCCTTATCATTGTCCGGGAGTTTTGTCAGTAATTTGTACATTTTGTTTTTACTCTGTTATACAAGTTTTTCTAAGTCATTAATCTTTTGCTTGAATCTTTTTTTTGAAGGAACATTGATTTTATCTATTGCTGCATAATGTCTTGACCAGTTTGAAACGCTAGTAAATGACTTTGTTTTTTGTCGTGTGATTAAATATGTAATCATGAATCTGTAATTTTTCGTTTCTCATTAATTGTTGTAGGAAAGTCCATCACCATCTTCAAGAACAAAATATTAGACTTGTAATCAATAAACTTTTCAATTTTTCGATATTTTCAACTAAAACTGCGTGATTAACACGACTTTTTTCACATTGGAGTTTTAAGCTGATTATGTACATCATTAATAGGATGGAGGACTCTAGGTCTGTTTATCTTGATATCAAGTAATGGAGACTAGAGTATGATACACATGTGAACTAACTAGCTGCAGATGATTATTATTCTACGATATTATGTTTTTGTATCGTTAGAATATTAGGTGTTGGTAATGTAAACAAGTTCTCTATACTTTAATGATCTTCCAACATAAATGTTTTGTTCATTGGTTTTCATCATACTAGCCATGTTTCATCCAATGTTGTGCACCGTGCATAAACTTTCAATTGAAACAACTTCCCAATAACCAAAAGGCTCAGGGTGCGGATCTTTGTCCTGTATCATGCTGGAATGACGGACTACCAAGTTGTCCAAGTGAATGACCTTGACACGCTTTCACTTCGGGTGTTAAAATCTTAAAATCGCTTCTTAATAAAAAGATATTTGTTGATATTGGTTTAGTAACATGATTTTAATTTGATTGGATAAAGGGCTATCTAATTTATGTAAGCAATTGACCTTGACCCACTTTCAAGGTCACTGGGATCAAATCTTTCAATTTCTAGTTTACAGATATTGATAAAGTCTTCTGTGTAAGCTATTAAACCTGTGATCAATTCAGGACCATTGAGCCTTATCATCTAAAGTCAGATGACCATTAAGGTCCATGGTGCTTTTGTTGTCTTAGTATGTTTATATTGTTCTGTGTGATTTGTTTTAGGGATTAATAAAGTACAAGTAGACAATACAATGTGTTTTTAGTGGTAATTGATGATGAGTGTTCTGTATTCTCTTTACTTCTGGACACAATGATTATCCGTTCCAGATGAATGTATCAACAATTAGTGAAACATGTTGTTATTACTCTTGCTGTAACTTCAAGAATTAAAACAAACTGAGGTCGGTATTAGCAATCCTACTGTTGATAAAAAAAGAATGGTCAATGGTTGAAATCTGCTTACAATCACTAGACCCGAAGGGCTATGTGAGCAATGAGAGGCTCATAGGGTCTATAATGCTTGCCTGGTTTTGCTTTATCCTATCCAAACTAAAGGGACAATACTCTTAAGATTTGCAAGTTCCAACTTAGGTCTCCTAAACAACCCCGTAAAATCAGAATTCTACAAAATGGCACTTACCTATTTAAACATTATTTTGACATGGTTTTTGTTTGAAAATTTCTCTTCCAGTAATAAACATGGATCTATCTGATGAACACTGAGCTGATTAATAGGAATAAAGACATTAATAAAGCCATTAGCACAACACCAACCACACATATATTGACAATGCTGTTCAATCATTACATATGTACTTCCTTGGTAGATTTTATGATGATTTACTTGATATCAAGACATCAATATTTACTTAAAATATAATGCACACCACCAACCATGCTCTAGATTAAAGAAGTTTTCGAATTGTTTGTTTGAATGTTTTTATATAACATTCTCATTCGCATCACTTTGTTGTGCCAAAATGACCTATCAGCTTTATGATCATGATGTCACCTTATTAGCAATCATACCTTTACTATCCTGTCATAAACCAAGGGATATTGCTGGACAATTAAATATTAACTTTAGCTCACAATTTCAATGAACTGCAACACACATAGGTGGGCTTATCATTGGATATATACAGTATGATGCTTATAATATGATATGGTCAAATAGTTACTCTGCTCTTGGATGAATGTTTTTCAAATAGGAATGACAATGGCTTCAAGGAAGCTGTAATACAATGGTGCAATGGCTGTTTCTGGAGAGTCTTGAAATCCCCCGACATACACTACATCACGGCAGGTAACTTATTCTGTAGTGGGAGCATGCACAAGTTGCTGGTTACCCTACTGTTGCCCTGAAAGCAGTCATCATTATAATCTTGAGGATGATCACCAAACTTATTTCATCACAAGATGGCCGCAGTTGGTAAAGTGGAGGTAGATATATTGTAAAGTAATGAAGGTTTTCACTTAACTCCAACACTTTCTAATTTTTTGTATTAGAAGAGAAAGTGTATGTGGAATATTCTCGTGTAAAACACTGGCATTGCCATGCTCACTGGATGCCAGCTGCTGATTTGCAGAATATACAGGTTCATGGTGTTTTGCCAGTATTTTTAGTACATGGTGTGATGTGCATTAGTATCATAATGTATTTTTTGATGTTGCAGGTTTGCTTTAAGCAGGAAATAAAGCATTTCTCAAGAGATGTCTTTATTTCATCAGATGCATGTATAGCATCTAAATCAGTTATATGGACTCCAGCAAGTTTAGTCATTCTGCCTAGAGCCACATATGCCATACCTGATTCGAAAGTATCTTCAATGACTCTACAATTGGTTGTCATTTCTTGTACCTTGTGTATTGTGGCTACCAATCCAAGTTTTAGTGGTAGCTGTTTTCACATTACATTTTTACACCTCAACATATCTTCAACAGGAATGATGCACACTCATCCCTGTTCCAGGTAGAGTTGACACTGTTTTCACACTGATATAAACATGTGTCTGTTCCAAAGCTCCAATGGTACTGAATGTGCCATTGACGAGACCATCTTTGGTATCCACGTGTTGTGTGAGTATTATTCATGCCCATTCACCTGATAACGTTTTGTAACTCGTCTAGTGATAATTTTTAGTAAGGGTGTTCTCATTGGCATGGTTTTTCACAAACTGTACCCCTGTAATAGTCATTGGCAGGCATGTATCATCACCATAGATTCATTATGCTACATCCTTATTGGCTGAGAAAATATGCAAGACGCTTGAAATCTATTGGTGGTCGGTCAGAAGTGATTGAGAACAATGTTACTTCCTCTGTGATAGATTCACCATGGAGTCGTACTCTCAGTCTATTGACCGATGATGTAACATCACCATCCTCTTTCTGTCCCATAACTACATCTAGAGTAACAATGAAGAAGATTCCATAAGTCAATCAAAAGTGAAAGTGTTATAGAGGGGATGCCCTCACAGGTAGCTGTTTAAAGTCCCCCCGAAGGCATCACAAAGTTATCAAATACCGTTTTTGACTGTTTTAGTTGGCAGAACTCTCCATGACTGTAGATAAAAAGATCAACCACAGAGACTTCGTCGATGATGACCATCCTGCCAATCTTGGACTTCATTGTATTGAGTGTGTTTTCTCCGAGTCGGGTTGTAGGAGAGTTTGATATTCTGGCTAATGTCAAAAGGAGGAGTGCAATGTAGATCATCCAGTGTTAAATGCTGCTGTAGCAGTTGGTGCTATTAAAAGAACAGGGCTGGAGTCAAGGAGTTTTTTGAAAGTATTCGCGAAGCTTCATGATAAATGAATTTGATCAAGTGAGATATTCCTGTTCGCGCACCTCCAGTTAGAAAGAGGTGGGAAGGTTGTGGATGGTCATTCCAGGTCACTCGGTACGTGGGAACGTCCAGTAGAAGGCGTTTGTTTCTCGTTCCACCTCTGAGAAGCTCATTTATCTCTTTTTCAGTTACTTGGGGTTTCTGATACTCAATGGTACAACTGCTGAATCCATAGTTATCAATATTATTTTTCAAGTGTGCTTAGTTCTGGTGAATCTTCTTCAGGGTGATCGTCATTCTTCAATGACTCCATTTATTTTTCCAGCCTTTGAGCTTCAGACACTGATGCATAAGTATCTATGCATCCTTACCTATATGCCCTTTTTACAAATCCTCCTATGATTTTTCTATATTATCTTCATCTACATTCAACATCTTTCTTTTATTGTAAATGAATTCAAATAAAGAGTAACTTCCTACTTCTTCAAGCCTGGCATACCCCTCAAAGTCATCAGATGATACTATCACAGAATCTCAATGAGGCACCTATAACTAAACTAGTGTCATGTAGTAGTCGTCAGGATTCTTAGCTTACGTGATACGAAGACCCAGTGAGCTTATCCCATACTGCGGGCGTCTGTCGTCCGTCTGTCCATCTGTCAACGTTTTCTACAAATCGCTGCTATTCATGAACGAGTGAGCGGATTTTTACCAAATTTGATCAGAAGCATTCTTTGGGGAATGAAAACCGAGTTTGTACAAATATCGGTTCTCGGTCCCCAGGGGCTGGTGGGCGGGACCTAAATGAGGAATGTTTTAAAGGACTTTAAAATTCTATTCCTCTTGTAGGAATAAAATGGATATTGCCCAATTTTTTTCTGAAACATTCTTGAGTGAAGTGGAATCGCCTTTGTATAAACAATGGGTCTCATGGGCCCCTTGGGCCAGAGGGGAAATAGATAAATTCTTTAGGATGCTACTTCTCCTATAGGAATGATTGGATTTTGCCCCATTTTTGTCTGAAGCATTCTTGATTGAGGGGGGCATCATTTTCTTTCTTTTTTTTCTTTTTACAAACAGTAGGATTTGCTCCTTGGAGACAGAAGGGCGGGGCCCAATACGGGAAATGGAGCAAATTATTTAAATCCTACTTCTCATGTAGGATTTATTGGATTTTGCCCATATTTGATCTTAACCAACCTTGGAAGAGGACCTACTTTTGTAGGTATGATTTAAATTTGCCCAAATTTTGTCAGAAGCATTGTTGTGTGAAGGGGGAATCAATTTTGTATAAACGGTGGATCACGGCCCGATGTAGCCTGAGTGGTGTGACCCACTAGGCGAAATCGAGCAATTTATTTTAAAACGTACTTCTCCTGTAGGAAGGATTTGATTTTGCTCAAAATTGGTCTGAGAATACTGTGCATTTACACTAGGGGAATAAAGAACATCTTATTTTTACACATCAGATATTGTATCTGCTTAAAATTGCATTACTGACAAAATCTAATTCTTTTATTAGAGAAAGTTTTGAAGAAAAACAAAAGGCTGAAATTGCTTTGTCCAAACAAAAGGAATGGAACGATACCCACCGTTCATACAAAATCACCAATAGATGTCTCAGACCAAATTGGAACAGAACTGACACATTATTACAGAAGATGGATATTAAAGAATTTGTTCTATATCCCTTATTGGGCCCTGTGCCTGCACCACCAATTGTTTTTACAAAATTGATTTCTTGACCCAAGGATGCTTCAGACCAAACTGAGACAGAGTACAGGCATCATTATTGAAGCAAATTCTCTATTTCCTTACTAGTTGGTGAGACTTCACAAAGATTTCTGATATACACAAACTGCCATGGGTAGAGAATGTCGACCCCTGCATCTAATTACAAGAGGTTAAAGTGTATATGAGTGAAAATAGAAATTAATATGTTAGTTTTACTATCCAAAATCAAAACGTTTTAAAACCACATCAAAATAAGCCTTCCCGATACCAAGTTATTGACGTGTATAGTGTACGATTTTCACCTGTCCCTCTTCTTCTAATTAAGAACCTATTGGCTGTGACGTCATAAGTTCAACGACTAGTAACAGCCGCCATGAATTTTTCATAGTTGAGGAATTAGATAATTCTGACGATAACATTATGTAGACGGTAAACAGAGATATGAAATTAGCCAGAAATGATCAATTAAAACATATTTATTGTCAACACTCGAAGCAGGGATGAGGCCCCGCTTATTTATTTTCAACACTCGAAGCAGGGATGAGGCACCGCTTATTGTCAACACTCGAAGCAGGGATGAGGCACCGCTTATTGTCAACACTCGAAGCAGGGATGAGGCACCGTTTATTTATTGTCAACACTCGAAGCAGAGATGAGGCACCGTTTATTTATTGTCAACACTCGGAGCAGGGATGGGGCACCGCTTATTTATTGTCAACACTCGAAGCAGGGATGAGGCCCCGCTTATTTATTTATTGTCAACACTGGAAGCAGGGAAGCAGGGATGAGGCACCGCTTATTGTCAACACTCGAAGCAGGGATGAGGCACCGCTTATTGTCAACACTCGAAGCAGGGATGAGGCACCGATTATTGTCAACACTCGAAGCAGGCATGAGGCACCGCTTATTGTCAACACTCGAAGCAGGGATGAGGCACCGCTTATTGTCAACACTCGAAGCAGGGATGAGGCACCGCTTACGAAGCAGGGATGAGGCACCGCTTATTTATTGTCAACACTCGAAGCAGGGATGAGGCACCGCTTATTTATTGTCAACACTCGAAGCAGGGATGACGCACCGCTTATTTATTGACCACACTCGAAGCAGGGATCACGCACACGCTTATTGTCAACACTCGAAGCAGGGATGAGGCACCGCTTATTGTCAACACCGCTTATTGTCAACACTCGAAGCAGGGATGAGGCACCGCTTATTTATTGTCAACACTCGAAGCAGGGATGAGGCACCGCTTATTGTCAACACTCGAAGCAGGGATGAGGCACCGCTTATTGTCAACACTCGAAGCAGGGATGAGGCACCGCTTATTGTCAACACTCGAAGCAGCACCGTTTATTTATTGTCAACACTGAGCAGGGATGGGGCACCGCTTATTTATTGTCAACACTCGAAGCAGGGATGAGGCACCGCTTATTTATTGTCAACACTCGAAGCAGGGATGAGGCACCGCTTATTGTCAACACTCGAAGCAGGGATGAGGCACCGCTTATTGTCAACACTCGAAGCAGGGATGAGGCACCGCTTATTTATTGTCAACACTCGAAGCAGGGATGAGGCACCACTTATTTATTGTCAACACTCGAAGCAGGGATGAGGCACCGCTTATTTATTGTCAACACTCGAAGCAGGGATGACGCACCGCTTATTTATTGTCCACACTCGAAGCAGGGATGACGCACCGCTTATTGTCAACACTCGAAGCAGGGATGAGGCACCGCTTATTGTCAACACTCGAAGCAGGGATGAGGCACCGCTTATTGTCAACACTCGAAGCAGGGATGAGGCACCGCTTATTGTCAACACTCGAAGCAGGGATGAGGCACCGCTTATTGTCAACATTCGAAGCAGGGATGACGCACCGCTTATTGTCAACACTCGAAGCAGGGATGACGCACCGTTTATTTATTGTCAACACTCGAAGCAGAGATGAGGCACCGTTTATTTATTGTCAACACTCGGAGCAGGGATGGGACACCGCTTATTTATTGTCAACACTCGAAGCAGGGATGAGGCACCGCTTATTTATTGTCAACACTCGAAGCAGGGATGAGGCACCGCTTATTGTCAACACTCGAAGCAGGGATGAGGCACCGCTTATTGTCAACACTCGAAGCAGGGATGAGGCACCGCTTATTGTCAACATTCGAAGCAGGGATGACGCACCGCTTATTGTCAACACTCGAAGCAGGGATGAGGCACCGCTTATTTATTGTCAACACTCGAAGCAGAGATGAGGCACCGCTTATTTATTGTCAACACTCGAAGCAGGGATGAGGCACCGCTTATTGTCAACACTCGAAGCAGGGATGAGGCACCGCTTATTGTCAACACTCGAAGCAGGGATGAGGCACCGCTTATTGTCAACACTCGGAGCAGGGATGAGGCACCGCTTACATATATTTACATATGGAAGCAATCACTATCACGGAAATATGCATACATGTATATAATATATACATACCTCACTATTAAGACCTCCTCGCTATTAAGACCACTTTTGTCCAGTCCCAAAAGTGGTCTTAATGGCGAGGTTTCACTGTAATTCAAACAGAGGCTGGTTAAGGTGCAGATGATGTTTCTTACTGATATGCATTACCTGTAAATAAAACGTGTACAAAGGTTTTTGAGTACAGAAATATTTTTGTGCGCCGTCAAGAAAAGTTGAGTATTGGAATGGACCAGTATGGGTGTGCATGGATAAATGTTCATTTGTGTTTTATGTACATATGTAGTCAGTATTTTTTATATTAAGAAATTAATTTGTAGAACCCTGTATAGAGTAAATGACGTGTAGTTGCCGTGCACATGTATATATACATACATCTTATTCCGATAAATGAACAAGTGTTGACTAAATCTTATGTCTCATCTTTAAATATACTTTCATGTTTAATTAAATGTTGTAGATTGAAAACATGTAATTGAATTTAAATGCAATACATTATTAATCGTATTTAAAAAGTTTATGAACACATCTGACTTTGTTAAACTGAATAAGGGTAAAATTAGATTTCACGAATGATGGCTGTACATGTATATATTTGTTGATAAATGATATTGGATATTGCTATACCGTTAGTGTATTTGGCGAGTGTATCATTATTGTAGATATATTCTTACTTATCTCAAAACAGACCAGAATTTAGATCCAAAAGTATTTTTTATATACAGGGCTCAATTTCGGGTTATGGTTAAAGTTTGTCCTGTGTACATGTGCGCACGTCGGGAATATGAATGTCAATTTTCCCTTTGCTACATTAAAGATTTAAAATGTATGTTTGGGTTTCTCGTGTGGTTTTTAACATTTTTTCTCACCTATTTCTTACCTTCTCCTTCTTTTCCTTTTATATTCTCGTGTGTTGGTAAATGTTAACTTTACTTATTCTAATGGTGACTATAAATATGTATTTTATAATTTACCGTAGGGGATATGAACGCTATTTTGATTCTTTTTAATCCAACTCTCGATGTGTTGCAGTTCTATTAAACAACAATTTTTACTTAACAGTCAAGAAAGAAAAAAGGTTTGAATGGGATTTTAGCTAGAGAGGTTGAGCTGAAAAATATGAATATGAAATTAATAACAATAAACGGCCCAATTTCAGACGAATCTAATTTTATATCATTCTTAGATATACTGCAGTACCTCTGAGTTGGGTGTTAAAGAACTGAAATAACAGTATACTCATTCTAATTCTGTTTCCTGTTGTAACATGGAGTGAGTATTTTGTTAAAAGTATATGTGATATTTCTTATCCTTCATATGAGATTTTTTTCTTTTTATTCTATCACCCGAAGGCCCTGACAGTTTGCCGAGAGCACACATATCACTCCCTAGTTGTCGTTCCTAAACAGTCACACTACTACTTACAGATCCGACACTTTTCATTAATTTCGTTTTCTAGGTTTTCTTAAACGGCACTGAATTACGTCTCTTAATTTTTGGGTTAAACTTATGTATTAACAAGCAGATAGGTATAATTATCGTTTAGAATTAAAAAAATTAAAAACAACTCGTAAATTAGATGTAAAAATGCTAATAAATGCTAATAAATAAATGTAATGTGCAAAAAAACAAACGAAAATTTTCAAGGTTGAGTGCGGCGTACAATTTTTCCGCACCCCATGAAATAAAATGGCCGATTTAAGGAAATATAGAAAATGAAAGTAATTCATTCAAAATGTCAGATTCGTTAAGAAAATTAAAGCGGATTTATTCAGAAAATTGAAGATTTATTAGAGTTTTAAATTTATTTCTATATTTTAAATAATTTCTCATAGTCCTGGTATGGGTTCGGGGCCGGCGTACACAATCCACCGTCACACAACAAGACCTACACTCGCACATGTTCAGATGAGGAGTAAGACAGGTAACCTCGAGATGATGTTGTTACACGTTGTAATGTTGTTCAAAGAACTATACGTTGTAATGTTGTTTAAAGAAATGTATTTCTTTATTTCCGGAGAATTGCCACTAATTGAAGGTTGTTTATTGCAGAGAAAACTCTCGTGGTACAAACGCCTTCCTACACAATTTTTATAAACAAAAACAGGATTTCTTTTGATTACGATGGTATAAAATGTATTAAAACCCTGCTTTACTTCTGCAATAGGAGTCGGTGTAGCATTTATGTAATGTCAAATACAGTTTCTATCACCAGGGATGCACAAAACGTAGAGATAAGAAACTCCTTGAGCACAACATTGGTGACACATGGCCGAATGTGTAACAGTAACTGTTAGTTCCTATTTTTGGATCTTTTAGGACTATCCATTAGTTTCGTATTTTCTGTTTTACTGGTTTGCGCAGTGCACTGTTTACTTACTTTCACTTTGTGCCAAAAGCGATCGTCGCTGTAGAAATCCAATAGAATCTGGTTAACAGCTGAAATTTACGGCCTGTAGGTCTTTATCTCCATTGCTATAATATTATGGAAATAGCCCATCTATGATGTGAATATGTCCTATTTATTTTTCTGATCAGACATATTATTTTTTGTCATATAGATGTATATATTACCTATATATATATAATACCTCATTAGACATATTTGTGAATACATGATTTTGCCACGGACTTGTATATTAGATATATTATCTATATTAAAGTCTGTGATTTTGCTAACACTGATGTAGAAATTACTTATAATTCTGGAATGATGAACTATTAGAAACCCGAACTCTGCAGAACTCCAAGAATGGAAATGGAATCATTATGGATGTTATTATCATACAAATAATCACGAAGAGTTTGAATTTGCAAGTGTCTCTCCCCGTTTATTTACTGTGAAAATAAATTCAACAGAGAATATCAGTGATGTAATCTTTGGTTGTTTTTGATGGACAGGTGAATTTTGATATGCTTTTGTATCTCCCTGTATCCTGTGTTTGGTAAACAGACCTGTTTATATGTAACCCCTGGAAACTCGTGGACGAGTTGTTTCCTGGAGGGGGAGTATGTAACCGTGGTAAACTACTAGACGCAATATACCACTCGGCAAGAGAGAACTTCTCTTTAGCTTGATCGGTTGAGCGTCAGACTAGTAAGCCAGGGGTCGTCGGTTTGATTCCTAGCGGAAGCATTGAAATAAATAATGACCTCTGAAACATATAATTCAAGGTTCATTTGTCAGAGTTTGCCAAACCTACGTTTAGTGAGTTCATGTGCTAATGTCCAAGATCTCAAACTCGAATCTGACGGAGTTACCAGTTCATTTTCATTAGAAAACCGCCTGACTGATATTTAAATTGACAAAATTGCCCTGTAGTAATTGTACTTCACATACAGTTTAATTACAGTTGTTGGAAACATTCAAGCTTACAGAATTTTGTGGTCAGTGTTTATTTTATATATACCTACTTCTTTATTAATTTATATTTAAATGGACTTGGGTTATCCACTCTTTTGATGCAAGATAGCTGTGTTGGGTGCCAATAAAACACCACAGAACTAACATGATGATATAGTGAGCTATCTTTTTTGTGGTCCTTCCCCTATTTTATGTGTGTATGTCCCATATTTAATTTATAAAGTATAAATATCATTAGGATTTCAGTTAGGTAGTATATGTCCAGATTGGTGTATCTTTATTTCAGTTTAGGAGCCAAATTTTTCTCTATATAATCTGTTTGCCATATACTCTATCAATATTGTGTTTATTTGTCTCTCCTGGTCACTATAGACATCTGTACAATATTTATGTAGCCTCACTATACATATTATTTTTGTTCACCCTAAATACAAAAAAAACATGAATATATGAGTTAAATTGTCTTTGGTATCAACCTTTCAGATGTGTTATTCCCTGTATCATAAATACAGAAATGTATAAGGCAAGTTTTGTCAGGGTTGAATGGCACAGGTTACACAAAATTATGAAACAATTATTAAAACATTAAAAGAGAATTTCTCTTGCAGCCATTGTGTGATTAAACAAGAGGTCTGTGTCCTATGCCTTGTAGATTTAGAGAATTTAGCATTACTCATGAAATACTGACAAAAACAAGGCATCACAACATGAAGCATCATTGTTACAGTTATTTGGAAATGAACCTGCTTGTTTAAGACAATTCTTTCCTGAAAGTAGATCAATGTTACCCTTGTAAAGTTTGGCCTCTCTATAGCAAGCAATGAAAGTAAGTCAGGAACAAGATAAGATTTTATTAATTTTCCTTCTTCGGATCTCCAGTCACTTTATGTGAAAATTTCCCAAAATTGGTGTCTTGATCTGGCCAGATGTCTTAACATTGGAATTTCATGGTTTTAAGCTTAGGATGTTTCTTTAGACATGTATTGTTTGAAACTGAACTCTTGTTAGTGTGTGTTGTTAGGGTCTCATCAGCCTGTTATCTAGTCACTGGTCTTATATACCCTATAGTGTTTTTCATTGGCTGTGCCATTCAGAAATCAATTGGGACTTCATGGTGTGGACAATTACATTATATTTTATTTTGAATTGAAAAACGGCATGTTAAAATCTTTTACTATAAAACCAGTCAAAATTTAAGTTTCCTGATTTATGTGATCAGTTTTTTCAATTTGTTTTCATTTTGTTTAAGATTTCAGGAAAATCATCTTGAAGGTTTGATTTCTTCTTGCCAAGGCTTGCAAAAATAAAAATGTCTGAGACTTGTTTCATAGCATCTGATATGGAATAAAAACTCCTTTAAGATCCTATATATACCCCTTTATATCATATGAGGGATATAGGGATGTTCCTACACATACACACAACATATGAGGGATATAGGGATGTTCCTACACATACACAACATATGAGGGGTATAGGGATGTTCCTACACATACACAACATATGAGGGATATAGGGGTGTTCCTACACATACACACAACATATGAGGGATATAGGGGTGTTCCTTCACATACACACAACATATGAGGGATATAGGGGTGTTCCTACACATACACACAACATATGAGGGGTATAGGGATGTTCCTACACATACACAACATATGAGGGATATAGGGGTGTTCCTACACATACACACAACATATGAGGGATATAGGGGTGTTCCTACACATACACACAACATATGAGGGATATAGGGATGTTCCTATACATACACACAACATATGAGGGATATAGGGATGTTCCTACACACACACAACATATGAGGGATATAGGGATGTTCCTACACATACACACAACATATGAGGGATATAGGGATGTTCCTACACATACACAACATATGAGGGATATAGGGGTGTTCCTACACACACACACACACACACAACATATGAGGGGTATAGGGGTGTTCCTACACATACATGCATCACTTATCCTTGTCAGCACTCTTGCGATTTCATTCCTCCTTTTTTTCTGAGACCATATTGGGTTTTTACAAAACTTTATACTGTCAGCTATCATCTTTACTGCACTCTTGTCATGATGGTACCATGCATGTTGGAACCATGCTGGGATTGGTAACATTTGCAATACCTTGTTATATAATATCAGTACCAACTTATTTTTCACATACATAATTTCTATCATTAAGTTTTTTGTGTAATATTACAACTCTGTCTGATCGAGATAATCTAAGATTAAATTTACACACTGGTCTAATCTTACAGATGTTGGCTCTTCGTTGTCCACAAATACACTACATGATGTGAAAGTAAATCATGGAACTTGGCCTAGCATTTGATGATGAAGATTTAGAGGAAAACTCTAATAAAGCTAAACCAAGCAGACCAGTGTCCTACAATGCCAAGTTTTGCCCACCAAACGTAAATTACTGGTATTTTTTATTATAAGTGTGATGATCAAGGAAATAGAATATTGTTGTTTATTTCAAAACAACATGATATGAAAATTCACAGAAAAATACTCTGCAATATATGTTAACATAATCCATTTGTCTACAACTGTGTTAAAGATCTTACAATGAGTTTGTATGAAAAAGTCTTAAGATGTTTTTTAAATCAAATCTTTCAGACAAGTTTACACTTTTCACTCTTTACATTCAGTGAATTGTAAGGGGAGGTCACTCTCTACATATATTTAATTGTAAAGGAGAGGTCACTCTCTACATATATTTAATTGTAAAGGGGAGGTTACTTTCTAGATTCAGTGATGAAAGGGGAGGTTATGTTCTTCTTTCAGTGGTTCGAAAATGCAGATACCACTGACAAAGACACGGCTGTACAGATATTAAAATACAGGGGAGATCATTCCTATTTGAAAAAAGAGTACACTTCGGCAATTGACCACTACGAGGAAGCTTTAAGTAAGTAGTAAACTTAAGTAATTTAAAGTTTTCTGGTGTTGCTTTGATAAACTGTGTTAGTATTGCTTGTATTTCCAGTGATGAATCAATTTAGGGTGGTGTAACTACCACAATAAGACCATATCTTTGTAATCCCACATGATTCTTAAGGAAAGGAAATCAATTTTGTATAAAAAGTGGGTCTTTGGGCCAATTGCAATGGGAGGGACGGGATCTGATAGGGGAACTACAGCAAATTCTTTAAAATCCTTTTTCTGTAGAAATATATGGATTCCGTCCTGATTTGGTATAAAGCATCTTTAGTTTAGGGGGAATCAGTTCGGTCCTGGTACCCTGTTGGAGGGCCTAATAGGGGAAATAATGCAAATACTTCAAAATCCTATTTCTTTGGGCAGGCGTGGATGTTCTCCTATTTTAGTTTTGTATAAACTTTGAGTCTCACTCCCTTTGGATGGCAGGGGTGAGAAATATAGGAAAGACAGGAAATTCTTGAAAATCCTTTTTTTTCATTAGAAATATGAGGATTCTGAATTTCCCAACTTGGAATGAAGCATGATTGAGTGAAAGGAAATCAATGTTGTAAAAAGGAGGGTCTTTGCCTCCTTGGACAAGAGGGGCAGGGCCCAATAGGTGAAAAACAACAAGAAAATACCGAATTGTCCACATAATCATATTCAATAAAATGAAAGAAAGAGACTCCTGTAAAAAGACAAGGATGATAAGACCAGGAGTTTCGGAAGTATATGTGTCTTTTGCTAAAGTGATTACACCCGCCGTGTAAGTCTTGGTCAATCCACATAAGTAATGTCATGTTTTCAAATGAGAACAAGGTATTCAGCAATGAAACCAACAGGCAAACTGATGATAATCAAACACGTCCAGCTTCATATCCTACTGAGAAATGTGAGATCACAGTGTAGGCCACAAAACCTCCTGAACCTTTGAAACACTGTGTTATGGGTTTGTCTGTCTGTTGAAAATTTCTTAATGGTAACAGGCCCTTGAATATTGAATCAACTATGACATGTAGACACCATAGGTTGTGGATACAAGGATGTTGGTATTAAGAAATGAAAAATTTACAATAGGGAAATTGAAGTCATCACACTTACCTTATAGCTTGGTGGAAGCTGTCCATGTTTGGTCAAATTTGGTCTAAAGCATTCTTTAGAGGAAGAAAATTAATTTTGTTACAAGTGAATGGTGAGTGTCTGCCCCCATGGACTGGAGGAGGTGGAGTCCAATAAAGAAAATAGCAATACTGCTCTCAAATCCTTCTTCCATAGGAATGCCTGGATTCTGTCCTTATTTGGTCAAAGGCCTTCTTTGGTGAAGAGAATAAATCTAGTTTGAACCGTAGGTGTTGGCGCCCCTGGGGCAGGGCCCAATAGAAGAAATGGAGCAAATTCTTTATATTTCTTCGGTTGGAATGATTCAGTTTTGTTCAAATTTTCACAAACAAAGAAAACTTAGTGTTGTATAAACTGTGCATCTGTTGCATCAGTTTATTAAATGTTTTCATTGAAGGACTTGTATAATACTTTTCCCCGATCAATTACCACATTTTTGTAACACTTAAATGAAATTAAAATCTTTAATTCTGACCAAATACTTGCATCTTTATCTCTTTTCTTATCACAGTAAATAAAAAAAAAACAAAGACGATATTTTACTTTTATAACCAGGAAGATACAGTTGATGATTGTTGGTTGTAGGTAAACTGCCAGAAAACAACAAGGCTATGAAGAGGGAGTTAATGGAGAGTCAGGCTAGGAGTTATGTGGCCCTGCAGCAGTACAATCAGGCCCTTCATCTAGCATACCAACTGGTGAGAAACTTAAAACTCTCGAAGAGCCAAAAGGCTGTACTTGTGAAACAGATAAATAAATGAAATTGAAACAAGCATATCAGCAAATCATAATGAGTGTTGAATATTTTATTCATAACTTTTATACATTCTTATAAGTGTTAAATGTTTTGACTGTAACCAAATGTATCATCCCAGCTAACTAATGTTACTAGAATACCAGGCACTGCAAGTGATGAGTGTTTGGCCCTGTAACTAGCATACCAGGTACAGAAAGTGATGAGTGTTTGGCCCTATTACTAGAATACAAGGTACTGCAAGTGCTGAGTGTTTGGCCCAATTACTAGCATACCAAGTACTGCAAGTGATGAGTATTTGGCCCTGTTGCTAGCGTATCAGGTACTGCAAGTGATGAGTGTTTGGCCCTGTTACTAGCATATCAGGTACTGCAAGTGATGAGTGTTTGGCCCTGTTACTAGCATACCAAGTACTGCAAATGATGAGTGTTTGACCCTGTTACTAGCATACCAAGTATTGCAAGTGATGAGTGTTTGGCCCTGTTACTAGCATATCAGGTACTACAAGTGATGAGTGTTTGGCCCTGTTACAAGCATACCAGGTACGAAAAGCGATGAGTGCTTGGCCCTGTTACTAGCATATCAGGTATGGAAAGCGATGAGTGTTTGGCCCTGTTATTAGCATATCAGGTATGACAAGTGATGAGCGTTTGGCCCTGTAACTAGCATATCAGGTACTGAAAGTGTTAGTGTTGAGTGTTTGGCCATGTTACTAGCATACCAGGTACAGAAAGGGTTGAGTGTTTGGCCCTGTTACTAGCATACCAGGTAGAAAGTGATGATGAGTATTTGGTCCTGTAACTTGCATACCAGGTACAGAAAGTGATGCGTGTTCCACTCTGTAACTAGCACACCAGGTACAGCAAGTGCCTTGTTACTAGCATACTTTGATGATAATTCTTCAACCTATGAGTACATGCATTATTAGGTATGAAATGTATTCACTTAACAACTAATGTAAACATCTGCAGAAACAAGCTTTTATCATAAATAAATGCTGTCTACATTAATGTTTTATTTATTACAGAGAGACATCTCATCCAGTCCTGACCAGATTTCTCAGACCTTGGTCCTACTAACCTTTATACAAGAGGCTTCCCAGGACTGGCCAGGTACACTTTTGTAACTTTTATAATTTTCAAGATCAGACAACTGAAAAATATTGGTTGACAACTACTACTTTTCTGTATCAGTTGAATTTTGGATGTAAATACATATTTGGATGATGTTTATGTACAGAATTAAGTGATGAAACATTGTCCATTTAAACTCTTATGAATTTGATGTTGTGTGATAAAATATAGAATTTTTTTTTATAGAAATCTGTAGTAGAATATTTTTCATATGCTCATCTTGTCCTTTTATACCAACATGAATCGTTAAGATGTGACTCTGTATTAAGTATGGGGAACACCTGCAGATTTCTGAATCAATTTACTATATATATTGATTTCCTCTGAAAGCAGATTTGATCATATGTTTTAGAGTTTGAAGTTTTCATGAAAGAGTTGATATGCTGTCACCCTCATAGTGCTAACCTGTGGAGGAGGCTGGCCTTGTGTTACTGGCAATTGTATAGACATAACAACCAGGGTTCATTTGAGTACTGTAAACTTGTCACATGTCTGATACGGTCAAGGTGAGTGATCAAACTTGTCACATGTCTTATACAGTCAAGGTGAGTGACCAAACTTGTCACATGTCTGATACGGTCGAGGTGAATGACCAAACTTGTCACCTGTCTGATACAGTCAAGGTGAGTGATCAAACTTGTCACATGTCTGATACAGTCAAGGTGAATGACCAAACTTGTCACATGTCTGATACAGTCAAGGTGAGTGACCAAACTTGTCACATGTCTGATACAGTCAAGGTGAGTGACCAAACTTGTCACATGTCTGATACAGTCAAGATGAGTGATCAAACTTGTCACATGTCTGATACGGTCGAGGTGAGTGGTCAAACTTGTCACTTGTCTGATACAGTCAAGGTGAGTGACCAAACTTGTCACATGTCTGATACAGTCAAGGTGAGTGACCAAACTTGTCACATGTCTGATACAGTCAAGGTGAGTGATCAAACTTGTCACCTGTCTTATACAGTCAAGGTGAGTGACCAAACTTGTCACATGTCTGATACAGTCAAGGTGAGTGATCAAACTTGTCACATGTCTGATACGGTCGAGGTGAGTAATCAAAGTTGTCTCATGTCTGATACGGTCGAGGTGATTGGTCAAACTTGTCATCTTATACAGTCAAGGGGAGTGATCAAACTTGTCACATGTCTTATACAGTCAAGGTGAGTGACCAAACTTGTCACATGTCTGATACGGTCGAGGTGAATGACCAAACTTGTCACATGTCTGATACAGTCAAGGTGAGTGACCAAACTTGTCACATGTCTGATACAGTCAAGGTGAGTGATCAAACTTGTCACCTATCTGATACAGTCAAGGTGAGTGACCAAACTTGTCACCTATCTGATACAGTCAAGATGAGTGATCAAACTTGTCACATGTCTGATACGGAGGAGCAGTCACGTCTAACATCTCACTTGTCTGATACAGTCAAGGTGAGTGACCAAACTTGTCACATGTCTGACTTGTCACATGTCTGATACAGTCAAGGTGAGTGATCAAACTTGTCACCTGTCTTATACAGTCAAGGTGAGTGACCAAACTTGTCACATGTCTGATACAGTCAAGGTGAGTGATCAAACTTGTCACATGTCTGATACGGTCGAGGTGAGTAATCAAAGTTGTCTCATGTCTGATACGGTCGAGGTGATTGGTCAAACTTGTCATCTTATACAGTCAAGGGGAGTGATCAAACTTGTCACATGTCTGATATGATCAGGGTGAGTGACCACACTTCTCACCAGCCTGATATGGTCAGGGTGAATGACCAGACTTCTCACCTGTCTGATATGGTCAGGGTGAGTGACCACATTTCTCACCTGCCTGATACGGTCAAGGTGAGTGACCACACTTCTCACCTGCCTGATATGGTCAAGGTGAGTGACCAGACTTCTCACCTGTCTGATACGGTCAAGGTGATTGACCACACTTCTCACCTGTCTGATATGGTCAGGGTGAGTGACCACACTTCTCACTTGTCTGATACAGTCAAATGTTTTTGATGATGGCGTCAACAACATTCAACATCCAGAGCATCCATTTACACACCACCAAACTTACTCCATGTCAGCAATGAATCATGGGAATGCATGTTCCTCGTAGAAATCTCTACACTTTAGAGTTATGAGTCTGTTTTTCTTTGGGCTGTAACTCAGTTCTCTATATACAAATAACCATACAGTGTGTTGGCAGAACATTAGGATGTATATATACAAAGCTGTGTTGTCATTGTTAGAGTGTTATATTTTGTTTGACTGATACATACTTAATTACACCAACATGGACCCGACATTTTACAATTATGTATCGTGAGAAGAATGCAAATCATTTGTTATTGGTCAATAGTAATTAAGGCATAATTTGTCAGAACTTCAGATGAATGTTTCAAAACTTGTCACTGGAGATTATTTCTATAGTAAACCAAAAGTCAAGCAGGCTGAGAAGCTAATGTGTACGTTCCTCAACTTCTCAATCTTAATACATGTAGTAAGGAATCAAATTTTTAAATCTTTGTGGAGAAGTGGGATTGTTAGTTAGAACACTGTTTGTGGAGAAGTGGGATTGTCAGTTAGAACACTGTTTGTGGAGAAGTGGGATTGTTAGTTAGAACACTGTTTGTGGAGAAGTGGGATTGTCAGTTAGAACACTGTTTGTGGAGAAGTGGGATTGTTAGTTAGAACACTGTTTGTGGAGAAGTGGGATTGTTAGTTAGAACACTGTTTGTGGAGAAGTGGGATAGTTACTTAGAACACTGTTTGTGGAGAAGTGGGATTGTTAGTTAGAACATTGTTTGTTCAATAGAAACAATGACTTTCTGTCTAGTCAATTTTAAGCCTCGTCAGTACATACATTTTATATTTTAGACAATAGTCTATGTGAAAACTACTTGTAATAACAAATGTCTTTATTTCTCAGACTGCTGTTCTTGAGTGTGCGAAGGTCTGTTGGAGAATTTGTAGCCAAGAGACATGAAGAGTATTGCAAAGAGGCAAGTAAAATTGTGTGGACTAAATCTTTGAATATCATCTACAAGCAAGAAAAAATTCTGTTTTGATTAAAAGTTTATTGAGAGGGCACCAAGAAGATTGATCTCTTTTGGCAGCCTTCTTTTTTCTCTTCCCTTGTGTTCATCTTTGTGTCTCTTGGCACCTAACCTCATCAATCTTAAAATGCCTGTCAAAAGTTTTGAGGGTACATATCATGTTATGGTGTTGTCCATCATAAAATTTTGTTGTCTAGAGATCTATTTTCAAATTTGGTAGACTTAAACACCATGGCATGAAGTTGTAGTTTCTTGAAAGGCAGCTTAATGCCACTGTATTTGGAAGAGTTACTGTCCTTTATTATTTTCATACTGTTTCTATTTTCTGGATCTTTCCTCCCTCAGTTTTCATCCTGATTTCTTTGAAATTTTATAGGGTTTATCACCATGACAATGAAGTTGGGTTTTCCTTAATGGCAGTTTCATTTGACTCTGTTTGGAAGAGTTACTGCCCCCTGTTCTTTTTCTAATGTTCATGCTGTCCAAAGATCATCTCCTTCAAGTCTGTCCAATGTTCATCAAAAAACAAATGTTGTTATCGCTTTCTCTTGAAAAGTACTGTTGGTTTTTCTCGGCTCTTAGATGTGTTGATTTGGTTTTGGGACTGATCAGAAAACCAAAGGCGTTCAGGCAGCCATATTGGATTTTGAAAAAGAAAGGTTTTTATCAGTATTGCTTGAGTAGTACTGGATGGATATCTCTCAAATTGCATTTGTAGGTTTCCCTCTGTCCCTAATTGTGATCGGCTTATTAGAAAAAACAAAATGGATGACAGGCAGCCATATTGGATTTTGAAAAAGAAAGGTTTTTATCAGTATTGCTTGAGAAGTACTGGATGGATCTCGCTCAGATTTCACACATAGGTTCCCCTTGGTCCCTAGTTGTGCCTATTAGATTTTTGTACTGATCATGAAAAACAAATTGGCTTCCAGGCAACCATCTTGGATTTGGCAGTATCTAAAAGGATTAATCAATTGATTATAAGAGAAAGGGAAAAGATCAGACCAGGAAGGGCAAAGTAAGGCATTATCCCCCACACACAACTGTTTGTGTAAAACCCAAATATGATATATATATAGGAGCCACAAAGCGAGGCATTATCCCCCTCACCCAGCTGTTGGTTTAAAACCCAAATAAGATATATATATACATCATATTTGGGTATATATATATATAGGGGACACAAAGCGTGGCATTATCCCCCACACCCAGTTGTTGGTTTAAAACCCACATATGATGTATATAAGGGAGCCACAAAGCGAGGCATTATCCCCCACACCCAGCTGTTGGAGTAAAACCCAAATATGATATATATATTTGAGCCACAAAGTGAGGCATTATCCCTAGCACCCAGCTGATAGTGTAAAACCCAAATATGATGTATATATAGGAGCCACAAAGTGAGGCATTATCCCCCACACCTAGCTGTTGGTGTAAAACACTAATATGATATATATATTTGAGCCACAAAGTGAGGCATTATCCCTAGCACCCAGCTGATAGTGTAAAACCCAAATATGATGTATATATAGGAGCCACAAAGTGAGGCATTATCCCCCACACCCAGCTGTTGGTGTAAAACCCTAATATGATATATATATTTGAGCCACAAAGTGAGGCATTATCCCTAGCACCCAGCTGATAGTGTAAAACCCAAATATGATGTATATATAGGAGCCACAAAGTGAGGCATTATCCCCCACACCCAGCTGTTGGTGTAAAACCCTAATATGATGTATAGATACTGGTATAACAGTTTGTGATGTCATTCAATTATGTACCACTACTACCACCTGAAGATCTAATACAGGGAAAGCGCGAGTGCTAAATGTAATGTCTTCTTTAGTTAATTATCAATTAAATTTCCTTGAATCTCCTCAACTTCAACATTATATATATATATATCTTATATATCAACCTTATAGTTAGAGTTCATTTCTTGATGTAGATCCTGTGTGTTTGACTGTTGATATTTGAATAGAGCTTGGTATGGTCCATAAACAAATTTATTTGACACTATAAACTCTGGAGTAACAAAGTCACAAAAAATAAAAAAAATTGATGGCTACAGAAAAAAGATATACAATAAAATGTCCTTAAGACGAAAAGGCACAACTAGGGCACTAGGCTAATATATACAGAAAGTTTTGTGGAGTTGAATGGAATGGTTTCAAAGTTGAAGTCCAGAAAGGATAGTTAACACTAATTTGTTTTTTTTTTGCTATGTTTCCATGGAAACACCAAAAATATATAAAATGAAATATCGTCAATAGCTAAAAGGGGCACTAACTTAATATATACAGCAAGCTTTGTGAAGTTGAGTTGAATGGTTTTGAAGTTATAGTTTGGAGAAATCCTTAGATGGACTGATGGAGCCCAAATTAATATCCCCTGCAAACATTTTTGCAGGGAATATTAATGGTGGGTGCCAAGAGCTCTCTGGGATCTCATTTGTTCTTAATATATTATGATATTAATTATATCTTATAGTCCAGGTACAAGTTTCTGTGCTGGGTATGGCATATTCAAATTCAAATTCTAATATATACAGAAAGTTTTGTGGAGTTGAATGGAATGGTTTCAAAGTTGAAGTCCAGAAAGGATAGTTAACACTAATTTGTTTTTTTTTGCTATGTTTCCATGGTAACACCAAAAATATATAAAATGAAATATCGTCAATAGCTAAAAGGGGCACTAACTTAATATATACAGCAAGCTTTGTGAAGTTGAGTTGAATGGTTTTGAAGTTACAGTTTGGAGAAATCCTTAGATGGACTGATGGAGCCCAAATTAATATCCCCTGCAAACATTTTTGCAGGGAATATTAATGGTGGGTGCCAAGAGCTCTCTGGGATCTCATTTGTTCTTAATATATTATGATATTAATTATATCTTATAGTCCAGGTACAAGTTTCTGTGCTGGGTATGGCATATTCAAATTCACCACCACCAATGAATATCACACGAAGATGGGATTTCTTTTTTTTTTCAATTTCCATAACCCAGTTTGATATTAGGTATGAGCCTGGATTTTCATCTTATTTGTAGTACATGTTATCTCTTTAACTTTGTTTTAGATGGAGCAGCTTATCTTGGAACTAAATGCCAGTGAGGAACTTATACACAAGGCCAAGAAGGTAAAATGGGCCATGACTTGTAATGTATGCTGTAGTAGATTCATCATTCTAATCTGAGACTTCAGAAATATATGGAACTTTTTCAACCACCGTTAATTTCCTGTTAACAGATAAAGGTCAATGATCCATTCCACAAAATAAATGTAGTCTTTGTCCTTAAAAATGGCTTTGATTTTACAACTTTTTGAATTTTAGTTTCTGTGTCATGACATGAGTAAAGTGGAGCAACAAGACGGGGGAGATAATGCTGTACAAGTAAGTAGTAAGATTAAATCTTTAAGGGCCTGTATTGCTCACCTAGCTTTGTTGGCTGAAACTGTTTATCCAAACTAAAGGAAAGGGAATTCAAAAAGTATAAGTATATAGTTCCCCATCCCTCTGTCACCTCCTCCCAAGGGGTCAGTCAGACCATTTATATAAAAGTCTCCTTCACACAAGAATGCTTTAGACTAAAAAAATTTAAAGTGTTTGCTCTATTTCCCCAGTTGGACCCCCGTCCCTCCTGCCCAAGGGGACCCTGAGACCCGCTGTTTTTATTTCCCCAGTTGGACCCCCGTCCCTCCTGCCCAAGGGGACCCTGAGACCCGCTGTTTTTATTTCCCCAGTTGGACCCCCGTCCCTCCTGCCCAAGGGGACCCTGAGACCCGCTGTTTTTATTTCCCCAGTTGGACCCCCGTCCCTCCTGCCCAAGGGGACCCTGAGACCCGCTGTTTTTAAAGAATTAATTCCCCTTAACCAAAGGATGCTTCAAATGAAATTTGAAAGAGCAAACTCAGGATCACATCATGTATATTTGATATCATTGCCGCTCCTTAATTATGTTTCAGACCAAATTTGGTTGAAATCCATTCCAGCATAAAGGAAGAGAAGCATCTTAAAGCAAAGCATTTTCTTACTTCCCCTTTTGGGGCTTTGCTCCTAGGTCCTTAGGGTGTCAAATCAACTTTCTGAATTTACTAGGTCCTTAGGGTGTCAAATCAACTTTCTGAATTTACTAGGTCCTTAGGGGGTCAAATCAACTTTCTGAATTTACTAGGTCCTTAGGGTGTCAAATCAACTTTCTGAGTTTACTAGGTCCTTAGGGGGTCAAATCAACTTTCTGAATTTACTTGGTCCTTAGGGTGTCAAATCAACTTTCTGAGTTTACTAGGTCCTTAGGGGGTCAAATCAACTTTCTGAATTTACTAGGTCCTTAGGGTGTCAAATCAACTTTCTGAATTTACTAGGTCCTTAGGGTGTCAAATCAACTTTCTGAATTTACAAAATTATTTCCCTCCTTACTCGTTTAGCTAAAATTAACCCAGGAATTAGTAGCATTTTAGAGCAAAATATTGTCCAACTTTCCCCTTTGGTCCCCATACTTATGTCCTTATGGGTCAAATCAACTTTCTGAATTCAGGAAATTATTCCCCAACCCCTAATTATGTTTTATATGAAATCCATTCAAGCATTAGGGAATAGTAGCACTTATATGCAAAATATTGACTAGCTTCCCCTTTTGGGACCTCATCACCAGGTCCCTTGGATTGAATCAACTTTCTCAATTTAGGAAATAATTCCCAAATCCAAATGATATTTTAGACCAAAATTGGTTGAAATCAGCCCAAGTTTTAAACAGGTGTAGTGTTATACAGGTTTATGGATGAAGCACAACGACAGATGAAGCATGATAGCTATAAGCATTATTGCTTTGTTTCTAATAGAAAAAAATGGGTCTTTCTTCAATATGAAGATTATTCTGAGCTGTGCATAGTCAATGTGTTAAAAATCTGATAGAATGCTGGGTACAGTTGTAAGCCTATTCAAGCAAATCGCCTACATAAAAGACAACAGGAACTTAAAGATCTGCCAACAGACATCAAGAAGTGAAGAACGATTTATAGAACAAGTATTGGTAGACTTCCACAACCACAAAGCAAAATGTGAAAAACATCTAATATGAAATTGTTGTATGATTGGTGGATTTTGTTTAATTCAACAGAAACAAATGGATGTGAAAGATTTTGACAAGCGGTGGTATTCCTGGACAGACAATTGTTTGCCTACCTAAACATGAAGGTTAGTTGTACAGTCGATGAGAAAAGAAGACTTTGGATTTCTGAATACATTTAATACAGGCACAAAACAATTCTCTTACAACACAAATACTTTTGACACAAATATTGCACTTTATGTAAGTTCAGCACAAGGTCCAGATAGTGGAATGATTTATAAATATCACCAACAGAGAAGAATCACAGTCCTACTTGAAAATTAAGCCATTTTAAGACAAGCGACAGGGAAGCCATCCCCCTTGTAACGACTGACCAGGTCCAGAAGAGCCTGTTTCTTGTGAAGGGCACGAGATGACTCCAATTCATACAGAGTACAAAGATTAAAAAGAATTCCTTCGTGTAGGTTCCTTATAGGATCCTCGTGTACCAATACCTCCAGCGTCTTCAGGGCATCCCGTAGCTTTCCTAGGTACAGTGAACACACAGCCATGTTGTTGACCGCCTGAAACATTGTCATCATTAGAGACATCATGAACAACCATCATCACTAAATATATGTGTTGTTTTATTCTGATGAAAGAAAGAGATGATTAATGCATTGGCAGATCAATAAATAAAATACGCAAGTTAACGGGTTACTTAGAAAACATTTAATTTTTTGCTGGGGGCACTTTTACAAATTCATTTTGCTGGTAGCAAAGCTATTATGTCCTAGATGTAGACAGGGTACGGTTTTCACACACATAAATAGCAAATATAATTTATGAATCAAAGACTGCAGCTGTAGTTTAGTATAGCATAGATACATGCTGTTCTGATGTAGACTATTAATCTTTACAGAAGTCTCAACACCATATAGAAAATGAATACTGATAGTTATGGAAGTGGATAAAATCTATCTATTAAATTTGATATAATTTATGGGTTGACATTATACTGTCAGTGTTGGTTCCTTTGTTGCAGGGATACACAAATCCGGACCCTTGCAGTGATTGACACTGATACCAATTAATCCTGGATTGACTGACTAATTCAACAACTATAATTCTGTCTGGTGAAAAATATACTGGAATCACTTCTTGTGTTACATCATAATCTACAGAGCTTTTGCAAAAGTCTTGATTGGAAGCAAATTAGGAAACTTTACAGAAGAACAAAAGTTTACAGTCATTTCTGGACAGAAACAAAGAATTAAAATCAGCAACACCTTGTGATGAAGACAAGACAATGATAACGGCTTCGATATGATACACAGAAGATACTTACTGAGGCATTTGTTGGGTCATGTTCTACTGCTGTCTTGAAATTCTGGTATGCATCGGAGAAACTGTTCGTACACATAGACTCTAGTCCCCTGTGGAAAAAAGATTGTTTTGTGGGCTATCTGTAATAATTTCATGACATTTCACAATCTAATATAGCATATTTTTACATCAAATTGTTTATAACACTTTATTTTTACAGTAATGACTCTATAAATAGGACAGCTCTATATTTCTATATCCTTCAAAAAGTCTTGTAATACCTATAGCATTTGCTTATACTTCTCCTGAAACTGCATTAGATGTTAGAGGGCTGAATACTCGGCATGGACATACGATTGCATACATCTAGTAAAGAGTGATAGCTACATATTTACTTCTCAGACTCAATAAACTTTAAAAGGACTGTATTATGTCTAAACACTGTCTTCATTTGTTTATACCTGAATATTCCATCATTACTTCATCAGCTTTATTATTCAAATCATCCTTTATCTGTTGATCAGTAAACAATTCTGTTAATGAGTAAACAATTTTTGTTTTCACCCTTTTTTAATGGATCTTTCTCCAATTTCATATGTAGGTTCCCCTTTGTCCCTTGTTGTGTCTATTTTATATTGGGACTGATAAATATTTGGCTGACAGGTGGCCAACATGGATTTTGATGATGTTTTGTTATTATTCCTTGAGAAGTATTGGATGAACCTTCTCAAATGAAGGTTCCTAGTGCCTAATTATGCCCCTTGATTTGAGGACAGATCAGAAAAACAAAATAGCCGATATGCAGCTTGGATTCTGGCTATGGAAATATGTTATCACTTTACTGGAGTAGTTTGGGATGGATCTTTCTCAAATGTTTAGCTTTCCCCTGGTAGCTAGTTGTGCCTATTTGATTTTGGGACTGATCAGAAAAATAAAATGGCTGACAGGCCAACATCATGGATTTAACAGTTACAAAGTCATTATTGCTATTTCTTAGGGAAATTAAAAAAAATTCATATTAAACAGATGAAAGAAGGAAAACGAAGGGAAAGATCTAACTTTTTTAAAGAATAAATAAAGATTGAACAATTGTGTGTGGCAATATCCCCCTGGGATCTCTTGTTTAGATATCGTGTAACTTCACACAACGTAGCACAACACGGGCATTCCTCACCCTTCAACCATATGTATTGTGTAAAGAATTTAACTTAAGTTATGGTTTAGACATATTGCTGTTATATAAAACAGTTACAAAAGTAAATTAATGTGTTCATGCTTGAATGGTAGCAAGTAAAATGTCTAAGTGGAGCAGAGCCAATTTTTGTCATTCATCTGAAGTGAATCAACTCTGTTTGCTGTTACCTTTCAACATCTTTACAAACGTTAAATTGACTTTTCTCTTCCTAACTAACCTGTAAATTCTTTGATTGACTTTTTTACTGACCCAGATATAAGTGATCTTATGGACTTCCAGATAATCGTTGGACTGCCACCGTCAGACGTTTGATTTGTAGTTGTAAATTGAAACAACTTGACTGTGTATGCTCCTATTTAAACTCCCTGGTGGAATTATTAATCTTCATACTTCTAAATTTAAATTTAAATTTTTTTGTGCTTTGGATCTTTGGGCTACTTTGAACTTTGACTTGTATTTTGACTGTTGTATAAGGGTATTAATAAATTTCTCTACTTTATGAAAATACAGATTTTAATTTACTTTTTGTTTTTAAAAACTTCAAATCACTTCCATATGTAATGTCCCATGAAGTCCAACTATAAATCACAGAAGTGATACTTTCAGGGCTATGTGTTTTGATGACATACTTGTTTAGGTAAGTCCTACATGTCTGTTTCTTGTCCGTTATATCTGTTAACACTTCCGCTTGTTTGAAACAGTCTGTTGCCTTGGAAACATTTCCCATCTGTGAAATATGAATCCAAAATATTACATAAAATGTTTCTTCATTCCATTTTAACATTTTTCCTCTCTCTAAGGAGCAATATTCTCTATTCGATTAAACACCTGTAAAATTATATACACTATTGTAGAGTGGAATAAACACCTCACCCTTAGTTATGGATACACAGAATATATAAACATCTTCACCAGCAGAAGATAAAACCTATACAGGTAAGACCTGTCATGGATACACAGTATATAAACATCTTCACCAGCAGAAGATAAAACCTATACAGGTAAGACCTGTCATGGATACACAGTATGTAAACATCTTCACTAGTAGAAGATAAATCCTATACAGGTAAGACCTGTCATGGATACACAGAATATATAAACATCTTCACTAAAAGTATGGAAGTATATAAACATCTTAATGGATCTGTCATCTCCCAAAGGATTAATCCAACAATTACCTGTCACTATAAAAACAATAGGCCCATGGATACACAGAATTACATCTGTCACTATAAAAACAAATCCCATACAGAATTACCTGTCATGGATACACAGAGTATAGAATAAAACCTATACCAGTAAAATTAATATATACAGAATCTGTCACTAAAAACAATAGGCCCCTACAGAATTACCTGTCACTATAAAAACAATAGGCCCATACAGAATAACCTGTCACTATAAAAACAATAGGCTCATACAGAATTACCTGTTGCTATAAAAACAATAGGTCCATACAGAATTACCTGTCACTGTAAAATTAATAGGTCCATACAGAATCACCTGTCACTATAAAAACAATAGGTCCATACAGAATTACCTGTCACTATAAAAACAATAGGTCCATACAGAATTACCTGTCACTATAAAAACAATAGGTCCATACAGAATTACCTGTCACTATAAAAACAATAGGTCCATACAGAATTACCTGTCACTATAAAAACAATAGGTTCATACAGAATTACCTGTTATACAGAATTACCTGTCACAATAGTCCATACAGAATTACCTGTCACTATAAAAACATACAGAATTACCTGTCACTATAAAAACAGAATTACCTGTCACTATAAAAACAATAGGCCCATACAGAATTACCTGTCACTATAAAAACAATAGGTCCATACAGAATTACCTGTCACTATAAAAACAATAGGTCCATACAGAATTACCTGTCACTATAAAAACAATAGGCCCATACAGAATTACCTGTCACTATAAAAACAATAGGCCCATACAGAATTACCTGTCACTATAAAAACAATAGGTCCATACAGAATTACCTGTCACTATAAAAACAATAGGCCCATACAGAATTACCTGTCACTATAAAAACAATAGGTCCATACAGAATTACCTGTCACTATAAAAACAATAGGCCCATACAGAATTACCTGTCACTATAAAAACAATAGGCCCATACAGAATTACCTGTCACTATAAAAACAATAGGCCCATACAGAATTACCTGTCACTATAAAAACAATAGGCCCATACAGAATTACCTGTCACTATAAAACAATAGGCCCATACAGAATTACATGTCACTATAAAAACAATAGTCCCATACAGAATTACCTGTCACTATAAAAACAGTAGGTCCATGCAGAAATACATGTCACTATAAAAACAATAGGCCCATACAGAATTACCTGTCACTATAAAAACAATAGGTCCATACAGAATTACCTGTCACTATAAAAACAATAGGTCCATACAGAATTACCTGTCACTATAAAAACAATAGGTCCATACAGAATTACCTGTCACTATAAAATTAATAGGTCCATACAGAATTACCTATCACTATAATAAACACCTAAGTCCATACAGAATTACCTGTCACTATAAAAACAATAGGTCCATACAGAATTACCTGTCACTATTAAAACAATAGGTCCATACAGAATTACCTGTCACTATAAAAACAATAGGTCCATACAGAATTACCTGTCACTATAAAAACAATAGGTCCATACAGAATTACCTGTCACTATAAAAACAATAGGCCCATACAGAATTACCTGTCACTATAAAACAATAGGTCCATGCAGAATTACATGTCACTATAAAAACAATAGGTCCATACAGAATTACCTGTCACTATAAAAACAATAGGTCCATACAGAATTACCTGTCACTATAAAAACAATAGGTCCATACAGAATTACCTGTCACTATAAAAACAATAGGTCCATACAGAATTACCTGTCACTATTAAAACAATAGGTCCATACAGAATTACCTGTCACTATTAAAACAATAGGTCCATACAGAATTACCTGTCAATGGAAAAACAATAGGTCCATACAGAATTACCTGTCACTGTAAAAACAATAGGTCCATACAGGATTATCTGTCACTGTAAAGCAACAGGTCAATACAAAGTCACTGTAAAAACTATAAAAAACATCTAAGTCCTATATAAACCTGATGTATTACAGTTCAGTTATACAAGTTGATGCAGTTGTAATTATCTGCAGTAGTCTGAGGTAACTGGTGGTAGGAAATGTAGACGTTACCTGGAGATAAATTAGTCCCAGACCACTCAAGAGTGATGGCTTGGACTGTGGATCCTTCACAAGCAGGGCTTCGTACACTGTCATTGAAGCTTCATAATCCTGAAAAATGTTCAAAAATATGTTCCTCTACACAAAACATGTTCATATTAAAAACAAATTACATAATTACATACCATACATGTACATGTTCTATACATATATAGAAAATACCTTCATATGTAGAAAACAGATTCATTTATACAAAATTTTCTACACAATACACATTTTCACATACAAGACATGTTCACACAAAACACATTCACATATAGAAAACACAACCACACACACAATACACATTTTAAAGACAGCATAAACACCACAACTGGAAAATGTCACTGATAAGTAGGGACATATTTGATCCCATCACAAAGATATCACCAAGAGTAAAACCTAAGTTTGATTGACTGAGGGAAATGTCTTCAATAAATACCTTTATAGCCAAAAATGTGTTTCCTATGATAAACAGGATTTTCTTCTCTCGGGAACACCATAAGTCTCTGGATGCTGCAAAGTATTTCCTGGTATTAATGAAGAGTTATGCAAAGCTGACATCTGTTTATAAAAATATTTTTATTAAGAAGTACTGTAAACAAACTTTTCTTCACATGTGATTTACTTCTTTACTTTCACAAATTTTATGAATGAAGCAAATTAAAACACAGGTAATGAACACCAAATTTAAAAGTTGTCATTTTACAATATTGACTATTTACCTTACATGCTGTTTATCCTGAATCTATGTGTGTATATGGTTAAATTCATTGTCAAGGACAATTTACTTCCCCAAGTATTCCATTCTGAGTACTGTAATTGGTGTGAGGTAAATGAAATATTCTGGTGGAGATCTGTAGCGAATTTGAATTCTATCAAATTACTTTGACCGACCTTCACATTGTTATCTTAAGAAAAATTCCGGACACTTGATGAGTTTAAAAGTAAATTAGACATGTATATTCCTTAGAGTATGGAAATGTATGTATGTTGTAAAGCGGGTATGAAAAGTCATTCTGGGCTATGAACAAGTCACTTCCAAACCCCTGAAGTAAGTTAACATGTTGTGGCCAAATTAACACCCAAACAAGGGACTCTCTACATATCAAGATCAACCATGTACTTTGAATTTTACAATGGTAACTCATAATTTGTATAGGTAAATTAATGTGCATATCTTATTAACAGAAATTGCAAAAGTTAGTAGCGAAGAAAGAAAATTGGTTCACAGTATTTCTCTTTAATAGAAACATAAAACAAGAGACCTATAGGGCCTGTATTGCTCATCTGGATCTAAAAGCCCAGCAATTATATACATGCCTATAGCTTGAGTATTCAAAATATTTCCAAATTAAAGCTCAGTCCAGAGGGGTGAGGCCACACCCAAGGGCCAGTCCTTACATTGTGAATGTGCTTATCTCTTGCCCAGCATTGCTATATATGGTTTACGGTGGAGATCTCCCCTACCATTTATACAAAATTGATTTTCCTTAACCAACAGGATTCACACCAAATTTGGACAAAATCCAATTATTCCTGCAGGAGAAGGATTTAAAATAATTTCCTCTATTTCTCCTATTGGGCACTGCCCCTCCCAATCCACAGAGATCCGCCACTTATACAAAATTGATTCCCCATCACCCAAAGATGCTTCTGCCCGAATTTGGACAGAATCCAATCATTCCTACAGCAGAAGTAGGGAGTAAAATAACTCCTTTTGACGGATGGACGACAGATGCCATGGTATGCCGTAAGTTCACTTGGCCTTTTGGGCCAGGTGAGATAACAAACAAAGATTGTTCTTCTGACTACAAATGTATTGTCAGTATACAGTTGTATAAACCTACCAAATTCAATTGTGATTGTACCTAATTTCCATAACTTTATCTCATCATGATGTGATGTCTCTGCACTGACAGTATAGTAAAAACATACAAGAGACCCATAGAGCCTTTAATGTACATCACCTTTGGATCAGGTGATCTAAAAAGTAAGTATATTGGATCATATCTTAGACTGCATTTCTGTCATATTCAAAAACTGAACATTTCATACTGCACAACTGCTACCTTTTCTACTTTCTTCTGGGATTTCTACAGCACTGCCATCTTCACTTAATCCTTCATCCAGATTCTTGATAATCTACAATCACAAAACAGCCTGATCAATCAATTTATCAGATTCTGGAATCAAAATCCAAATAACCTTTTGATACTCATTCTCAAATATGCCTGTAGTCAAATCTTTTGAGAAAAATTTTGAATAAAGTGCTCAAGTTCACTACAAGTAAATTGAATAAGATTTTATTTGTTCAGGAGGACTCATTCACCTTGATAAAATGAGTTCTACTTTGGGTATTTTAAAACCAACAGCAAAGAAACAATAATAAGCCATACATATATAAGTAAATCTCAAGTGCATAACTTCTGGAAAACAACTTCATATATGAATTCAACTATCTAGACAAACTTTTTGTGTGACTGCGAGTATATAGTGAAGTCGATCCAATGCCTCCTGGGACCGTCCTAGGTAGTGTGGCAGTTCTGCATGTAACAACCGCATCCCAAAGGATACAATGGAACCTGACCAATCAGAATTAAAGGTGATTATTGAAAACCTCGAATCAATAGCACAAACTTACCAAACAGTACTTAATTAACCTGCAAAGAAAACTTTATACAAGAAATTCAAGATATTCATATTGGTAATATAACAGGCTTAAATTTTGTGTATCTGTAAGAATTCCAAATATTCACGTCTTGAACATTAGCATCTAATTTATCCACCAACAAGGGAAGTATAACATTGCAACTCTGCACTAACAAGCTTGTAAATGAAAATTACTTGCAGCTTCCATTCTATCTTTTGAAGGGTAGTATAGGAAATTATATCAACCATTACATTTTGCAGGTGCCTAAATATCACAGCTTAAATAGATGAAAAAGTGGGACATTATTCTGTATAAGCAATGATGAAGACATAAACTGACCTTTACGTCCAGGGTAAACCTGTGGGTAGTAATCATAGTAGAGGTCTGGGGTATCAAGGTTCTGGAAACCCTGTAGTTCTGACTCAACAATGTTGTACAGCTTCAGTTTCATCAGCAGAGACAGACGACAAAACCACAGCTGTTGGAGGTAAAAGGTACAGGGATCAGAAATTCATCAGATAACTGATAAGTAACAAAAGTCAGAAATTACCTATATTCATCGGAGTTCTCTCTGATTAAAAGGCATTCTTTTCTGTTTCAGTGGATTCTAGGAAAGAGCTTTACATTTTGTAAGTGGTAAAGGGACTCGATTTTGAAAAGCATATTTTGAGAAAAACAGCCAGTTCTTGTCTGTAAATATCAATAGATTATTCAATGTGAGGTTTTGTTATTTATAGAAGTGACTAGATATACTGACTGTACATCAAAACAAATAAGAGTATCTGTAAAACTCATGAAAAACTGTAAACGACTTTATTGGATACAAAATTTAAACAAAGGACAATAATTCTGTAATAAAGGGGTTGCAAGCCCTGAATCTGGTATACTACACACTGTCTTAGTATGACACATTTATATTCCAAGTTTCAAGATCCTAGGTTTAATGCAAGCAAAGCTATGCTCATGACACAAAATCTTAACAAAGGGCAATAACTCTGTACTGACTTTACTACACAGCAACTTGCTTTTGTATAAGTGATGTATATATCATGTTGATATTCTAGTTTAAATGCAGGTAAAGCAATGTACTGGAAACAAAATTTTAATAAATGGGCAATAACTCTGAAATTACGGAGTTGCAAGCTCTGAATTTGGCAATTAATAATTATTTTGGGAATTAAGGGGTTTCGGGCCCTAACATTGTTACACTATCTTTGGATGATTAATGGATACACCAAGTTTCATAATCTTTGCTTAGCTGTTGGCAAAGTTAAGCTCCAGACAAGAAATTATTAACTCTGTAACTGAGGGGTAAATGGCCTCGAATTTGATACACTGCACATTGTCTTAGTAGCATCAATATATCCACCAAGTTTCATTATCCTAGTTTAGAAGCAAGCAACTTAAAGTTGTGCTCTACACACAAAATTTTAACAAAGGCAATAACTCTGAAATAAAGGAGTTGCGAGCTCTGAATATGGCATACTGCACATTGTCTTAGCGTAATCAATATATACATCAAGTTTCATTATCTTAATTTCAATACGGGCAAAGTTATGCTCTGGACACAAAATTTTAACTAGTATTATAACTCCTTGTATATTTACTATTTTCACGAACAATGGTTCAATCATTACCTGTAGTGTATGAGATGTATGTTGGGTAGGTGGTGTTGTCTCCCCTTGATTTTCTGACCCTTGTCCAGCAGCTGTTAAAAGTCGCCCTGTCAGTTCTACAGCAGACCTGTAACATCCTCCTTCCTATATCAAAAATACACACATATTATCAACAGAGTACCTGACTTGATACATCAGTGAAACCACTCTACCTATATCGGCATTAGATAAAGAAAGATTTCCTCATTCTCATTTAGCACAAAACTAATGACAAGGTATATTAATTAGCATAAACGATATCGGTTTTTATAACATATTTTTACAACAATGAGTCATTTATATTTATCATGCATTGTTATAAAGTAAGACTATAGGTGCATGGAGTGTTATAATGTAAGACAGATTATTAAATACCAAGAGTTTTTTCAAGCCATCCACATCTTGAGTGACACTGTCGACTGTCAGTATCTGTCTTTTGATGGCTTCCTGTTCTCCCATGTAGCGATGTACCAGGTCACGTACTGGGTCCCCCTATGTACACAAGTTTACAACAATTTACATTCTATCTTTACGATGTGTATCTGATGTAGTAGGTTTACAACAATTTACATTCTATCTTTATGATGTGTATCTGATGTAGTAGGTTTACAACAATTTACATTCTATCTTTACGATGTGTATCTGATGTAGTAGGTTTACAACAATTTACATTCTATCTTTACGATGTGTATCTGATGTAGTAGGTTTACAACAATTTACATTCTATCTTTACGATGTGTATCTGATGTAGTAGGTTTACAACAATTTACATTCTATCTTTACGATGTGTATCTGATGTAGTAGGTTTACAACAATTTACATTCTATCTTTACGATGTGTATCTGATGTAGTAGGTTTACAACAATTTACATTCTATCTTTACGATGTGTATCTGATGTAGTAGGTTTACAACAATTTACATTCTATCTTTACCATGTGTATCTGATGTAGTAGGTTTACAACAATTTACATTCTACCTTTACCATGTGTATCTGATGTAGTAGGTGATATTGACGGTATGGTTCAATATTGGTACTGTATCCTAACAAACAAATGTTTTGTATGTATGTGACTGGAATAGATGTATAATCAATGAAATAATAACAGCATTGTGGACAAGTAAATTGTCAAATTTTCAAGGCAATCTGATCCTTTATCAAGACACAAAATATTACAAAAGTAACATCACATACAAATAGAACATAAAACAAACATAAAGCTACAAACTATAATTAGTGTAAAGGCTTCTGATAATCTCTTCACCGGATGAACTCTGATTGCCATGAAAATTTGACAACTTCCTTGTCCATATTGTCATTGTCTAAAAAATTGAATCAATACTGGCCAGGAACTAAAACATTCCTGTGTTCAGAGACTCGTCAGGTTTATTTTGATTATGTCACGATTGACGTAATGAATCTGTTTTAGGTTTATACAGTCATACATATTCTGAGTTCATGACTTGTTTGGCAGATATAAAATTCATCACATTTAGAACAAATTATAGCATAAATTATTTTCTTTGATTTGAAATTCATATTTGATTTCACTGTGAACTTGAATCCATCCTTAAAACAAAATTACTACATTGAATTACATCACAGAATACGTATCAGACATCGGTGTCTTACATCAACCAGTACCTAACCACTACGGGTGGGGAAGAGGGAAGATTTCTATGAAAACTCTCATACTTTTGTTTACCAGGTATCAGGTATTCGATTCCATAAAGTTATCAAATATGACATGCTCATTAATTTTTTTGTGCATAGACAATTACAGCTAGTTTACACAAGAGTTTGTTTCTATAATAACCATAACGTTTACCTGTGATTCATTGACTACGATACTTGGTGTACTGATCTGATCCTCTGTCGGTACAAAACCTCCCGGTGACGTTGTCACAGTTACTAGTATATGTCGAGTTGCGTCTGATGGAAGCCAAGCATCGTGTTGTCTGTCTGCATCACTCATGTACAGAGTGGTTGAGAAGGGATCTGAAGCACTGCCATCTGTCTGAAATGCTGATGCCAGACTACCAGACTTGGGTGGTGAACCTGCACTTTCACCTGTTGTTCAAATACATGTATATACTTACATTTTATTTTCATTTTAAATAATTATCATCCAATAACATACATTTTTGACGTGGCCGGCAAAGTAGTATTCTAATTAATAATCAAGACTACTGGTATAAAGGAGTACAATCCACAATCTAAATAGTGAGAAAATCTACATATGGCATGTTGCCATATGTCTGTATTCATAAATCAAACCAAAAAATAAATCCTATTACCATCCTTAACAATCCATTACCTTTGACTTTTATTTAAATCCTTTTTACATTCAAAGCAGATATTTTTTTAGAGTTTGTTTGTCATTTACAAATTATGTTGATATGGGTATGCATCTGGTGGGTTATACAAATATTAACTATCCTGAAAAGTTGTATCTTTTCATTCCAACCTTTCAAATTCTAAGTTTTTCATATGAAGAAATTAAACCTCAGAGAGCTATGACAAAAAATTACAAGATGTCTAAAAAAGTGGCCAATAAGACCTGTATCCCTCATCTGGCTTTGTTTGGTTGAAATTCCTTTATCCAAACTAAAGGAATAGGAATTCTAAATATCCAAGCCCATACCCTACACTATATCTATTTCCCCATTGTTTCCTACCCCTCTGTCTTAGGGGGTCAGCCAAACCACTAATGCAGAAGACCACATTGGGACATAATCAGAGCATTCTTACAGAGAAGTAGGATTGTAAATGTAACCAAATTTGGGCAAAGTCCAAACATTCCTACAAAAGAAGGATTTTAAAGAATCTACTCTATTATACAGGGGTTGAGACCTACTGTTCATACACAGTGTAGTCAGATTTACCCTTTTTACAAACTGATACCCTTTCACACTCGGAAGCTTCAGATCAAACTGGGACAGAATCCTGACATTCTTACAAAAGAAGGATTTTATAGAATTTGCACTATTTCCCCTATTGGTCACTGACCCTCCGTCTCCACTGAGTTCCACCATTTATATTGATTAAAAAACTGATTCAATATTTTGCAAGAATGCATCAGACCAAATGTAGGCAAAGTCTGATGACTCCTACTGATGGATGAATTGAATTTCAAAGAATCTGCATCCTCAATCTCAAAAAGCAGAGACTTTCTGTTAACAAATAACTGACTCCTCTTTACAAAAGGATGCTTCAGAACAAATTTGGACAAAATCCAATCATTCCTAAAGATGCAGTAGGATTTTAAAGAATTTGTTCTACTTCATCATTGGACCCCATCCCTTCACCCCAAGGATGCAATAATAATAATGAAAAAAACCTTCGCCAAGAATGCTTGAAGCTTTGGGTAAAACCCAATTCTCCAAGAGAAGGAATAAGATTATAAAGTATGTGCTCTATATTTAAATGGCTGTGAGCCTGAAAGCTTAGAAATGTAAGAACTGTTGGTATTTACTTAATCCTGTTACATGCAAGAATCTGAACATAACATACTTTGATGACATAATCTTACTTTGTTTTTCATCAAGCTGAACCTCCATATGATTGTCATTTGTTGGGTCTGTTGATGGAATTGGCTGATGTCCTGGTGTGGGGAAGGCAGACAACTGCATGGGTGGTAGAGGTGTGCCCTGGAATGGTTGGTGGACAGGAGACAGCCCCAAGTCTGGGTACTTATTAGACAGTTGACAATCGTAGCTAACTGGTCCCTTATCAGGGACAGTGTCTATTGGAATGGTGTCTGTGATGTGAAGTTGTGACATACGATCAGACATTAGTTTGTTTGATGGTGACATACTCAAGCCGCTCAAAATGTCCTGGTCACCATCACCAGTTCCCTCGGCTGTAAATGATTCAAAATCTTCCTTATCATCAATTACCTGAAGTGATGCCTCCATAATGTTAGTTTCTGTATCCTCTGGTACAACCTGGAAATCCACACTCTCTGGCTCCTCATGTGACAGTCGACTTTCGACAGCATTTGGGCATGAATTTGAAGCAACTGATACATCTGTCGCAGTTGAAACTGTATTTGGGGAAACTTTTTCTTCCCTTGCAATGTCTTCCAAATCACCAAATACATTGTCGGGGGAAGTAGAGTTAGTTTCCTGAGGAGTGTTACTGATATTATCAAAGAAACTCTGTCCAAATGGATCACTTTCAACAACTTGCGATGTCTCCGATTTGAAATAGCTACTAATATGAAGAGGACTTTGATTATCTTTATTCTCCTCAACATTTTGGTTACTGTTTTCTGCACTTTTCTCCACAGATTTAGAAATGTCCATTGATGGAGAGGTACCTAATAATGAAGAATCTGTTTCATTATGTGTCACATCAGATTGGTTAAACTCAGTCAATGATATATTTGTGTCTTTTTTAACATCCATTTTGTCTGACTGTGAATTACTGACATCATCAAGGGTCTCATCTTCAGCCGGAGAGGTTTCCAGGATGACAGAGTCTAGTGTATCTGTTGTAGCTGAATGCCGAAGTGTTGGTTCAGATGGAAACTCAACTAATTTAGAGGATGATTCAGCAAAACTTTCATCTTCAAGAAGGTCCCCAACTCCGGAATTCTCATCAGACATCATTTTGATTGTTTCTGTAAAATTGACAAAACTCATAATGTGTGATAACTGTGTAACTTGAAAGAGAAATGAAAAGCATACTGCTTGTGTTCAAGTTTGGAAGCTACACTATACCTGTAGGCAGGGCTTATGTCTCACTAGGTGTGGATAGAGGCCGACTCTCTAGTGTCCATGGAACACCTACTTTACCAATGAAATGGGACATTAAACCAGCCAACTTAAGAATTAGCCAACCAAAAGGCATGTTTAAGATATACCATACATGATGTGTGTTGTCTAGGTACAGGATAAATGATAAATTATTAGGGAATTGATGGACAGGAGAATAAGAAGAAAGAAGAGGTCACCTGACTATAAAGACAGATATACTGGTAACAGCAGTAGGAACGATTATGAACTGAGTTAAACAGTTTGGAATGTTTTAGCAGTGAGGGCACATTTCATTTCAGTTTCCCACCATTCCCACAAAATTTCAGCCCAATTGCATCAGTGAAAGGGGGAAAGAAATTTCAAATCTGTTTTTCAACATGGCAGCTATGACAGCAATTTTAGATTTTAGACCAACCCTGAAAAATAACAACACTTGGTCAGGACATTTAAGGATCATTTCAAGCAAGTTTTAGCTAAATTCTCTCAATGAAGCTTGAGAAATTTCATATAGATGTTATTCAGGGAAACCATGATTGTGCAGTCATGTTACAAAACTGAGTTTCAAATATATTCTCCAAGATGGCGGCCATATTAACTTCTAGACCTTAACTTTTGAGGAAGCCAGAAAATAACCACACTTTGTTGGCGTCCAGTCCTTAACATTCCCAACAACTTTTTGCTCCAAGGCACCAGGAGAATTTGAAAAGAAGTTTAAAATGAATTTTTCAAGATGGTGGCCATATTGGATTTCAGACCAACCCAAAAACAACCACACTATTTCAGGACTATGTCAGAATCCTTTCAAGCATGTTTCAGCTCAATCCCACCTGTAGAACTTGAGAAGATATTTAGCATAGGTATTGTTCAATGTTGTCCTAATTTTATAAGAGTTGCTTCAGTGGTGTCATAAGATATACTGAATACAACACGCTATTTCTGACCATTTTATAAGAGTTGCTTCAGTGGTGTCATAAGATATACTGAATACAACACGCTATTTCTGACCATCTGAAGTACCATGTACATGTATAGATCATCTCTTGTTCATGTAGAGAGGATAGCAGGTTTGGAGGTGGTTGACCCAGTGTCATTCCTTACTGAAGCTTTGCTGGTCACCCTAACTCCTGCAGAGGTTAATGGATACCACCTGCACATCATGCCACATATGACTTGGCATGTTGAAATGTCTTGCTACAAGCAGGTCCATGCATTTCTGTTTGATAGGACAATGGTGATTGTTGATCCTGAGATTAAGTGGTGTTTTGGTCTCCCCCACATACTGCAAATGACACTTATTATACTAAAGGTAGCTGACTGCAGTAAGGGAGACATTTTGTCTATTTTTGTGATTTAATCGTGACATATTGTAATATGATGTATTTCATATTACTGAACCATTTTTGGTCCTTGTCTGAGAGGAAACAACTGTTATACTGTTGACATTTAATTTAAGGGTAACATAAGAGTTTATTCATTACATCCTCTGTTACAGCCTTTTAGCAGAAGAGTAACCTCAGAGAGAAAACTATATATCTTATTTCAAATCTGGTAGGTCGTTTAACCCCAACATCAGTACAGAGAGTGAGACTGTGTGGTTGTGTGTGTGTGTTGGAGAGAGAGGGAGAAAGAGAGAGAGAGAGAGAGAGAGAGAGAGAGAGAGAGAGAGAGAGAGAGAGAGAGAGAGAGAGAGAGAGGGGTGGGGGAGTGAGTGAGAGTATGTATGTGCAACTCATTTAATCACTTCCAATGAGACTTATTGTATGCACGACGAGTGCTTGGTATTGATATCTCAAAGATTACAGTACTGTATTTTGTTCAATTACATGTTGTTTCTATTGGCTAGGCTATTACACTGGCAACATTGTGTATATATGTAGATATCTGGTTGATCTTTTATGGTTAATTATCTCATAAGCATTATTGTTAATCTATTTGACATGCAACATAATGCATATCTCATGTAAGGTGTATTTTAAATGTTATTTGTACGAACTTACAGGTGGATAGTCCTTTAATCTCCGTGTAAGGTTCATCGACTGCTTTACGGTGGTTTATGTCGCAAAGACAAATAAAAAGTCAGCGATTAATATTTTACAATTTCTGTCACTACTATAAGACAAAATATAAATATTTAACGCAATATATTTCAAAAATATTTAGAATTCATAATCCACTCAAATATGTTTACGACTATCAACTTCCGTCACAAAGTTTCAAGATGGACGACGAAGCGCCTGTCATATACGGACTTGAATTTCAGGTATGTTTTCATGCATCTTTGCGATGTTCTAAGGTTGCCTCTATCAGGTGTGTATTCCCAAATACATCAGTGATGTGAAACGTTAGGCTGAAAAGAAGTCCGTGTACTATTTTTGATCATTAACTTGTCTTGGCATGTGTGGATTCGGACGTGGAAACCACCGGTAGGAATAAATCACGATAAGGACCGAAAAGGAGCAATAATGACGAAAAGGAGTACATTTGTCGCGTTTCCCAGACAAATGACATATTTACCCCCTGATAACTGAAGAGGTTGATAGTTGTCATGAAGTAGATGATCAGGATGTGTTGCTATTATATTTAGTTAGCATAAAACCTGTATAGCTTGTTTATAGCAATAAATATGCCACACATTACTTTGTATTTAGTTTAAACAAGTTATTTTAACCCTAACGTGCGATTTTCGTTGTTAGGGATGAGATTAAAACACGGAACCGGACAAAGAAAAAACAGATGACCAAAGTTCCACGTATATCTCCATCAAATATGTTTTCCATTATCTTTATTATTTTGTTTTAAAATTTTATATGGTGACTACGTTTAAGTAAACTTGTAAACGTTGTATAACATAAATACATTTTTTATTTACGTATTTTCCAACATTTTAAAAAATTGAAATATAAATGAATACATACAATAACCTGACACAATTCAAAGTTGTATAACTATTTGCAATCAACTTTTGACAAGTATTTCTGTACCTACAATGAGCAGTTCATTGTTTAAACTAACTCATGAAAAGAAAATGAAATGATGTGCATCATTTAAACATTGAATTAAGTGTAAAAAGCAAAATTTATTAAAAATTAGTGAATGTAAAGAATATTGATAGAAAAAATATTTATTGTTATGTTTGATTTTGGAAAAAAAATGTTCAGACATTCATCGGAATGTTAATCTAATCTATAATTTGAAGATTTCTTCAGGTTGTTAATGTCAATAGAATAGAAGTTCTTATAACACAACTAGTAGAAGATTAGGGTATAAAATTTTGATGACTAAATGGTCAGAGGGTTAAACAGATTGTAGACCAAAAAAATACACACAATGGTAACATCTATGACCAAGTGTTAAACAGGGCATAGCTGAATTGTCTAAATTGTTACCATCCTGTGCACTTTCTTTGTCTATAAACTGTTTACTATCTCATCACACTTTTTTCATCCTTAGTGTACATAGGATTACTTTTCAGGTCTAAAGATAAAAAGTATAGCCTTCATGTTATTGTAGTAGAGGAGGATATTCTATATCAGATACTTTAAACCTTGACAATTGGTAGATATAGGCTACAATACATTCAAATGAGAATTGGGGACTGGTGCAGTTGTATTACTGTTATGATAGCTTGTAATTTTGTTGTTGATTCAGGCAAGAGCATTGTCTGCTCAAACAGCAGAGACAGATAAGATACGCTTCCTAGTGGGTACACAGTCACTCAGGGCAGAAAACCAGGTAAGTTTTATAATGATGCTGAGATTTGTTATTGGTTAATTATATGTTGTTGAAAAAGTCTTGTCTAGATGGTATTATAAATTAAACAAAAGGCTTCAATTTGATAAAAAATTAAAAATCTGCATATATACATCACAACAATAGGCAAAAAGGACTTCTTATTTTCATTTTGTCTGTCTGCATGTCTTTGTTGAAACATACTGTAGGCTTATAAGACACCAAGGATAATTTCAAATACATTTTGTAGGTAATGTATGGCATTTATATGGTAGCTGCAAATTATGTTGATGATGTGGTTGTTATACCAAGAATGTTTTCGCTATGGTGTTTGGGGGCAGTTATCAAAAAGGAAAAACTTTTATCAGTGACTGACATATCTACTGTTTTGTTTATAGATCCACCACATAGATTTTGATGATGAAAACAACATCATAAACAAGATTGTATATATACATCGAGAGGGCGAAATCTGGGACATCAGTGCTTCAACGCTTGACAGTAATCTGCTCACGACCTGCTACAACAAAAGTATATTGTCTAATGATATATGAAGAGTAGTCACACTACACATGTCTTCTTAGTTTTTTTTATGTAACTGAAGAAATATATTGAAGCCACAGTAGGAAAACATATTACAATGTGATTTGAGTTGATTTATGTTACATTAAAATGGATTTCAACCAATGGTAAGGTGTAGGTATCTCTTTGGACTGTAAAGTAAAACATTAAACATCAAACAGATATACAGAAAAGACCTTTTGAAAAAGATTGTGATACAGTGGACTTCAAAAGGAGATTTTATAAAATAACATCAATATCATTCAAGTATTGTTATATTTTTATCAAATACATTGTTACTAATGTACTAGTTCACTTATCTACCCAATTAATAATCAATAACCAAGATAAAATTGTGATACACAACATTCTTCTGTTATTGTACAAACAGCATCAGAATCCAAGACAGAGATGCGTGGAACAGTATGGAGACTTCCTTCAGACTATGACAGTTGTCAGGTTGAGGACCAGACTTCCCATCAGCCTTTGCAGCTAGTGTGTCACCTAGATAACTCTGAATATGGGGACATGAAAAGGTGAACAAAGATACACGGGTATAATTATTGATGTTGTCAGTAATCCTGATGGTCAAGTAAGGTGTATATAATCACTTGTTCTACCTTAGGTGATCTATATTTAGTCTTCAGTCTGTTTTTTTGTTTGTGTGCCCTCCCCCCCCAACCTCCAACCCCCAACCCCAAGTTTGGTCAGAGGCATCTTTGGAGGAAGGGGAACCAAGTTTGTGTAAATAGTGATTCTTGGCCTCCAGGAGCCTGAGGGATGGGTCCAAAAGGGTTATTAAGCAAGTTCTTTAAATTCCTTCTCCTTCTGTAGAAATGATCATATTATGCCTGAACTGAGGACAGTTGGGAAATGAATTTTGTATAAATAATGGGTCAGGATCTCATAGGACAGAAGGGGCAGGACCATTATAGAGGAAATAGAACAAATTCATCAAAATTTTTCTTCTGTAGGAATGACATGATTCTGTCTGAATATGGTCTGAGGCACAAATGAATTGGCAGACCCCACTAAGGACAGAAGTATTGGGCCCAATAGGAAACAGATATGTTGTGTGTTGTGTACTTTGATATTTAGAATTCCTTTTCCTTTAGTTTTTACACAACAATGTACTGTGTACTCTTCATAAAGAACTACATGTAATTGATTTTATCGATACTTGCTTACTAGATTCTCATACATTGTAGATAAGCATAAGCTATATCTAGTTGAGCTACCTCCTGTTTAGGTAAGAAGTTATGTACCATTTGGAAAGTGCTGATGTTGTGGGGAGTATGAGTTGGCTTCCAGACGACAGGTTTTGTTTTAGAATGTCAAGTACATTGCATATATTCTGAAGATAAGTAGATCATAAATGGATTTTGAATTTGTATGATTGAAGTGAAATAGAAGACCATTTTTTACCTTACTTAGTGTGTTGACTTCCTGGGATTATGACAGGATATACATGGGAAAGCACATAAACACCAACTTCATTCATAAGAGGGTTAGTGTGTTGACTTCCTGGGATTATGACAGGATATACATGGGAAAGCACATAAACATCAACTTCATTCATAAGAGGGTTAGTGTGTTGACTTCCTGGGCTTATGACAGGATATACATGGGAAAGCACATAAACATCAACTTCATTCATAAGAGAGTTAGTGTGCTGACTTCCTGGGTTTATGACAGGATATACATGGGAAAGCACATAAACATCAACTTCATTCATAAGAGAGTTAGTGTGCTGACTTCCTGGGATTATGACAGGATATACATGGGAAAGCACATAAACATCAACTTCATTCATAAGAGAGTTAGTGTGCTGACTTCCTGGGATTATGACAGGATATACATGGGAAAGCACATAAACATCAACTTCATTCATAAGAGAGTTAGTGTGCTGACTTCCTGGGATTATGACAGGATATACATGGGAAAGCACATAAACATCAACTTCATTCATAAGAGAGTTAGTGTGCTGACTTCCTGGGATTATGACAGGATATACATGGGAAAGCACATAAACATCAACTTCATTCATAAGAGAGTTAGTGTGTTGACTTCCTGGGCTTATGACAGGATATACATGGGAAAGCACATAAACATCAACTTCATTCATAAGAGAGTTAGTGTGTTGACTTCCTGGGATTATGACAGGATATACATGGGAAAGCACATAAACATCAACTTCATTCATAAGAGAGTTAGTGTGTTGACTTCCTGGGCTTATGACAGGATATACATGGGAAAGCACATAAACATCAACTTCATTCATAAGAGAGTTAGTGTGTTGACTTCCTGGGATTATGACAGGATATACATGGGAAAGCACATAAACATCAACTTCATTCATAAGAGAGTTAGTGTGTTGACTTCCTGGGCTTATGACAGGATATACATGGGAAAGCACATAAACATCAACTTCATTCATAAGAGAGTTAGTGTGTTGACTTCCTGGGATTATGACAGGATATACATGGGAAAGCACATAAACATCAACTTCATTCATAAGAGAGTTAGTGTGTTGACTTCCTGGGCTTATGACAGGATATACATGGGAAAGCACATAAACATCAACTTCATTCATAAGAGAGTTAGTGTGTTGACTTCCTGGGATTATGACAGGATATACATGGGAAAGCACATAAACGTCAACTTCATTCATAAGAGAGTCATACAAATTCATACTACTTCTAATCAGAACACTGAAGGCATCAACTTTAACCTGATTCTGAAAACAGTCTGGAAACCAATGCCTCTAGTGTTTTGATCAGGAGTGACTGATACCGAAAAACCTGATTGCTATTTATTGATTTTTCAGCATCCTTTGGCATCCGACTGGTGATAATAGCAATCTGATTGGTTTGTCAGACAATCATATTCTCCTCTGGGACCTGGAGAGTTCATCAAATACTGCAAAGGTTTGCTATTTTGGAGAAATAACATTGAAACAAATCTGAGAATTATTTGTCTTTACTGAGCTTCTGGCAAGTTAAAATGAACATTTGAAATGGAAAGGATTGTAATTAAGACTCTGTTTATCACAGAATTTAGATGATTTTCAAGCATTTGTGAAAAAAAGCATTTATTCTACTATACAAAATTGAAATAGGGGATATTCTCTTCTATTTCTTTGGTGACATCAAAGTGCATTTGATGTCATCATTTACAATGGGAACCTTCAGTCTGTCAGCCTGTCACAGCTCCACTCTAGGTGTTACAGCATGTATGGTCATAACATATCTATGTAAATGGATTATTACACTGAAATAAGGTATTTAATTGATAATTGATTTCCCCATTGTCAATGCAGTAATATATTTCATACCAAATGAATACGATCTATGTATCATAAGTCTGTTTGACATGTTTCCATGTTTTACCTGGTACGTACCATTGTTTAGGGTAAACAACTTAAACATATGTTGAACAAAGTTTGTTTTATTACTGTCAGTATCCATCCCACATCTGACCATTGATATACTTTTAGCTGTCTGCCTCTGTGGAGTTAGAGAGCAAGGGTCAGCCAAAGATGACCTGTGGTCGATGGAACCCACACCACAATAGCCAGCAGGTGGCCACAGCCAATGACACAGCCATACGAGGGTGGGATATTCGCTCCATGCAGTGAGTAATACAGGTCTTCAGTAATGATTAGCAGTGTAAGGGGCAGTGATAGCTCAGTTGGTAGAGCATCCAGGCAACACTGAGAACACTAAATTCATTGAAATTGCATTGTGTATTGATCTGTAAAAGAATTTTCTTTTAAAAAATTAAGAAATGAAAAAAAAATTGAAATTTGTAACTTTGGTCCAACAGGGAGCTTTGTTATATGACATATGTTATATTAACATATATGGAAAAAGTTAGATATGGAAATTATCTACAAATAATACAATTGCATGTCGGCTGTACTATCAATGATTTTAGAGATTTGACTGTTGACGGTCATATTGGATTTTTGTCCCACTTAAAACATTTTTCTTTGGCACATTCAAATATGTACCTAAAAGATAAGAAATAGACTGTAAACCTATATCTTACCAATCACACAAGTTTGAGTCCAAAATTTCCAGAAGAATGATGGTAAGAATAAGGAGAAAAATAAGAAGAAACAACAATAACAGTAGGTCTTTTCTCCAAGTGGTGAAAAGCCTTAATCAGAAGCAGAATAAGAAACAACAATAACAGTAGGTCTTTTCTCTAGAAAAGTCTTAATCAGAAGCAGAATAAGAAACAACAACAACAGTAGGTCTTTTCTCTAGAAAAGTCTTAATCAGAAGCAGAATAAGAAACAACAATAACAGTAGGTGTTTTCACAAACCCTAATAACCAATATGATCACATCATTTAGTATACATAAACACTGTAGCCTTGGTCCTTCAATATCTTACTTTAGAAAACTTTGAGAAAGCCATGAATATAGTTGAATGTACTTTCACCTACTTTAGTGTACTTCCTCCTGTACCAGTAGTTCAATGTACATTAATGTAGACAAGTTGCACATAATAATTCACATTAGACAGGATCCAGATTTAACAGATTTTACATACTTAGACTGAATATTGAAGTCAGTATAGACAGTAATCTAGATTCGATACGGACAGATTAAACAGGTTTTATCAGCTAAGACTAAATATTGAAGTCAGACTGTAATCCATATTAGACAGAATCCAGATTAAACATTCTTTACTATGGTGTATTTAACACTCTAGACAGGTGTACATGATTGAGAATGCTCATGGTCAGCTGGTCAGAGATGTGGACTTTAACCCCAATAAGCAATATTTCCTGGCAAGTTGTGGAGATGACTGTAAGGTCAAATTCTGGGACACCAGGAATCCCACCGAGCCCCTCAAAGTTTTATCAGAACATTCACACTGGTAAGTATACGCTCAGGAGTCCTTCAAAGCTTTATCAGAACATTCATATAGATTCACACTCATGAGTCAAGTATATGGCAATTCATATGAAACATTCACATTGAAACATTAAAAATGTTTTGTTTCACACTATCTGAATAAACGATCTGTAAAAGTTATCTGGTTTACTGTTGATTTGAAATTAAATTTTCAAATCAAGTAATGATGATAGATGTAAATGAGATTGATGAATGATACTTTGTGTTAATTTGTAGGGTATGGTCTGTGAGATATAACCATTTCCACGACCAACTTGTCCTGTCATCCAGCAGTGACAGTCGTGTCATCCTCAACAATATTGTGTCCTTATCATCAGAGCCATTTGGACATCTGGTGGAGAATGAAGAAGACAGTGATGAGGACCAACAGATCCAGAATCAGTGAGATCTTTATTGCTCATTATGTTTAAGTAGGGTAATCAGGTTGTCTGTGCAAATGTCTGTTACTTATCGTTAGACTCAATTTGAAGCTGCTTTCATATGTCTGAATCAGTTGTTTCATCTAGTTGAGCCAGAAAATAAATTAGTGCAGCTTATGACAGAAGGTGGCTAGCAGGAATTTTTCAGTGTTTTTTCTTTAAAATTTTTCAGCACAGCATAACCCTAATTTCTTGTTATTGAACCTCAAATTCTTCAAAAGATTGTTCCTTGAATGCCCTGCATTTGTTGAAATTACTTTCATCCCTGTTTCATTTATGTTCATTTAGTTTCCTCCTATATTTTTCCAACAGGTGTCAAAACTTACCTCTGTCATACTTGACTGCATCCAACTTCAGTGTTCTGGTTCAATCACTCTTGATTTTTTGTCAGACAAGACAGCAGATAATTATGGGATAAACCATGATTATATGCCTATAGTCCCATCCTCTGCATCAGACATTTGTTTTGTTAGACATTTCATTTTTTCATGGCCGTAGAAATAATAAACAGTGACAGTCCGCTTGTGATTCGGTATTTTTGAAAATAATTTATAAAAAATATTTCAAAATGGAATCAACTCATGATTTTTGACTTACAAACCAACAGATTGTAAAAGAACATTCTAGGTAAATTCTCCGGAGATATGCGTGATCCGAGTCTAATTTTCCTCCATTTTGTTAACTATATTTCAATAAACAAATTATCCAAATTGTATCCAGTATTGGGTAGTATTTTTTAGTAATGGGTAACATTGTGTAAGATTTTTCACCAAAACACAATAAAGTGAAACTACCTTCATATATAATTATTGTTTACATAATGAAGTATGACAACAAAAATAAAGGTTTTTTTTATTTAACTATATACAGTTACATGAACAGCCTTGTTCGAGATTATTCATAGCGGAACTTAAGTTAATTTTACTTTTATTAAGATTTTTTCATGATGTGTGTTTGTAGTGTGTTATGTATAAAAAAACAATATATAGTGTTTGATAAAAGTAGAATATTTTACTTTCAATCAAGGGTATCACGAAAAGTTAGGATCTTTGTTTAAAAATGTAGAAAGTTTAATCAGGAAAGTTAAAAATGCTTTCTATTATGATGACGGATTACAGAAAATAAATAAAAGTTTAGTGTTTTGTGGTATGATGATCAAGTTTTTAACAAGTATGCAACATAAATGTTTCAATTTTCATCATTAAACAATTCTTACTTTAAAACTGTTTGGTGGTTTTAGGTCTGGAGAAGTGCCAAAGGATGGAGTGATAGCTACTTACGAGGAACATGAGGACAGTGTATATGCTTCAGACTGGTCTTCAGCAGACCCATGGGTCTTCGCTTCCCTTAGTTATGATGGACGTTTAGTGATCAACAGAGTACCAAGGGTGGAGAAATATAAGATTTTATTATGATTGTTTAAAGCTATCAACAGAGATATTAACGGGAAAATCAGATGATTGAAAGGGATCTTTATTGACTATATTCAATTAATTTGACTTTGTGGGCATGACTTTCTGCAATATTTTTCTTGATTTTATCTGCAGTAATGTAATGTTTCAGTGATACATTTATAAATGTAATACCTTTTTTTTCTTTTCCTCAACTTTCCTCAAAAGTTGAAGACCAAATGGAACTCAAAACTTACAATTCATGAACACTTGTAGATGAAGTTACCCATTGTCTGATTCCATTTCTATTGTCTGATTCCATTTCTATGATGTGTGTAATTTACCCAAAGGTTTCTTACTACTGTAAAATGATTGTTGTTGAAGTTTCTGTTTACCATAGTTATACATTGTCACACAAATAGAAGATGGTTTCCATATAACTAAGATTATAGAGACATTTTAATGTTTCTGATGAACTAAAATGAAAAACTGGACTAATTTTTTGACAGGTTTCAGAAATCTCACATGAAATGCAAATAATAAGCATCGTTTTTATTGCAGGGTTATTTTATTTGATAATGAAAAGATATTTTGATAAGAACAACATTCCAGAAACTGAAAAAATATTTAGCATTGAACTGACCAATAGATGTCTGTATCTGTGTTTGACTTCATCAACAGCATACTTGATGTTTGACAGCTTCAGTTGTGAATTTGTTTACCAGCACAGTGCTCATGGATGATTGTGAAACAAGTGCTAATGTAACAGTGCAGTATGTTTAAATAGTGCATCAATGCCCACTAGAACAGGAGAGGTGGGGCCCAAATGTGGAAATGCAAGTTCTTAAAAATCCATCTTCCATAAAAAACGTATTGCCGAAGTTTAGTCTGAAACACTTTTTAGGAATAGTGAATCTGACTTCTGTTTGACTACAAGACTGGGACCAAGTAGAGAAATTACATCAGAAATTGTTGGTCATATTTGAAACTTTTATCAAATGGCTAAATTAGCCAGGTGAGGGATGCAGGCCCCTTGGGCATCTTGTAATATTTTGTAGGTATAATTTTAGAAGTTCATTATACACCCTGTAAATTATGTTTTCATTAAGATTGTTTGAAGAATTGATGAAATAATTGTATATGTACAAATGTTTCCTCTAAAGGGACAAGGTGCAATAAAAAATAAAACACTAGCAGATGTTTATGTTATCCTTGATTTAGAAAAAATCTGATTCAGGATGAACAAAGAGACATGGATCTATGTAAGTATGAGAGATTATGGTGGTGTCTGGGGGAGAAAGCAGCACAGGATTCTCTCCAGACTGGTGACCTAGAGGTATATTTTCCTACCAAAAAATGACAGCACCATATATTTACCTGACCATTTATTTTCTAATCTAAAGAAGATTGGGAAATGAAAGCTTCATAGAAGGAAAAATAGGCCTATTGATGTGAACACCGTTTGCCAACATGTTCTCTCCTAAACTGGTCAAATGCTTAGTTATGGTGGAATGTCTAAATCGGCCTCCAAACAGAAAAATTAACAGATATATCAGTCATTTTCATTCCCCGCTAACAAGTGATATTAAATGGGGCTCCATCCATCCGTCTTTGCATTCGTCTGTGCAAGGTCATTTTCTGGACCAGTGCTCTGAAACTTTTGCTATGGAGAAGTTCTCCATTTAGATACTTTCCTTTTTGTTACCATAGCAAAAGTTAGGCGGAATCACAAATTTCAGCTTTTTCCAGACCAGTGCTCTCAAACCGTTCGAAGTAATTACCAGAAACTTTGTACAGTTATCAAGTTAGTACTAAAGTGGTGCCTTTTGCTATGGATAAGTTTATGTTCAGATACTTTTTCTGTTACCATGGAAACAGATAGGCTGAATCACAAATTTCAGCTTTTCAGGATCAGTGTTCTGAAACCATTGAAGATAATTACTCGAAACTTTGAAAAGTTAACAAGTAAGTACTGTAGTAGCACCGTTTGCTGTGGAAAAGTTCTCCATTAAGATACTTTTTCTGTTACCAAGGAAACAGATAGGCCAGATCACAAATTCTGTAAAAGATATTGAAGTTCTCTACCCATTGTCCCACTCCTAACTTACAAGCAGAAAATACACCTTCAGCTCCTCACCTGTATACTCTTGTTCTCTACTGGTTGTCCCACTCCTAATTTACAAGCAGAAAATACACCTTCAGCTCCTCACCTGTATACTCTTGTTCTCTACTGGTTGTCCCACTCCTAACTTACAAGCAGAAAATACACCTTCAGCTCCTCACCTGGATATTCTTGTTCTCTACTGGTTGTCCCACTCCTAACTTACAAGCAGAAAATACACCTTCAGCTCCTCACCAGGATACTCTTGTTCTCTACTGGTTGTCCCACTCCTAACTTACAAGCAGAAAATACACCTTCAGCTCCTCACCAGGATACTCTTGTTCTCTACTGGTTGTCCCACTCCTAACTTACAAGCAGAAAATACACCTTCAGCTCCTCACCAGGATACTCTTGCTCTCTACTGGTTGTCCCACTTGATTTAGTTCTCTAGAACAAGACTGGGCAACTTCTGTGATTGCAGTGTAGAAGTATTCTTGCAAGTCCAAGATATCTGGTTTTTAAAACTCGGAGCAGAGAAATGAAAGGATGAATGATAATCACAAAGGTGAAAGAACTTTTGTGCATCGATAATATAAAGATTGACTTGAAAATTGAAATATTAAAAATTTATGATGTTTTAAACATGATTTTGCAAAATAGTTTAAATAATGTAATCTAGCACTTCTTAAACTTTCTTTAACATTACAAAGTAAGTTTGAACCTGATTATTTATTCTACTTTGTCAAGTCATTTTGAAAAACTATTATATCCATTTTTTTTTGCATATGAAAAGAAGAAGTCAAGACGAGAAATATTTCAAAGTTCACCCTAAGTGCTTGGTACCATTATCATAATACAAATGTTGATGTTTAATTATGTTTTCAATATGTATCATGTATGCAGTTGTGTTGAAGAAGGCCACACAAAGTTAATGTATAGTTTCTGACAATTGTTCATCACTTTTCTATTAACTACTATATGGCTTATTCCATTCCACTCTTCTATATTTTCTTGGCTGTAATAGCAAATGTTAAGCCCATTAAACTATAAATACAATGCTTCAGCCCCAATTTATATATGAAAACTAAATGAAGGATATAGTATTACCTAATATCATAGGGATTATTTCTTGTTTAATTAAGCTAATAATTTCTATATTTTATTAAATACATTATACCATAAAAGGGCAATAACTCTGTGGTTATGGAATTGCAGATCCTGAATTTGATACACAGCACATTGTTCAAGTATGAACAATGTATACACTTCCTTATCCTACTTTAAATGCAAGTGAAGTTATGCTCTGGACACAAAAGGATGGATGGAGAGATGGACAGACAGGGCAGATTATATGCTCATCAATAGGTGTCTGAATCCAACAAAAATATAATATCTCAACCATGCTGACAATTTAATGAATTTTAAAATTAAGAAACAATATGGAATCGCATATATATTTAAAAAAAAAAAAAATTTGCATGTACATCATCATCAACAACAACAGCTATTATTACAGTTTCGGGTGTTTACTTTCTATGTTGAAGTGGGAAAAAGGAATGAAATATAAAAAGTTTAAAAAAAAAAAGAATATTAAATAATAATACAAAAAAAAACCAAAAAAAACAAAAAAAACCAATGAAATGATCGTAATGATGAGCTTTTTTAGGTGTAAGGGTGAATACAAAACGTGATATTGTTATAAAAATTAAACTTTGTTTCAGGTGATATACATGTTCACCAATAATATTGATGCAAATCCTTATAGGTAAACAAGGATATACAGTTGCAAGAAATCCAAGATAATAAATTTGTTGTTACAATGGTGACTGGAGATTGATATGGTTTATAAGAAATGTATATTACAGAGGGATAAAAACTGCCTATATCTCTTCATGAAGAAGTTCCGATTAAATAGCTTCGCGGTGTTTATAAACCATTTTTCTCAACAACTACTAATCTTTTCAAAATAAACAGTAGTAGAAATCTTAATTTTCAAATTGTGCTGAACTGACGAAAATCATCTTAATGATATAGAAAGCATTTAAAAGCCGATTAATTTCCCAATATTGACTTGTATCATTTTTGTGATAGTCACTTTAATTCATTGCTGTACTTATTGTTCCGAAAATGATTTTCACTTCTCATTGGTCTAAAAAACTATGGCTGAGGTTAGGTCGTTTAGCGTAGCAGTGATTCACTCAACGGGTTTACTTCAACAAGTATTGCGGCTCTCGGCGGACGAACATTAGAAATGAATGGGCGTAAGTGTAGATAACAACATGGAGAAGAGGGTTTTCGCAGGTCAGGGCGCAAACACAAAAGCTAATGCATGAGAAATCTGACTTCGTCGTCGCAGCTATACAAAGAGAGGTAAATAATAAAATATCGATCTAAAATGACATACAATATAAAACATTGTTAGCGTTACAGTTGAGACAGGAAAAGTGAAATCGAAGTCTGTTTAATGAAAATTATAGCAGTCAAATAACTTTATACTTAAATAAAACCATTAAGAATACTACTACTCAATACATGGTATAATAGTAAGCCCAAATATCTAATTATTCATTGTTCGCGCCACCAATTCAAACTTCCAGCCATTGAACTTACATTCCTAAGCATGCGCACAAAGTTTTCACAGATGTATTGTGGGATTTGTAAGTTTCACATGCACAACAGAGCAAACCATTCAAAGGTTATTTTTCGTAAATATATGTTTACTCTGTCCGTCACTTTAAATGGTTCAAAATGCCTAAAAGGAAACAAGGTAAGCTATATAAAATGCACGATGACTGTGCTGTTCCTAAAAATACACGATAGAGAAGGAAATATGCAGTCTGAAACTCGTGTTGTATGCATGTATCCTGTGTATACTATATACAACAAAGTATGACTTTATACGTTTTCTTTTGATGTTATTTACATTGTTGAATAATGTACATGCGGTATTGGTTAGTACAAATGTTAATTTGAAAAGGGCACCTGTTATGTGAATTGTAAACAATGCATCTCGCCTACCTCGTGTTGTGCGACTCGCATATATTCCCGCCATTAAAGTTGCGCTTCTGTTATGATTTTCGGAACAAATCCTAGACGCCATCACACGTTGACATAATCACAAAGTTTTGAAAAGGTTGTAGAGATATATAGAGACATAAATGCACCTCTTGCATGAGATGTGCATATTTATTTGTGCGTTTGTCATTTCCCTTCGACTTTGTTTACGGATGACGACGATAGAAGGGTCACCAGTTTTGACGGATAATGACACTTTTCAGGAAGTTGAATGCAGTCTTTTGAACACTTTGATATTCTAATTCCTTCAAGTAAAGATTGTTTATATATTTCATTTAACTTTGCAAGATTGCCTTCATGACATATTTGTTTTTAGTTATCTTATTTTTGAAATGTCAAATTCAGCAACCCAGGCCTCTCTCAGAACAAGCATACATACTGTACATTGGATGAAAATAGTATTTTTATAGGATATAAGGCATACCGGAAGCATTTACTGATAATATGATTTTGAACATCAATAAGATTAGTTTGACATAAAAAGATATATATCAATATTTCATCGACATATCATGTTTTTTTCCCAACTACTGTTATTGCTGTTGTTGTAAATGTAAGTGTTAAACTGACAGCTGTTGGTAAATTGGCTCATGTCAGCTTATTCGAAAGGTGATATTTGGTGTTGGTTTGCGACCGATGGCCCTGAGACTGTACAATGGTTGTTTGGTTGGAGTGAAGTTCTGGGATACAGCCACAGTAATCTTTACAGCAGGAGCATTTTGACCATTCCTCTTGAATCAGGTCTCTACCTAGCTCTTCACAGATGAGCAGAGGGGTCCCTGAAATGCTATGCAGAGTATTGTTTCCCTGGTAGAACAGAAAGTAGGGACTTGGTCTGAGCAGGGACGTAGATCTGGTCTGAGGTATTCTATTGAGAATTGAACATGATGCAATAATCCAGATAATATAATATATAACCACTAATATATCGGCCAATGAAATGTTGTGTATCAAAACAGTTCAGCTTATCAGTCAATGTCAGAAAAAAAAGTGTAAACTGTCAATGTCATTTTGGGCTCTTTATTACATTTTCCCTTGACAAATGGAATGTGATGCTAAGTTGGTTATACTGTATCATATCTGTGTTATGATTTCATGAATTAATTTATTTAAAGGTCAAGGATTGATATATGCACAATTAATTGGATTTTCTGTTTTATTTCGGACATCAGCTTGTCATATTTATTAATTCATTATTATATGGGGCAAATTTCCAATATAATTACTATTATTTTTTTAAATGTATAAATATATCTGGTGTTTGTAGTATGATGTAGCATCTCTGCAAATCAGTTAATTTTGATAGAAAAAATCCACTTTTCACTTATAAATTATTTGAACACCAAATGCAACTTATTTGTATTTGATAATTAACATAGATTTACGTCTACAGCCTCTTGATTGCCTTGGCATGTTTATCAGTAGACATAAGTGGTATTAATTACCTGGCACAAAGTAAGTTTATTACATAGGGATGTGACTTCACTTGGAGGACAATTGATGTTTTGAACAAAAAATAATCCAAGCGAGATTGACTGGATTCTATTTGATATGATATGTTTCTTATGTTTCAATAGAGGCGTGTCTGTTTTAGTACAGGAATCAAATCCATGTATATCTAGGAATGGCATGTAGAAAATATGTTCAAGGATTTAAATCAATTTAAAATTGTTCGATAGAAGGTCTGGTTTTCTGTTTATGGGTATCGAGTCAAAATTTTCCAACACTACCTGTCAAAATGATGATCGATGGTTGTTCAGTCTGGTCGTGAATACAGCAAAAGGCCAGTGAACTCTACTTTAGCCATGGAACTGGAAATCTGTGCTTTAGTCGTATACCAAGTTGAGAGAGAATTTACCTTACTTACCAATAATCATGTCAAAGTGATAGTATTTGTTTTCAAAATCATCCCTCGGTGAAAAAATTTAACTGATCTATGGTAAAATAAATATACTGAATATAATTTGTCACCTCACGTTTGTCCTGACTTCGGCATACACATTGCAAACAAATCTGGAGGCAATGTGTGAGATGAAATATGATTCCTTGATAAAATTTGTGAGTCAGCCGTGTTCGTTTGTGATATGCCGTAATCAAGGGATGGTCCTCAACATCACATGACCAAATATCGGGTCACTATAAATAACACAACACAATGGTGGTAATTAATGGCTTTAGGTTATTAAACATTTCATAAAGAAAATAATTCTCTATGCTTATCCCCAACACCCATCCACTCAGAGTTGAGTCAATGTATACAGGTGAAAGCTCAGGTGTTGAGCCAGTATGAGCTGGTGTTTCAAGCAGGTTTCAACTGTGTATGCAAGTGGTATGGATTGAGAACCTACAATGTGTCTCTGTCATGTACCACATCATTTGATGCTTACTGTGGGATGAAAGGCTAGCAAGTTTGTTAAAATAAATCTTCTTTACCTACTTTCAAGGTCACAGGAAACCAAAACATCCAGGCTATGGATATTGACTCTGTAACTTTATTGGATGAATGGCTACTAAATATTCATTCAAGTGATACACCTTGACTAACTTTCAAGGTCATGGGGTTCAAATATGTTGTGAACTTAACATTTCTTCTGTTGACAAGAAACAGGTCCTGGATGATGTTAATTGGTTAAAATCATGTATGAGGATTAGGATTTCAGGTTTGCAGAAATTGACTTTATGAATTGATGAAGAAGTCTTTGTGAGCTATAGAGCAGGCCAATAGGGTTCTGTCATATGCAAGTGTTAAGTCAGATGACTGTTGAGGCCTACAATCTTCATTTTAGGTCATCTGACCTGAAGAGCAAGATGACCTTTAACCATCATATTTTGTCTTGTTTTTGCACTGTGCATAAATTTTTCACATTTTAAATTTCTCATGTTCAGCAAGAGGTATTGATCATAATGTTGTCTGAAATGATCCTAGATAGTCCTGATTAATTGCAGTTAGTTTTTTGGTTGGTCTGAATTCCAATATGGCTGCCATCTTTTAAAACATATTTGAAACTTCATCTCAAATACCCTCGCTGGCATTGAGCTAAACATTGTTGGGAATGTTGAGAAGGGAAGCTAACAAGTTCATTTATTTTTCAGTCTCATCAAAAGTTTGTTATGACTGCCATATTGGAACATTGTTTTCTCCTGACACTGTCTATTTCAAACTGTATCACCAGTTCCTGAAACTTGCCTGGAATGATCCCGAGATATCCTAGGTGTTGTTACAAAATGTCAAATTGAAATCCAATATGGCTGTCTTGGCAGCCATCTTGAAAAACACATTTTGAATTTCTCAAGGTCACTAGTGCAATTGAGAAGAACTTAGGGAGAATGTGGAGAAACTGTTTTAATTAACGAGTACTACAACCATTAATATTGCTACTATCATCTCATATAGTGGTGAGCAAATGATGAAAATAATTGAAAGTTAGTGGGAAGTAATAAAATTGATCATAGATTACAGTTTTTAAAGCCAATTAATTAAAAATGTCTGTAAGTGTAAATTCATTGATTTGCATCATGAAACTTTTGTGTTATGTAACCAAGAAGTAATCTTGTTGAATGTTTATTTTACTAACTGGTTCATTGGTTGTTTACAGTTTACTTAAGACATGAAGTATTTTAACAACTGTTAAATTGCTGTTTGTAAGTTGTAAAAGTGTGGAAATATGACCGCAAATAACTTCTTCTCAAGTCTACAACATCTAGAATCTTGATATGTTACGTGCAAGATGTGCCGGTCGTCAGCTATCGGATAAAATGATGACCTTGATCCACTACTGAGGTCGTTTGAATCAATTTTGTTAAAAAAAATTTCTTCAGGACCCCTTCAACCAGTCTATTTAATTGAAAGAATTATATTCTTGATATAATAATTATCATAATTTGTTGCATTTAATGTTATATTTCTGTGTTTCCTTTGGAACAGAGTTTTTTTAACCAGTTTGGATTTTATCTGTTTCCTTACTTAGCAATGACTGGAAGGATGGAGAGCTGTACAGAAGTGACCATCACTCCGAAGCCAGTAGATAGGAAATTAACAACTGCATTGTGTAAGGTTAGTAATTACATTGCTGTTTCGTAACTCATCATGTGGAATTCTACAAGTTCACTTATAAGATTGATTTTCCTGATCTTTTTATATCAATGTTACATTGCTGAGTACAGATCTTCAGAATTTTTAGTTTGGTGGGGGAGATTTCTCAGTTATTTGTTACATTGCTGAGTACAGATCTTCAGAATTTTTTATTTTGGTGGGGGAGATTTCTCAGTTATTTGTTACATTGCTGAGTACAGATCTTCAGAATTTTTAGTTCGGTGGGGGAGATTTCTCAGTTATTTGTTACATTGCTGAGTACAGATCTTCAGAATTTTTAGTTCGGTGGGGGAAATTTCTCAGTTATTTGTTACATTGCTGAGTACAGATCTTCAGAATTTTTAGTTCGGTGGGGGAGATTTCTCGGTTATTTGTTACGTTGCTGAGTACAGATCTTCAGAATTTTTTATTTTGGTGGGGGAGATTTCTCAGTTATTTGTTACATTGCTGAGTACAGATCTTCAGAATTTTTTATTTTGGTGGGGGAGATTTCTCAGTTATTTGTTACATTGCTGAGTACAGATCTTCAGAATTTTTAGTTCGGTGGGGGAGATTTCTCAGTTATTTGTTACATTGCTGAGTACAGATCTTCAGAATTTTTTATTTTGGTGGGGGAGATTTCTCAGTTATTTGTTACATTGCTGAGTACAGATCTTCAGAATTTTTATTTTGGTGGGGGAGATTTCTCAGTTATTTGTTACATTGCTGAGTACAGATCTTCAGAATTTTTTATTTTGGTGGGGGAGATTTCTCAGTTATTTGTTACATTGCTGAGTACAGATCTTCAGAATTTTTTATTTGGTGGTCAGTTATTTGTTACATTGGGAGATTTCTCAGTTATTTGTTACATTGCTGAGTACAGATCTTCAGAATTTTTTATTTTGGTGGGGGAGATTTTTCTCAGTTATTTGTTACATTGCTGAGTACAGATCTTCAGAATTTTTTATTTTGGTGGGGGAGATTTCTCAGTTATTTGTTACATTGCTGAGTACAGATCTTCAGAATTTTTTATTTTGGTGGGGGAGATTTCTCAGTTATTTGTTACATTGCTGAGTACAGATCTTCAGAATTTTTAGTTCGGTGGGGGAGATTTCTCAGTTATTTGTTACATTGCTGAGTACAGATCTTCAGAATTTTTTATTTTGGTGGGGGAGATTTCTCAGTTATTTGTTACATTGCTGAGTACAGATCTTCAGAATTTTTTAGTTTGGTGGGGGAGATTTCTCAGTTATTTGTTACATTGCTGAGTACAGATCTTCAGAATTTTTAGTTCGGTGGGGGAGATTTCTCAGTTATTTGTTACATTGATGAGTACAGATCTTCAGAATTTGGTATTTTGGTGGGGGAGATTTCTCAGTTATTTGTTACATTGCTGAGTACAGATCTTCAGAATTTTTTATTTTGGTGGGGGAGATTTCTCAGTTATTTGTTACATTGCTGAGTACAGATCTTCAGAATTTTTTATTTTGGTGGGGGAGATTTCTCAGTTATTTGTTACATTGCTGAGTACAGATCTTCAGAATTTTTTATTTTGGTGGGGGAGATTTCTCAGTTATTTGTTACATTGCTGAGTACAGATCTTCAGAATTTTTTATTTTGGTGGGGGAGATTTCTCAGTTATTTGTTACATTGCTGAGTACAGATCTTCAGAATTTTTTATTTTGGTGGGGGAGATTTCTCAGTTATTTGTTACATTGCTGAGTACAGATCTTCAGAATTTTTTATTTTGGTGGGGGAGATTTCTCAGTTATTTGTTACATTGCTGAGTACAGATCTTCAGAATTGCTGAGTTTTTCAGAATTTTTTAGTTGGTGGGGGAGATTTCTCAGTTATTTGTTACATTGCTGAGTACAGATCTTCAGAATTTTTTATTTTGGTCGGGGGGAGATTTCTCAGTTATTTGTTACATTGCTGAGTACAGATCTTCAGAATTTTTTATTTTGGTGGGGGAGATTTCTCAGTTGTTTGTTACATTGCTGAGTACAGATCTTCAGAATTTTTTATTTTGGTGGGGGAGATTTCTCAGTTATTTGTTACATTGCTGAGTACAGATCTTCAGAATTTTTTATTTTGGTGGGGGAGATTTCTCAGTTATTTGTTACATTGCTGAGTACAGATCTTCAGAATTTTTTATTTTGGTGGGGGAGATTTCTCAGTTATTTGTTACATTGCTGAGTACAGATCTTCAGAATTTTTAGTTCGGTGGGGGAGATTTCTCAGTTATTTGTTACGTTGCTGAGTACAGATCTTCAGAATTTTTTATTTTGGTGGGGGAGATTTCTCAGTTGTTTGTTACATTGCTGAGTACAGATCTTCAGAATTTTTTATTTTGGTGGGGGAGATTTCTCAGTTATTTGTTACATTGCTGAGTACAGATCTTCAGAATTTTTACTTTTGGTGGGGGAGATTAATAAGTTAATATGATACAAAGCTGAGTACAGATATTCAGAATTTTTTATTTTGGTGGGGGAGATTTCTCAGTTATTTGTTACATTGCTGAGTACAGATCTTCAGAATTTTTTATTTTGGTGGGGGAGATTTCTCAGTTATTTGTTACATTGCTGAGTACTGATCTTCAGAATTTTTTATTTTGGTGGGGGAGATTTCTCAGTTATTTGTTACATTGCTGAGTACAGATCTTCAGAATTTTTTTTTATTTTGGTGGGGGAGATTTCTCAGTTATTTGTTACATTGCTGAGTACAGATCTTCAGAATTTTTAGTTCGGTGGGGGAGATTTCTCAGTTATTTGTTACATTGCTGAGTACAGATCTTCAGAATTTTTATTTTGGTGGGGGAGATTTCTCAGTTATTTGTTACATTGCTGAGTACAGATCTTCAGAATTTTTTATTTTGGTGGGGGAGATTTCTCAGTTATTTGTTACATTGCTGAGTACAGATCTTCAGAATTTTTTATTTTGGTGGGGGAGATTTCTCAGTTATTTGTTACATTGCTGAGTACAGATCTTCAGAATTTTTATTTTGGTGGGGGAGATTTCTCAGTTATTTGTTACATTGCTGAGTACAGATCTTCAGAATTTTTTATTTTGGTGGGGGAGATTTCTCAGTTATTTGTTACATTGCTGAGTACTACAGATCTTCAGAATTTTTTATTTCGGTGGGGGAGATTTCTCAGTTATTTGTTAAATTGCTGAGTACAGATCTTTAGAATTTTTATTTTGGTGGGGGAGATTTCTCAGTTATTTGTTACATTGCTGAGTACAGATCTTCAGAATTTTTATTTTGGTGGGGGAGATTTCTCAGTTATTTGTTACATTGCTGAGTACAGATCTTCAGAATTTTTATTTTGGTGGGGGAGATTTCTCAGTTATTTGTTACATTGCTGAGTACAGATCTTCAGAATTTTTATTTTGGTGGGGGAGATTTCTCAGTTATTTGTTACATTGCTGAGTACAGATCTTCAGAATTTTTAGTTCGGTGGGGGAGATTTCTCAGTTATTTGTTACATTGCTGAGTACAGATCTTCAGAATTTTTAGTTCGGTGGGGGAGATTTCTCAGTTATTTGTTACATTGCTGAGTACAGATCTTCAGAATTTTTATTTTGGTGGGGGAGATTTCTCAGTTATTTGTTACATTGCTGAGTACAGATCTTCAGAATTTTTAGTTACATTGGTGGGGGAGATTTCTCAGTTATTTGTTACATTGCTGAGTACAGATCTTCAGAATTTTTAGTTCGGTGGGGGAGATTTCTCAGTTATTTGTTACATTGCTGAGTACAGATCTTCAGAATTTTTATTTTGGTGGGGGAGATTTCTCAGTTATTTGTTACATTGCTGAGTACAGATCTTCAGAATTTTTAGTTCGGTGGGGGAGATTTCTCAGTTATTTGTTACATTGCTGAGTACAGATCTTCAGAATTTTTAGTTCGGTGGGGGAGATTTCTCATTTATTTGTTACATTGCTGAGTACAGATCTTCAGAATTTTTAGTTCGGTGGGGGAGATTTCTCAGTTATTTTGGGTGATGAGTTATTTTTCTCCATAACTTGTTAAACAATGTTAAACACTGACAGCTGTGATGATGAACTTATTGTGTTATTACTATTGGTTCATGATATTTTTAGAAATTAAGGATGTATTGTTAAACTATAAGGTGAGGAAGTAATCCTATTGTGTAGTGGCCATAGTGATATCAGAACTGAGACATGTGTTTGAAATTTTTATGACATAGTTGACACCACTTACTTTCCTTGAATTTTTTCCCTTTAAATTGTTTGTAATCCAACTTCTGTCACATATGTCCATGTGTGCAACACTTAATATTACTTTATTGTGATGGCTATCACAAAAAACCACAGGTAAATAACAGGTAAGTAAGGACAAGAACAATGAATTCATGCCCCAAGAGCCATCATCATCTGGGATTACGTGGGAAAGCCCCGGTAATGCCAAATTTAGTCTTTTTTCCTGATTTGATACATCTACAGAATCAAGGTCAAATTTACCCTGTATTCCAGTAGCCACCCCTGATTAAACTCGGTAAAATCACAAATACTCTGGATCTTGACCAGTTGTGTCAGAGTTGTGGTTTGACACTGGTGCAATGTTAACACCCATGAATTCAGCTAATGAGGCTATTGTTGGAAGTTCTGGTTTGTCACTTGAATTAGCAGACCTCAGTCAAGTCATTCACACATAGACATAATAATAACAATTGATATGTAATGATGATAAATAGTAGTCAGCACAATTTTTAATAAAACAGACAAAGTGTCTCTTAAGTCATGAAATCAACTGCAGTGTTTTAGGCGAAACATAGATTTCAGCCTATTGTCACAGTCATTGGAAACGGCTGTTATTACTATTCCTAGCTTTCTGATTGGTGGAAATATTCCGACAGCTATCAGTGACACCTAGTGGCAGTCGTATGCTATAAACAATGTTGCCATCTTTTAAAACAGTCATGTGTGCATACTCATGGTATGAGACAATCAAGTATAACA